TTGAGTAATAAATACTTACACTTCAACTTATTTCAATCGATATATCCGATGGCTCTCCTAAATCAATCTAAAATCATCCTGCTATTTGTAAAGAAATGACAATTGTATGGCTTGTTATCATACTACGACCTACCAACGTTATAGTCCTGGAACATTGGATAATGTCTGGCTTCTGGAAAAGTCAACCTCGATGTCAATCCGGACGTCGACCTTACGTTTGCGGGGGTGTGGAATTCGAGTCCTATAGGACTGGTTTAATAAAAGGGGATTACCCTGTTTTCTAGGTGGGAATTCCCTGAATGACGCAGTAGATGAAAAATGGGGAATACCCGTTTTGCACCCCCTACACATCGATGAACCCCCTTCCATAGGGATACGTGTTAAAGATATTTGAAACTCTCTAAATGACAACTACTAATATTTTTGGAGTGGTAATTCAATGATGTACCTATTTTTTATTCTTTATCCCATAGTTGAACTCTGTTCCGCTCTGTTAGGTAACATAAAAACATATTTATGATATTTTGCAAATGCATGGAAAAAGTGATATCTGTGGAATATGGAAAATATTTCACAGATATCACCTTTTGGCAGGGATTTGAAAACTACCACCAATATGATGTGTTTTGTTACATAGTGATTTCATGACATCACGGGAATGAATAAATGAATGGATGTTGTTTTGATATGCTTTGTTTAGTTTTAGAGGTGAACTATGGGAAAAATAGAACATCCTATGCATTTTCGTGAGATTGTGTTAATCCAACTCATTGATATCAATATCTGCGCTAATTCGCTATGCTAACTTGGCAATATATTGATATCAACTCGGAGATAAAGATAAAATCATTTAAAATCATATGATATCCTATACATATCCTTTACTGTGCCACAACTTTCTCATATGTTATATAATTGACACAGGCCATCATTTATTTTCCTTGAATTCATGCTTTTGTTCCTCGTTTTAGAAATGAGAGGAAATCTTTGATATTCCTTGTATTTAAGTTGCTTAAATATTGCCCTGTGATGTTGATTAAAGTCAATAGTTCCATTACAGTCACAGTTGAAATGTACCCATTGCTAGCCCAGAACCTACCAAAATAGCATTTGCATTTTGTCAATATTGCCCTATGTGCTTTCCATGAAAATAATTTTAATTGTATCTTTTTTTCAGTATTTCATATATTACATTTTAATATATTTAAATTGGTTAATATTTACATACTATTGACTTAGACAACAATAAATAAAGAATTTTTTGTAAAAACAGCAAAAATGGTATATGATCTTTAAATGACTGTTGTGTGAACATCAAAGGTCAAAATTCGCTGAAATTGTATTTTTATAAAGCACAAATGATTTTTCTTCAATATGATATGCATTGTTATCAGATATCTTTGGGGGCTAAAAAGGGCTCTTAATGACACCCGTCCTTTCATCGAATAGGCATGGTTTTACAAACGAAGTGTAAAGCAAAAATCGTAAAATAACACACATAAAATGGCCACCATTTTCAAAATCGTTGCTCACAAGCCAAATTGTCACCAGAAAGTGTATTTATGCTTCAAAAAATCATAAGATAGTGCGCCATGCTTCTCGACATATCGCGATCGCTCCTCTACTTTTCGAGTTAGTATAGTAAAAACACACGTAAAAATTGCGGTCATTTTTCAAATTGTCCGCCTACTACCCAAAGTATCATTAGATAGTGTACCATGCTTATAGTATTCATATATGAAATATGAACAAAATCGCTGCACTACTTTTCGAGTCATATAGTAAAATACGTTAAAATGGCGGCCATTTTTCAAAATGGCTGCCTTCTACCAAAAGTGTCATTAGACAGTGTGCCATGCTTATAGTATTCACATACCAAATATGAACAAAATCGCTCCACTACTTTTCGGTTTCAGCAAACGGCCCTAAAAATTTAATTTTAAGTTGTTCTGTAAGCGGTATTTCTTATCTGTCAATTATCCCGCACTTTGATGTTCCACTTTATTAATGGGTTACGGTTTACATTTTTTGAGTGGTTTATACTTGCCAAAGACTATCTTCTGTGATTTTTCAATGGTCAAAAATAATGTCGAGATTGGGGCAAAACGGCCCATGTTTTAAAACCAAAATTAATCAATTACAAGACTCCTCCATCACATCTTATCTCAGACGTTGAAACCTTTGATAGATAAAGTATTCTTAACCCCTACCATGATTCTAGTCATTCGATGTGTGTCAGAAGGAAATAAGGTACAATGAGATAATAAATGTTAAAATCGTTATATTTGAAAATCAATTGTTCTTGTACAATAAGATTTTTGTATGTTATAACCTTTGTGGGCCGTTTTGCCCCAAAGACATGTGAATTTTCAAATAGACGTCATTTTAATTTGACTAATATTTGAAGCTCGGCATTTTTACAAATAAAGAACAAATATGCATACTCTATGTAAAATATTAAATCAAAACGATATTCTATTGTTGCCGGTTTTTTTAGAGATTTTTGTGGGAGGGAGAATTTGCAAAAAAAGAGTGAAAAGTAGAATTACCTCTTACGTAAAGCAAGACGCTGCTAAGTTAAAAATGGGCGGTCGAGAAGGTGGCGGAAATTTCAAAATTCGATTATGTGACTTTTGAAGAACCATCTTTTTATAGTTCAAAAGATATTTCGATGGGCCATTTTGCCCCACAGGGCCGTTTTGCCCCATGTTCCCTTAATATTGTCGAATCCACCCCGCAGGGCTAGGCAGAAACGTGTTCTGTACCCTGAACGACCGAAGAACGTAAACAGACAGTAGAACGCTGTAGCTACGTTCATTCAGTTCGCACACAGTTTAAAGTGTGCGCCTGGCCCGGCTACGTATAGCACAGAGTTTATACTGGCGGATTAGACTAGTCCATTTTTTATATGTGTGTGAAAGCTTTCTCTTATTTGCGTTTTTTCGTTTAGTACGGTTTTGTTATAATTGCCGAGGTCATATAACCGGGATAAAACAATGATTATCGTTGACTGCCCACACACAAAACATACGTTGAGTGAACAGTGTTATTACAAACAACAGGCTTTAGAATACAAAGCGTAGTGTGATAATAAGCTGCACACTACCACTGCTGCATGTACATATTACTAATTTACTAGGGCTCCCAAAGAGTGGATAGGGAGGTTGTGTTTGTCACTTTTAAATTTTACATTTCAAAATTGTCATTTTACATGTCATAATTTGTTGGTTTCATTCGTTTAGCCAATCAAAACATTGTAAAACAATAAATTGTCTGTTACGCACAATCAATTTTGTTCAGTTTTGATTAGTTGTCAGAATAAAGTTACGTTCATCTGAATCCATGTATGAAAACAAAAATCCTATTTTCACTTCAAAATACTTCAGTGAGATGAAGGCTCGGAATTGTCACATGCAATAACTTATTGTCGTATTCGTTATTTTATCTTCTCGATAGTAGCATTTAGTCGCACATTTGATGCCAGGTCACCTTGTCGCGTACCTCTTGGGAACCCCACATTTGTGTGTGTACTCATGGAAGTAAATTCCCCGGTGTAGCCGAGAGCCACAAACTTTTCAACAGGTTCGAAATGACCAATTTCTCTCATATATACTCTAAATATTTTATTATTTAGCACCTACAAAGTATTGCTAATAACCATATGTAATTTCAATAAGGAAACTTATCTGGCTACATATAAATTCAATATCAACACTAGCTGTTCTCTCAACACGTCCTGGCTTACCTTGTGGTGACAAACCCTGGGTTTTCGCTATTTATAGTTTATCAACACCTGGACGCATGCGCATTTTATACTTTATCGGGCACTTTAAAACCGATTCGGCAACGTTTTGACGATCACCAGAAAATTTTGAGCATATTTTAAGTTCTGGAGGACCTACTCGTTGTAGTAGTTTCATGAAGTTTGTAAACAGATCCAAAACGGTTCTTAGTGGGTTCTAAGCACGTCAAATCCGTTCGTGCACAGTTTAAGCCCGTTTTCGAGAACGTAGTGAGAACTAGTTTAGTGTGATAGTAGGGTAACAAAGGATCATGATAACGTAACACCTACCTCATTATGTATCTTCTTTGAGGTAGGGGTTACGTTATCATGATTTTGTTACGTTGAAGAAAAACAATTTGACAAATCGACTAAATCTTTTAACAAACCCTTCTAATATTGCATTTTACCAATCTCCAATATGAATAAAATCCCACTTACACCATTTCATACAGGAATAGCCTGACAGATACCGTTGTCACAAATGGTGAACACAACCGTGGCTTCAACTCTTCAATCACTTGGTCCTCGTTTCATGGGACTTAATCGTTGCTAATTTTGTGAATGTATTAAGCTCTTGTGATGATGTATCATATGAAATCCCAATTTCGACCAAATTGGGTCGTGAATCGCCACAATATAGCGTCTTCGATATCGTCAATGACAACCGAATCTGATTTTTAAATAATTTACCATATGCCGTTTTCTTTTCAAATTATCCCAAATTTGGAAGTTATAAGATAAACAATTTATTTTCAAGTCACACATTGAAAAATGTCTGAAATAATTTTTCAAGTCATGAAAAGTAAGATTTGAAGTTGCACGCAACATTAAGCCTGTGCCCCAACGTGCCCCATTGGTGTATGTTGGGCTAAACCCTATGGAGGTCATACCCTGCCCCATTAGTTTATGTTGGGGTTTAGGATAGGGGCAATCTAATATATTTACAGAAATGCAAATACCGATATTCCGTCAAAATTTACTGTTATTTGTTGCAAGGATAACAGATATTGGCAGAAACACGTTGGGACAAACAATTTCACATTCAATTTTCTACATTTTTTTCTTTTCTTTATTCAGCTATTTTCCAAACAAATGAGGTTTGAGTAGGAAACTGTCCATCCAAGAAGTAATTTTCAAGAGCGATTTCAATATCAACTATCAGATTTGGTCCAAAATCTAAAGGCAGATGGATGTCACAGTCCTTGTTATGTTAAACAATCACTTGCTGGGCTGTACACAATACTTGTTATGTGTAATGTTAAAAAGTCACTTGCTAGGCTAAACATAGTATTTGTAAAGTTCAGTTGCCAGGCTTTACACAGTACTTGGGCTTAAAACAGTACTTGTTTTGTTTACTTGCTGGCCTTCACACAGTCCAAATTATGTTGTACAGACATTTGCTAGACTTTACGCACTGCTTGGTTGTACTTGGTTAAGTGATGAGTCCTCAAGCAGAAGTTGTAGACTAAGCTTCAACAAATTTGGGTCTACTGATGGGGGGATGTAGATATGATCCATATTCTGAAAATATTATAAGTATCACAGTATGTTGGATAATCATAACAGCTTATAAATGGTTTGGACAATTCATTTGTCACTGTAATGAAACTGCTCGATAAGTCTTGCAGGGTAAGTGGTCACCTCAACCCTATATGATTTTTAGAAATATATAACTATTTAAACAACAAAAACTTCTTGAAAGTAATTTGTGTTATGCTCTAACCTTGGTGAATATTAAAGACAAAATATTTTTGAATGGTTCAAAAATTTTTGATATGAAATATAGCAATACATTGGTCTATTAGTTTCAGGAATCAAATGTAAATTATGAATGACTTAAATTACATTACAGTCTACTTTCCTGAAAATTAGAACACTTGTACATTATAACTTGAACAGTACACCATATCTTTTAATATTATGTATTATAAAAATGCATTCTTCTGCATTCGTATCATATTAAATTTTGGTTTTGAGTTGACCATGGGTTGAACTACCAAGGGTTATAGTGAGTTGATGTTGAGTTGACTATAAAGTGTTTTGTAGCATATATATTTTAATTAATAGACACTGCTTTTGGCAAATCTTGATATTTTACCAATATTCCCTCATTACATAAAATAAGTTGATTTTTATATTCCACGCCATACCTTGGTAGTCTTGCAAAGTTCTCTGCGTATCTGAAGGTCACGTCTGGCACACAATGCTCTTCTATATGGTCCAACATTGCACATTAATGCCTCCCTATTTTTCCTCCTTACTAATTCAGATGCATGGAGCTGGGCTACATTATGCAAGAATTCAAACTTTTCCGCTGATCTCTTTGGTTTAGTCTTAGCTTTTACATCAGCGTTAGGAAGTTCTTGTTTTATATTGTCTGTATCTTGCTGTGGATTTTCTTGTTTGATATCACCAGTTTCCAGTTTTACCCCAATGCTCTCATTTTCTGCAGTATTTTCTAAAAGTAAAATAAAGCAAAAAATTAACTATTGTGTGGAAACATGTATGTAACAGGGATGTATTGTAAAAGTACAAGTCAATCATTCGATATTTCAGACTGGAAGTCAGCAATCAACTTTCATGGTATTTAGTTTTGGGGGAGGGGAGGGGGGTCAAAGTCAAAACTAGATTTGTTTAGTTTCCGATCCAACATCAAACTTTTGATGCCTCCCCTAAAACAATCTCTGGCTATCAACTCATGTAAGTACAGAAAGAGTATCTGCTGTAACAAAGGTATTTTTACCTTGCTCTGTGGAATTCTGTTCCATCTGTTCCCGGCATACGGTCTGAACTTTCTCAAAGAGATTGTCACCTGCTAATTCCCGAGACACTCCAATATTAGAGAATATCTCACCAGGAGTGAATCTCTTAAGAGCAGAACTGTGTGTGGTTGGTTTGGGGGCAACTTCTTTTTTCAAACTCGCCCAGTCAATATCAAGAATGTCTACAGACTCTGAAAATGTACAGAAAACCTTGTGCATGATAAATATGTTCATTTCAGAACATTTAACTTTTTGAGAGCACGAAAAATAGGGGACCATGACACAAACCAAGATAAAATAACAGGAATGTTTTATTCGATGGAAATTCTTTCAAAACATTTTTTGGAGTAGCAAGTTAGTTCTTACTTGGTTTGTCTTCAGTGACGTCCATTTCATCACCACCTTTCAGTATGTTTTCCCAGTCCTCCTCATCATCAGATATAGACTCATAACCTTCTCCAGCAACTGTGCTACCTTGAAATACAATTAAAACATCAGATATAGACTCATAACCTTCTCCAGTAACTGTGCTACCTTATAATACAATTAAAACATCAGATATAGACTCATAACCTTCTCCAGTAACTGGGCTACCTTATAATACAATTAAAACATCAGATATAGACTCATAACCTTCACCAGCAACTGTGCTACCTTATAATACAATTAAAACATCAGATTTAGACTAATAACCTTCTCCAGTAACTGTGCTACCTTATAATACAATTAAAACATCAGATATAGACTCATAACCTTCTCCAGTAACTGTGCTACCTTATAATACAATTAAAACATCAGATATAGACTCATAACCTTCACCAGCAACTGTGCTACCTTATAATACAATTAAAACATCAGATATAGACTCATAACCTTCTCCAGTAACTGTGCTACCTTGAAATACGATTAAAACATCGGATATACTCGTAGCCTTTCTTCTTAAGTGAATGAATATTTTAAGGAGGATCTTATCAAAGATATTTTTGGACAACAATATTTATTGACTCACTTGGTTCATTCTTCTCGCCACCAGATCCTTGTTTCTGGTCCAACTCTGTCGAGGCTTTACTATCCTCTGGAGTCTTGCGGTCGTTCTCTCTGTCTGATCTGTCCCCAACTTTAGACCTATCAGAGTCTGTCTTCCTCCTACGGTCATCATCCTGTGAAATACATGATACCACATGATGACAACTGATTGATGACAAATGATAAAAATATTGAAGTTATCAAAAATACATTTTTGTTTTGAAAGATGGGAGCCAATTTGATATCAGTTGACATCTTGAAAAAAATCCATTTCTGAATGAAAAAAATATTGAGCAGCAATATTGAAATTTCCTTCTTGAACTTATGAATGAATGAACAGACAGATGTATGGATGTCTTGTTTATACATGTATGTTGTTCATATGGATATCTTGTTTGATATCTTGTTTACTGTATATGTTGTTCATAACATCTTCATTAAGTCATTAAGGACAGACAGACAGCTTCTCTTTATCCCTCCTGGATTATGTTCAGTGGTCTAATAAGCTAATGGAAATCACATTGTTTTACATTTAGCTAGAAATTAAGCTAAAAACATGTAAAAGGTACCTGTTTATCATCATCTTTACGGCGACTGTCATCATATATTCTTGACTTCCTGCTAGAATCTGAAGATGATGACCTCTTTGGTCTTGAATCCCCTTCATCCTACACAGGAAATATATGTATGGTAAAAAGTACAAAATGAAACATGTCGCTGATTAGAACAGTTTGTCCTGTGACTCACTGACTAATGCTAAATGAGTCTATAATTGGAACATCTCCCAATTGGCCAAGTAAAACATTTTTTGGTACAGAAGGGATTCAACTGGAAATGACATATTGATCCCTGGATCTAGGCATATTTGTACAATGCATCTATTCACCAAAATTGTTCATTGTTGTCCATTAATGAACAGGTTTTAGGTATGTAAAATTACTGACCCTCTTGTTATCCCTGCCTCTGTCAGACCTGCCTACACTCCTTCCAGAGGGTGTGGGAGACACATCTGCACGTCGTCGCTTGTTAGGAGATGCCTCAGGCCCCTCATCAAGAGCACGCTTCCTAAAAAACAAATAAAGAAATAATTTTTCAATGTGATTTCTAATTTTTTCAATAGCACTGTTCCACAGCTGGATGATGTGTTTGGGCATACATTTGTAGTTGAGTACAATTGTTGTTTTATTAATTTACATGGCAAAACTTTTGGAATCAAGATACAACTTAGTTTAGCTCAAATCGGAGGTTTATCGAAAACTAAAGAATCTCGGCAGCCATCTTGAATGAAGCTTACTGCAGTTAGAGTCATCCAGCTGTGGAACAGTGAATAGGTGGAAATTTGTACATAGATAAAATTCATATTCTAAGAAATGAATATAAAAAGAAGGTAATATGTAATTTGGAATGAACAAACCTCATAGCACGTTCATATGGTGTTAAATCATTATCATCATATGGCCTTGGCTCCCTGTCCTTTCTCCTTTCTTGCTGATCTGCTCTACCTCTTCCCTCCTTGCCTGCAGGCTGTTCGAGGAACTTTCCTTCCCACTCTTTTTGTCTGCCATCTTCACTGCCTGGTCCCCGCATTCGATCATCTGGTCCCCGAGGTGGTCGGTCATTGGAGCTTCTTGGAGGTCGGTCATCTGGGCCACCATGCCAGTCTTCCGCTCCTCTAGGTGGACGGTCATCAGGGCCTCTGGAACGTTCATCAGGGCCTCTTGAACGTTCATCAGGGCCTCTTGAACGTTCATCGGGGCCTCTGGAACGTTCATCTGGGCCTCTAAGACGATCATCCAGTCCTCGTGATCTATCTCTTTCATCTAGTAATCATTTTAGATGTGTTACAAAATAACAAATTGTCACCATCTAGTTGTATCTTGTGTAAAAAATATCTAAATGGACTTCATAAATTCAGTATAAAATACAGTTGCCACTTGACTAAATACATGTAAGATACTATCATGTTCATATGTTCTATGTCATTAAGTACATAAATAGCGTCTCACCTGGTCTATCTGGGAATCCACCACCAGGTTGAGTTCTCATCCTATCACGCTCATATGGTGTCAGATCACGTTCTGAGTTACGATCTCTGTTAGGATAGTACCTTCCTGGAGGCTCCCTCTCATTTCCTAAATGTCAACAAAATAATACGACAAGACTGATCTGTAAATCATATGTACAACCATTTATACAATTGCAGAATACCTGAGATATTTGATAAAATAAATGAATATACATCTACTAGTTAATATATTGTGAATAGAGGCATAATTAAAAAAATTAAAAAAACTTACCAGGATGTCTGTCAGGTCTTCGATCAGGATATTCCTCCTCTCTACCTCCTTGCCGATCCTGAAATCGCTGTTTATCCCCATATCTGTTGCCTCGGTCAAACTCGTCTCGTTCTTGTATTTTGTTGCCATAGCGATCATACAAAGGCCTCTCTGGTGGTGCAGCTGGGTTACTAGAGTAACGGTCATATCTGTCCCGGTCTCTGTTTTCACCTCTAGTATCCCGCTCATTTCGATTAAAATATCTGTCATCCTCCCGATTTTCTCCACGTTTATTATAATCATCTCTTGGTGGGGTAGGAATCCTGGGGGGAGGGACCCCTCTTGGGTGATCAGGCGGGGTGAGAGACCTGCCTCTACGTCTAGGGTCAGGGGAAACCCCTCCTCTTCTTCTATCATCTGATTGGTCATGACGACTTCTACTGTCAATAGGAGAACCACGTCTGGATGTTGATGGTGGGGTGTCATCTCTTCGTCGTGGATCTCTTCCTCTCTCATAATCCATGCGGTCTGGCGAATACTGAACTTTCCTTGATCTTGGTTCATCGGGGGAGTCTTTCCTATAGTCTCTAGGCGAAACATCTCTCTGTCTCTCCCGACCCTTGCCTCGATAGTCACTTGGGGAACGTTCACGGTGCTTTGTAGCCTCAGGGGAGCGATTGCCTTTTCCACGATTGATGGATCTACTGCGATGTGACCTAGAATGTTGTCTTGGTTCCCTCTCCTCATATGGGGAATGGTCCTCAGATTGTGATCGGCGTCTACGTCCTCGCGATTCTTCCCTTGGGGCTTTCTGCCTCCGGCGTTCTTCTTCATGGTACTTTTGTCTAGAAGCAATTAGCAAACATAGTATTAAAATAATTATTACAACAGTTCAAAACAACATTAAAAAATCAATAGCTGAAACTGGCTTTAAAAAATGCACAAATAAACTGCAAATGATCATATTTTGGAGAAGAATAATCAGAATAATGGCACCTGCCTTGAATGGTTTAGAAATCCAGATGATACCAATATATGGCCAAAGTAATAAGGTAACCAGTATGTATTAATTAAAATTCTATTGATCCTAGTTGACCTGTAATATATTGCTGTAATATTGTCTAACCTATACTGTGATTTATCACGAGACTCCGATGGGGACTTCCTCCGTGACTTTCTAGTTTCTTCTGGTGACCTTGACCTCTCTTCATCCGAATATTTTGTAGTTTTACGCTTTCTTCGATATTCACCTTCCGGGGTGTCAGGTCTCTTAGAGCCTGGCAGAACATATTTAGGCTTCTGCTGCTCTCTTAACTCCTTTACTATTTGAGCTGCCTCAAGTCTCTCTGCTCTTCTCCTGGCTTCCTCATATTTTTCCAGTCTCCTTTGTTTCTCTGGAGAATAACCACCGTGTCTGTCATCATCAGACTCATCATCATACAATGGTGTCGAGGAGCGCTTTTTCTTTGATTTCTCTTTTGATTTCTTGGGTGGTTTTACTGGTTCAATTTTCTCATAAGGGATTGGTTTTATTTCTGGTGGAGAATCCTCCCTGGGGGTGTGTTTCCTTGGTTTCTTGCTTGTTACAAGAGGAATGTCGTCATCTGCGCTGTCATAGCTGACCTTGGGAGATTTTGTTTTAGACCTTACTTTCTTCTTTTTCTCTGGGTCTTTATGTCTGCAATGAGATTAAATTATAAATATACAAAATAAATGGAATTAGGAACTCGAAAATTGTTTAAAGCAATGTTCATCATTATCATAAAAATTAATATATCTGATGAAATATGGATTATGGAAATACATGAAGTTGAAGAATTCAAGATGCAGAATTTCAACTACATGTATTTTCAGAATTAAGGCCAAATAATCTTTACATTAGAAGCATTTTTAAGAAATTAAAATGAGGCATGACAGAAATCTCTAATCTTTAAATCTCAATTCATAAGTTCCACAGAACTTTCTTATATCAATTTCTCATGGCATATATTCATATGTTCAATATAAATGACAATTACATGTATAACTCCCAATGCTTACTTTTTCTTATCCCTCACTATGTCTTCAGGGCTGGGTGTCCTGAAGTGTTGCACCACCTTCAATCTACTTCCTCCTGTAGGAGTCAATTTCTTCTCCTCACGTTTCTTCTCTTTTTTCTTCTTTTCTTTCTTCTTTCTGAAAAAAATATTGTGAAATCTATAGCCTAATTATAGAATTCAGAGTCATGCTTCAATACTTGCGTTCATGTTCCCCCATCTATTACCACAAAATCGTGACCATTTGAGATACACCAATGAAACTAAGTTAGTAGAATGAAAGAACATTGAACAAGGTATCCGTGCCAAATGATTTGAAACCGATGCTGAATGACAGTTATTAACATACATTTCTTTGGGTTACCTTTTTGGTTCACCCTGTACATATAGCATCTGACATGAAAAGAAAGATTTCTTATTTTACAGCACTGTGTAGATTCTTACTTGTGCAGAGGCAGTGGTTCTTCTATCAATGTACTAGAATGTTTCTTCTTTCTTTTGTGCATCACATGTTCTGGCTCAGAGTCTGATGATGTTCTCTACAATTAAAAATACAGGTACATAAACTACAACTAAATTGACTACATATACTAAAATTCTGTGATTCTGTGTCACCGCAGAAAAACCACAGAATTTTTGGTTTTGGAGAATTTGATTATTTCATGGAATTCAGCGGAAAACTCGATTCTCAAACTTCCTCCCTTGAACTTAAAGATTATGTTTAATGTATCACAAAATTTGAATTTATCAATATAGCAGAAGTTATCGCAGACTTTGGGATTTCATGCAGAATTTGCATTTTTCTCATGCAGAAAACTAGTACCTAAGGTATACAGTTTATATAAGAAATAAAAGATTTTCCGCGTGGCTCAGGTCTGTGAAATGAGAGAGGTGACATATGAGAGAAGTTTATCTATGTGCCATGCCAGCCTCAGGTCTGTGGTGGTACATATTTGAATTAAATAAGGTAAGATCAAAAATGAGAGAGGTTTACCTGTGCCACAGGTCTGAGAAATGAGAGAGCTTTATTTGTGCCTAAGAGGTGAAAATGTGAGAAATTTCCTTATGCCAGTCTCAGGTCTGAAACTTTGCCAATAAGGTAAGGCCAAAAATGAGAGAGGTTTACCTGTGCTTCGATCATAATTTGCTGAGCAGGAGAGTTTGCTGCACTGTCCGTGTCCTGGAGACGCTTCAGCTCCCTCTGTAGCTCTTGTCTCTTCTTCACCAGCATTAACTCTGTCTTAAAGTCTAATGTATGCTCCTCACCAGCTGTAACACAAACATAAAGCCGGGCTAGATTTACATTCGTCTATAAGCATGATAGGACTCTATTGTCGTAGGGGTGACCTTTTTCAGAATGTTGCCCAGGAGGTAACAACAAGGCACATGATGTGACGGAAATGACACCAATAAGTAGACAGTGAAGTTGATTGAAGTTGTGACTAACTAAAGCAACTACTTCTAAAATGGCTGCCAGAAAACAAGATGGCCACTGAAAAATAGTTAGTTGTAGAACACTCAAAATATGCACAAATCAAGATGTATTAAATCAAAATAACCACCATGTAATTTACCCAGCATGCCCAAAACCTAATCAGATGTTGGCACTAGTCTGCTCTAGCTACATCTGTTAAATTCTAAAATTGATCTTGGAATTCTGGTAAGAAGATTTGTCAAAAAATTCAAGATGACCCTATATGATCCTATACCCCTGACTCTGAGGCATCTACATATAAAATTCAAATCAGTATATGAGTCATCAATGATTTGATTTTTAATGAAATATTTCGAATTGTGGGATCCATATCAATTCTTGAGCTGAGCCATACCAAATCTGTATGCCTGTATCTAAGTTATCGTCAAGAAATACCAAACAAACATACGGATGGACAGACATACCTGTACAGAAAGTTGGACAAATGGATACTTCACTATATTCCTCGGAAACTTTGTTGGCTGAGATAATAACAAACGTTGCTGCGATAATTAAATTCTTATTCCAGTAAACAGATCTAAATTAAGTGTTGTCACCGCCAAAATGCAATCTGATTTTCGACGCCGTTTCGGTGCCGTTTCGGCACCAAATGGACTGACTAGTCCGGTTACAAATTTTGGTGTTGAAAGTTTTCGGTGCCGGAACGGTGTCGAATTTTTTCGATGCCGAAACGGCGTCGAATTATATTTGCTGTGTAGCAATAAGATGTGATTATTGCATCCCTACCTGGTCTCTCCCAATTGGCAGAGGTCTCCTCATCGCTACTGTATTTTCCATGCTTCGATACAATTACAGCTGTAGACTTCATCTTATCCTTATCTTTTGTACTGGATCTCCGACGCCTCTACAAGTTGCAAAAGTGGCAACAGATTATAACTAGACATCAAGATTGCAAGTCATCGTATGTAGGCCCTGAATACATTTTTGACTATATGAAGGTCAAACCTCAAATCCAAGGTCAAATATAAACTCCTGGCAACTTGAAAATGATGTTTGTTCAATTTGAAGCAAATCGAGGCCAGGGGGCCGTACTTTTACTTTCAATTGTTGAACACTAAACAAGATGTCTTACTAAATTACTAATGACAATATTATTAAGTCTCAAGTAAAATACCGAATGATTGATTGAGCTCTAAATGGAAAGCTCTTATTATCGCATGCTAAGAATGTGATAAATAGTCTGTCATGTAATATTGTTTTTGATTACTTCTGAATGATATTACATATTACTTAAGGTAGTTCTATCCCAGATGCCTTTAAATTAATAACTTTACAATAAATAAGGGAGTAGCTCCTTCTTGCCCCCCTTGGTGTGACTTACCTCTGGGGATGCTGACTCGCTACGTCTTCGTTTCATGCGTCGCCTTAGATCTTGCTCATCTTCACTGTTAAAAAACATTAATTAAACCCATGTTTACATTCAAGAAATAGAATTGATATATTACACTTATAACCCAGAGGTACACTCAGCTAGGATATACTCGTTTAATACATATCAAAGTTTATGGAAAAAACCTTTGTGATATATGATTTTGTCACTACAGGACTCCTCATGACATCATCTTTTGACAAATTATATCTTTAAATCAATAATATCTTTTGATACAATATCCTGATATCCAAACTGTTATTCTATTCATATTCTATAATGTCATTAGGAAACCTTCCAGAATTTTTACTGTACCATGCACCTATACATTCAGCAATATATTTGTAATCTTTCTCATGAAAAAATAAATCTGTGAACCCCCTCAATTCATTTATTCTCATTACCACTAGGCAAGCTAATTATAATGGAATGTTCACAACCATGCAAAAAAAATTTAGTCTAGTTTGCTTAACCTATAGCCTTGCCCAAGTCTGTATTTTTTTACTTATCTGATAGAAATCAAGATAAGTAAAAGAGACCGACTCGGGCAAGGCTACTTAAACAAGTGCATCTATAAATGTTAAAATTCAATGATCTGCTCACCCCCTTGCATCAATGTCATGGCTGAACTTGCAGTTATCCCCATAGCTACAGCGACCATGCTTGATGAAATATGAACACAGCTGCATACCCTCCTGTAGTGCATAGACAACATAGCACACCATTAACAGTTATATGTAATTGGAGTGAGTGAGTATTGAATGTGAAGGAAAGGCTGACAGTGTAGAAATAAAGATAACCTTTTCATTCACTGGTAATGAAATGCATACGAGGGGTGATCAATAAGTATTTTTTAGAGACCAATCCCTTTGATTTTCTTACCAGTGATACATCATTCAATTATCTATCAATTGTGAAGATAATAAGGTATTTTCATCTCAAAGGCAGGATACATTTGATCATATCATTCTTTCTCTTTTTAAAATGTAATTTTTTAATTTATTGCATTTAATTTCAACAAATTGGTCAGCTTAGGTGTTCATTCCAGTTTGGGTGGTAAACCACACTACCTTTTCCCATCAACCCAATATAATTAATAAACGTCAAAGAAGTAACGTCAAAGATGTTGCCATTTCAATACTACAAGACCAGTTTTCGTGAAACTTAGTACAGATACTTCCAATGAAATGTGACGTCTCATTGGGTTACCATAGTAACCATAAAATGAACCAATCAAATAGTAGAAGCTTTACTTTTGAGGTATTAACTCAATAATGTTTGGGGAACATTTGTACCAAGTTTCAAGATGATAAGTCAAGTAGTTTTGAAATGCTATCACCTTTGATATTACTTCTGGATCACCCTGTATTAACACACTTACCTCACTGCTAGCAGATCTGTCATAAGATCTATGTCCACCACCTCCTAATCTCTCAAAAACACTTCCTTTCCGAGACATGTCCTCCTAATATGCTTCTTTTGACATCCCAGTCATCCTAGCTTAAAACAAATCATTGAACAGGTTTCAGTAAACAGAAGGCGAAGTGGACAACTTTAGATCCATTGACATTTAGGAAAACCTGGTAACAACTTTTGCCATTACATGCATTCTGCTTAATAAATTCATAATTTGAATGCAAAACTTTTATATGTCGTGGATTGCCAGTGGATTTTGCTCATAAAATGTGTGAGGCCTTTTATATTTTGATGCTTCTCTGGTACATAATTTTCAAAACAAGAAAATGCAGCAAACTCCTTGTAGTCGAGATGTCCAAGTCAAAAAAGATGCCTAGCCAAGGCTTTATTACCATCGGTCAATTATAGAGCAAGGCACTGAACGAAACGATATGCTTGTTTGTTTTGTTGTTGGTTAGGTAACATGTCTATGACGTCACAAATGATAGAATAAACTTTAAACCAATCAGTGAGGTCTAGATTATTTGTTTGTTTAGGTGTTGATTAGGCAATACAACTCTGACGTCCAGTACTGTCAACCCCCAGAGATTTTCTCGCGGGACAGAATTCTAAGACCCAGAGCCCAAAATTTGCGGGATTTTGCAGGACATCTACCTAAATTTGCGGGATTTCGCGGGACATTTAAGGGATTTGCGTGATTGCGCTAATAGGCCAAATTTTGATCAAAGGTACGAAATATTTCCATGAAATGTGTGACATATACGGTATCCACGTGATAAGTCTGAATGAAATGCGTCGTTTTTTAGATGTTCGTTTTTTTGCTCTATTCACCTCTGTACTCATTTGACCGCTGCGCTGATTGGACGATGAAAATCAATGACGTCAAAGCAGGGCACATTTCGCGCCAAAACTTCAATTAGTATTAGATCGCCGATTGAGTGAAATAGATCTCATTATAAAATGATAACAAAACTAAGTGAAATATATTTTTCTGACTATTTTGTCTTAAGCTGTGTCTTAAATACACCATCCGGTAAATCAAACCATAGAAATAATTGTGATACGTGTGCTCATCTTTGAACAAAGTGAATCCAACTACGCAAACCAGATTGACAATCATTCAAACAATAATATACATTTATCATGATTATTCAATTAAATAGTTCATTATGTTTCTAATAAAAAGTATATGAGGAACAGTTTTAAATGTCAGAGTCCACTTGCATTTTTCTCATCGGGTTGACCCAATAATTTGCGATTGCTCATGGTCAAATTATATATTGAAGTAACTAATATTCATCATACTGTAGTAGTTTGCATTTTAATTGCAATTCAAAGCTTAATTACAGGCCCGTAGTCAAAAAGTTACCCCTTAGTTAAACAGCTCCCCAAAGTAAATCCTGACTACGGGCTTGAATTGCCGGCGTTTCTCTCTTGTAGGTCTACGTCCAAAAATATCCTGATAGTTCTCTTAAAGATCGATATTTATAAGAACGCCCATGGGCTTTTCAAGAGATAAATCTCTTGAAATAGACGATCGTGGGTAAAACAAGCAACTCTGGTACATTGTCTCAAAGCATACATGAACGGCTTTAACATTGTTCAGTGAAATTAGTCATCACTCATGTAACCATTGTCAAATTCTTTGGCAGACATAAAAGTAACATTGTCATAGTACAATAGCTGGCTGAACGTAAGCGATAATAATGCACCCTTGGCCCAGATTTGAGAGTCGAATACTTTTTCTTCAAGGTTAAGCCGTATCCCCTTCTTCACCCCATGAGAAAATATTACACGAACTAAAGATTACCATGAGATGTTGACATTTTGACAGTCAAGAACTAAACATGGGGTTTTGTACAGTCGGCGTAATTTGAAAATGTACAGGAAACATTGGACTCTTCACATTAATATTTCTCTTTTTATTTGATTTCCCAGAACAATATAAAGAAGGGGGAATATAGACGTGAGTATAATTAATTCAATTCCATGACATTTATCATAAATATTATTACTATTCAACATAATTTGACAATAAAAGTAACCCGTTTCCGTCACGATTCACATTGACTCCTAATGTGTTTAGATTTTCCCGCGAAAATCTGCCCTACTCTGACGTCAGAGATTTCAGATTTGCTAATTATAATATTCATGAGCTGACTTTGGGGAAAGGTGAATAAGCGATCACTTTTTGAAGTTTTTATACAGAAATATTTTTGCTTGAAAATAATCAGGTAAAATGCATATTTGAGTGACATTCCGTCACGCAAAAAACTGGCGTGACTTCAAATTTTTCAGCAAATGTGTGACAAATACGAAAATTGCGGGACAGTTGGACGGCCTGCAGGAGCAAGTGATCAATGGATCCATGGGCTTTCAAGGGACTCTCAAAAACCCATGATGGTTTGCCCCTACTTTGCGCTACCTATGGCAAAGACCTTGAAAAATATAATATGGCCATCAATATTACAATTACAATTTCAATACACCGTGGTCCTTTGATTGGCTACATTATGTTCGGAGGTTTCAATTTGAAGAAAAAAAACAACCCTTATTTTGGGGTACTGTGGGATTAGATGGTGTTACTTTGATCATACGCATTCATGTTTCATATTTTGAATGATACAACAAGAAATCGGCATTATATATTATATCCGAAAAGACGTTGACCACAATTCTAAATCATTATAAAGTATAAATAATCTCACCAGAATTCAAAGGGGACTCTCACGACGAAATTGTTCAGAGTTGGCAATGCTAATTTATTGTTTCGAATCTTTTTCTTTGTGATTTACGTTAAATTTGGCATTTCAGTCCGATTAAATTAAACATTATCTAAGTATTTAGTCAGATGTTTTTAATATATGTATACAAATTTTAGCAACTTTAGTTCGATAATGAAAATTTTGATGATACGCAAATATTTTGGGAAGGGAATTCTCCAGAGCTATTTCTGTTTAAGGTACAGCTGGAAAGTAACATTTTGCACTAGAGGCAATCTGCGCGAGATTCCATTTTTTGGTTCGGTTTTTAGCGCATGCGCAATAAATCCAGCAATTTTATTGGTTCAAATTATTATAACGCATGCGCAATTAATAACTTATAGGAACATTTAATTTGAGATAGATGTCACTTACGTTCATTTTTTCACAGCAGTCCCCACCCATGATACACCATATAGTGCGGTAATATTTTTGTTTATTGTCAAAACAAAAAGTATGCACCCAAAACAAATGTAATGACATAATATCAACCTGCCCCGGATTTGTAGACGTATGTTGTACAAACTTAAACTGAACCGATGGCAGAAAAGCACTTTGAATCATGGGAATGAAGTACTTCCTTTAATGAAAAACCGAACCAAGTAAAAACCGAATCTCGCGCAGATTGCCCCGACTCACATTTTGGTAAAAAATTGCTATACCTGCACATGTTATTTTCTGGTACAAAATAAAGTATGAAGGCATGTGTCAATTTCCTTGCTTTTTTCAGGAAGGTATCATTACATTGTCTTCTTTTAGAATATCTGGTAGGCGTTCAATGGGAACTCCAAGAAATTCTGATATTTCACACTTTCTATTTTTCCAAATTTTCTTTCAAAGTTTCCAGACAACACAGGAGCTACTATTGACCTGTTTCCAGATATTCTAAAAGAAGACAGTGTAATGATACTTTCCTGAAAAAAGCAAGGAAATATACACATGCCTTCATACTTAATTTTGTACCAGAAAATAACATGGGCAGGTAGATCTATAGCAATATTTTACCAAAATGTTACTTTCCAGCTGAACCTTAATGGGACATCCCCCTTAAAAATTGAGAATGATTAAAGGTTGCATTCGAGCTTTATTCACCAAATCAGCATTGGTCGGCGTATCTAAAGATAGATTTACACGTCTGTTATTACAGAGGATGTCCTTGTGTGCATTTGGTCGTGATCTGATACCTTATGATCCTCCTGATTATGCATGTCATCTCAAACATCTTCCAAAGTACAAAATAAAGGTACAGTTGGGGACATAAATAAATGACAGGTGGATTTGCTGAAGTGAGGATTTCCCATGTTAAAAATAAGAGAATTTACAAGAGGCCATAAATCAGTGGATGAGATTATACAAAATGTAAAATATACAAATTTTAAGGGATATGTATCTAGACAATATTGGAAATTATGGGCTTTCAGACCACCATAATTAGGAAATGGTGATCGAAAATCGACCTGTCATTTATTTTTGTCCCCAACTGTAAACACAACCATGGATAGTGAAGCTGATGACACTTATCTTGTTCCAACACCATCCTCTTCGTTTCTGCCGTCCAACTGTCCCGCAATTTGCGTATTTGTCACGCATTTGCTGGAAAGTTTGAAGTCACGCCAGAATATGTCACGCAAATACACATTTTACCTGATTATTGTCAAGCAAAAATATTCCTGTAGAAAAACTTCAAAAAATGATCGCCAAAACAGCACAAAACTGAAAAAAATGAACGCATTTTGTTCGGATTTTTCATCCGGATACTGTATAAGTCAAACATTTTCCTCGAAATATTTCGTAAGGGGTTACATCAATATTATTCAATTGTGATTGTCTCTGTCTGACACCCCTGAAAATTTTCTGTTCGACTGCTTCCTTTATACATCCAATGTTATTTTTGTTCCAGCTAGCTCAATCACCCACCCCTATCCACAAATGGAATATTCCAGGTGTTCCAGATGAGTATACAATTAGCATTAAGAGGGATGATATGACTGGAAGCACTCTATCAGGGAATAAGGTGAGGCTTTAATAAAACAGTATGCAACTATTATACACTTTAATGGGGTTCAATGTTATGAAGCCTAATGAGACTCTTCACATACCTCATCCATCCCAGAAGGGCCCTCAAATTTAATAACCCGAGGGTGCTCCAGTGGAATGACTAACTACCAAGCATAGCGTAACAAGTCAGATTTAGAAATGAAAGAAAGTTTGTGAAATTCAATGGCTTGTGTGGGAGTCGAACCCAGGACCCTTAGATTCAAAGTCTACTCAACCAACTGCTGAAGTCACAGATTTTGTTCACCAGGGTCGTTACATAGTCTTTGCCATCATGTATGAGTTGTGGTCATGACTGCCCATAGGTTGTTTGACAGCTCAACCAATTCCTATTGTTGATTTTGCAGTATTGTGTGGTTATATTCCAGGTGAGGAAGCTAGAGTTTCTGTTTGCAGATGCCTTGGAGAGAGGGTGTAGTCATGTCATAACATGTGGTGGAATACAGTCCAATCATTGTAGAGCTACAGCAGTTGCAGCAACACAGCTAGGTCTCAAAGTGCATCTAGTTCTTCGTGCAGATATCAAGGTATACAATAAAATAGTACATATACATATACTGCATAAAAAGTATGTATAAAGTATCTCAGTTAAAATATGATGAATTACTTGGTCAAAGAGTGGTCATTATCCCACCAAAGTTTGGAAGGAATGTTGATAAGCCATCTGTCTATCCAGCTGTATATTTGTTGGTATGTTTGGGCAATAACTCAAATACTGGTTTGTTTCAAGTTCTATATGGATATGGATATGGTAGGTCTTATTGGCATAGGTCCTCTGCTCTTTAAGAAATTTTCAATATGAATGCTCAATTCAAAATTGCCACCATTTTTTGTAGAAATGTAATCTTTCCAGCACAATTGAAATCATCATATAGTTATTCCAAAATTTGATGACTCTATTTTTGTGTCACCCTGGATGTTCATCTCAGACTGTAGTTTGTATTTGACCCTAGGATGTATCAGAAGTGTCGTGCCAAGGTAACTTGCTGATGAATCGGCTTTGCGGGGCTGACATGTACTTTGTGCCTCGAGGTGCTCCATATGAAACACAGCTGAAGCCTAGGATGGAGATAATTGCTCAACAAATAAAGTAAGTTACAATACATAGATTTTAGAAGCCCTGGTTACAATACAATATGCAAACGGTAATCCTCCTGAGGTTCTAAGTATCTGTATCCATCCCAGCCCCAATCCACAATTTTAAAATGATTTTTTAATATTGATTTCAAAAAAGATGTTTTTTGAAAATATTAAGTTTTAAAATCTAAATATGGATTTTTTAACTATTAAAACCCTTCAATACATGTCGTTGAACAATAAATGTCGTTGAATATAATATGAACAAAATTGATAGGACACATAAGTTTGGATGGAGGCAATCTCTATATCCCAAAAACTTTGTTCCATGGGATAATAATAGAATGTGGAGGAGACAAGAATATGATATATAGAGGATATCGTATGATTTATGAGTGATATGATTTTTATCCACGAATGGATTATGATAGCTGCACGAGCGAGCGTAGCGAGAGAGTGCAGATATCAATATCCATGAGTGGATTAAAATCATATCACGAGTAAATCATAGAATGTTCTTTTTATTCCATAGTTAAAGTCATCATCAGAATCATCGGAAATTAAGTTTTTTAATTCGAATTTTCCAAACGATCCGGCGATGATGTTGACACTTAGCCTCGGTTTGAGTCTGAAGTAGCAAAAATCCATAAACCATCGCATACGGCGCCGTATGTCATGGCTAAAAAAACGTATGCTATGGTTAAGTGAAAATTTGTCAAAAATATCATATTTTACCACTGATTACAAAAATACCGTTCTTATTTTCACATGTTATCCTATGAATATCATGCTAACTATGGAATAAACAGTATTATATTTATTCATTTTCAGGAAAGATACTGGGGAGGATACATACCACATACCTGTTGGAGGTTCAAATACTTTAGGTATGTTTGGTTACCTTGATGCATTTACAGAACTACTTAGTCAGGTGAGTGTACACTATAACTGAACATGTCTCAACCATTGGAAAAATATTTTAATCGAACCATGTGTCACATGTCATTTACTAGTATATTTTGCAATATTTAGTGGTTAATCATATTATGCCTTGGTCACATTTGCTCCGATTTTCACTACGGCACCCAGCCGATTGAGTATTTTGTTCAAAATTGAATTCAGGCATTACTCATAAATAACCCCCAATGTTGCGTAACATTACATTATAGGGCAACCTACAATCCAGGTAGCAAATATTGTGGCATTGTATATTTCAGGGTGTTGCTGATAATTTCGATGACATTGTGTTTGCCTGTGGCAGTGGGGGCACAGCAGCTGGCCTGTGTATTGCTAATTACCTTACTGGCTCTAAACTCAAGTAAGCTTCTCTTTATCACACATATTGCGGCATATCTTTATTTCTAATGTAGTTGTTAGAAAAAAAATATTGGAAAAAAGCTTGTGTCTACAAAGCAGATGCCAGTAGGTAGTTACCAGTTTCCTCACCAGATGGCAAATTCGGGTCAGATAACATGGCGGATATAGCACTACAACTTGAATATTCATCAGAATAAATAATCTGTCCAACACAAGAAAATTTATTTCACTTTTTATGATTTTATTATGATTTTATAACATGTGTCTAAGTGTCCAGACTTTTGTCTCAGTTTATATATAAGGCAAAACAACAGAACTGACATTTTTGAACTGTAAATTCTAAATGAATGCAGATTTAGTGCAAAACATGAGAGCTTCTTTACTGTATTTTCATTTTTTCAGGATCCATGCATTGATAGTATGCGACAGTGCTCAATATTACCATGGTCACATCAATGAGGTGCTGAGAGATGTTGGTCTTAATGATGTCACCTCTGAAGAGATTGTTGATGTCATTGAGGGTCATAAAGGTCAAGGTTATGCTGTATCTCAGCAATTTGAACTGGGTGAGTAAAAAACTGAGGATTTGAGTAGTAAGCTAAGATATTTATTTTGAGTTAGGACCCTGAGAACAAGGCAGTTACACAGCAAAATGCCACCATCTGAAAACAGTATTAGAGAAAAGTTATAATAGATTAAGTCACTCAATTTGTTGCCATGGTAACAAATGTGATTTAAAATCTAAATATGCCTTCAGATTGCCTAGGTGATGTATTTCAAGTTCATGACAATGACTTATTACGTCGTGGTAGAACAAAATTAATATTTTGAGAAAATGGGGTCAGGCCCGTAGCCTGTTGGGTTCAGTTTTTTCACCATTTTGAGCACTTTTCAAGTGATTTTGGGCTAATGTTTTCAAATGTGATCCCCCTCCTGGAATCTTTTGAAAAGTGAACCCCTCAGCAAAAGCTGCCTGGCATCCTGGGCCTTGGGGGTAAATGATGATTTTGTAGTATTTTTCGCTAGCTGTCATTGTTCTTTTGATGTCACCTTATGTCTCAAGGTCACACAATGATAATGCATGGTCTAAATACAATCTCACAGTATTAGACTATAAAGTATAGATAGAGGATATCCTATGGTTCTTGAGGGATACCCATTTTTATCCATGAGTGGATATCACCCATCTCCATGAGTGAGCGCAGGATATCATATTTATCCTATGGTCGCTATTTTTTTTTTCTATCATATAATTCATATTACAAAATGATTGCATGAAAAATGTAATTCTTTTTTACTGAGCACATTACCTTTTTGTTTTCAATTTTATTCTCAATTTTTTTTCAAGATTTTTTCTGAATTAATTTTCAAAAAATTTTCAACATTTTTTTACAAAATATTTTTTAAATGGTATTCATCGGATACGATTGGATATCACGTCATATGGATCAGATACGATTTTAGTGACGCATACTAAAATTATCTTGTTTATATCTTATATATTTAAAGACATATCTGTAAGAGACCCTGTATTGTATACAATAATCTTTTTATACCTAATGAGATGCGAGGTACATAACATACAGAAATATATTTGTAGTGTCCCTGCAGTCCTAGGGAGATATACACACATATTTCCCTCTGGATAAACCCTATATCCAAAACCTTCCAGTTCATAACATTGATGTATTGTATGTTTCAGATTATTTGAGGGATGTAGCAGTGGGCACTGGTATAATGCTGGACCCTGTCTATACAGGCAAGGCAGTACTAGGTCTCACACAGGAGCTCAGGACCAACACCAGTAGGTTCAAAGGACAGAGAATACTATACATCCACACTGGTGGTGTATTTGGACTATATGATGGAAGAATTGACAATACACTCAAACAAACTGATAGTGTCACAAATAAGCTTCACATGTGGATGGATATAAACTCACCACCATCAGATTCCAAATAAAAATCTGCTTATGAGTTATGAGAGTGATATTTAAAGGGTAACGCATATCGTTTTTGGTGTGCAGGTTGAGGTCAGTGTATAAAACTATAGACACCCCAGCTTGTTTATGTATAACCAAACCCGTCTGGCCCAGTTATCTACTCTCGATATCGTAGATCTACTAGATAACTGGGCCAGACGGGTTTGGTTAGTTTATGTAGTGATAGTGTAGTATTGATCGCCATTCATTTACAAAAGGGAAATTTTTATTTTGATGAATCAATTTCACCTTTTATTGGTGAAGTTTCGGGATCTTCTGTTTGATATCTTGATTTACCTACCAAGTATAAGTACAAAGCATGGTATTATGAAATGCCATATATTAAATGAAACAACACGTTTTGGACTAATACCAGGATTTATACTGGATTCGAACATGACTGCATTCATGCTTCTATAAACTGTGAACAAAGTCAACATTTCACCCGGGGTATAATTGCGAACAATACCCCTGGTAATACGAGCAATGTGTGGCGTCATAATGGCTACGGGCCGTAGTAATGGCAGACCATAAATGAATATTTGAACCATTTTGGTGAGTTTTCATGTTCGAATCGTAATATAGACCTCAGAGCAGGTGTAATATCGTCGAATACGCTCCTTAGGGGTAGGCACAAAAGCTTTCGAACCCCTCACTCCCCAGGTCGTTCGGAAAACGTTTGTGCCTAGCCCTGTGGGGAGTATTTGACGATATTACCCCTGCTCTTTGGTCTATATTTCTTAAGGTATGCGTAACCCTTTAAATATTTACTAACAGGGCAAATTAGGCTATTTATGTCTTTGGTTTATGCCTATGCACACACTGACTTGGCTTGGAACTTAAAAAGACATGTACTTCCTCTCTGTGGTTATCTTTGGAACATAACCTAATTTATAAGCTGTTGAAATATATAATTTTCAATTTCATATCCTTTTGCAACTTGCCCTATTTTTGAAAATGACCAGCAAAATACGATGAAAATCATAAGGGGTTTTCAATAAGTTTACCTTCATGCTTAAACCAAATTGCTGGTAACTTGTGAATGAATTACCTGCTGAAGGCATCCCAGCATGAGCTTCCACAAAATGGTGCCATATTTATAAAGCAGGGGTTTCATTAGCAGCAGGCAACAGGTGATTTTCACCAGTTGTTTTCACAAAATTGCCTGTTGTTTTTAGGGACTTCTCAACGTTTCCATGTTAAATTCATGATTTCCCATTAATTTTGTCTGTTGCTTTCATTTATTTAGCATGTTGTGAAAAATTCTTGTGAAACCCCTGATAAAGTGTAATAAATATGAGGATATTCATTTATACTCTATGTACCAAGATGTTAATTTATATAAATACAGAATATATTTAATATTTTTAAGTTTTATTTTTTATCTCATTTTGTAACATTGTAATTTTATACATATAAGCAAACATGTTTTATAGTGGTTTAATATAACACGGATTGGAAGGGTAAATATCGACTATGTGACTCCCCTTGTGTGTTGTATCACTCAGGATCTGGCTCCTGTATTCTGATAAATATTAATAAATACAATATTCTTTCAATTTCTGTTTCGTGAAACCTGAAAATATAAACCAATCTCTGACTGTGAGCAATAAGAGAACATTTTCTAGCCTTGGGGGAACACCTCTCTAAACTAAATTCGACAATGGCAACATCAAGACAAAATTTCATTGAATGTCTTGTCAACTGGAAGACCCATAAATGGCAGCCATTTTTAGGAATTACTTGTCAAAGATTTTAGTGACAGCCATTTTGTATGTATTAAATACATATCACTATCAGTGATCTCCCCAGCATTAAAGCAAGAGGGTGCATGCAACCACCTGATATTTTCAAAATAGGCGTGCACCCACCTGAAAATCCATTTGCACCCACTTGAAAATGAGAATGATGCACCCACTTGAGAAAAAAACCTGTGGAGATCAGTGCATATGATATTAAAACTAACTGAAATACTTTTCCAGCTATCATATTCAACTCATTATATTAGATGAAATATAAAATGGCCACGATTTTTTAAAAAGGTTATATTGTGGAAGGATAATGTATATCAGTGTCATGAGCTGCTCATACAGAATTGTTCCATTACTTTTGATTTATAAAAGAAGAGTTGTCGTCTTTATAAGTACAGTATGTGTATTTATTAACATTTGAAATATGTAACAAGGCACATATAAAATGGCTGCCATAATTTTGATCCTCTTTAAAATTGACATTAAATGGCTGCATATTTGAAACCAGTGGCAATTGTGAAAATCAGCCTTCAAACTGAACTTCTGTTTTAACAGAGAATATCCATAAAAATATGAAAAATTGTGTTTGTGAATCTAGTGTTTGAATTACAGGGTGGGCCCAATAAACGTCCATATCTTTATTTTTGTAATAGCTGCTGATAAATAAATAAATCATACATCATTAGAAAGATAATTCAATTTCCAACAAGATGATGTATGGTTCATAAAATATAAATGGGTATTGGTGACTTCATGATAGTTTTCGTATCATGAGGTAGTAATAGTCAAAAATAGGATTTTGCTATATGTTTTGAGCGTATTGCATAATATTACATTGCTTAATCAAAGAAAAAGTATTGGATTTGACTATTTTTTTATGCATTGTAGTTCGTTATAAAGTCAGATTGATGGATACATTGATATTTGCTTCAAACACATTTTGCAAAGAAACCCAATTGAAATTTTGCCATAACCCATAAAATGAAATAAATCTATATTATTTCCTCTTATTTCCTCCACAACATCATTATTGCCCATTTCATGATATTTTTAGCCTTAAATAGGCATTGTGTCCAAAATGTCTTGAAAATGAGTAAGTATTCAACTATTTCATACAAACTTCACTACATTATTTAGGCTTTATTACCAATTATATCCCAAAGCTAACATAGGGGTTGTATCTGTCTGGTCAGTTCATAACATTCTGTATTCAGCAATTGGTAAATCAAGATTTTGACCCCTGTGGTAATTGAGATGATATATTAAGACAAATACTCCTTAATATGATATGAACTATTGTCTTTCCAATGATATATGGTTTATACATTTGTCTGTAATATCAACAACTTTGTAGCATAAACAAAAATATGGACGTTTTTTGGCCCACCCTGTATCACCAGATGAATGGATGGAGGCATTTTTTATGTTCCCTTGAACATTGTTTGATGGGTTAATAATCCAGATGGGAGTATTTCTAGCAATTTCAATAGCTGTGTTCATATTAAACAGGTTTTACTGTACATAAAGCAAAAGACTATCTTTTAGATTGTTAATACAAAGGAGAGGTAAATAACACAAAATTTGTCAGTAGAAAATTCCCAAAATCATGATTCATATTACAAAACAGATGTTTTGTAAAGTGCAACTTAAACATGCAGTCTAGCTTTGTTTTATAAAAACAAATAAATATAAATATCCTACCCAACAAAATGACTAGTACATGAATCTAATGTCAGGATCTGAACTAACAAAGGCATAGTGTACATATTTCGCCACTACTAAGCCATATAACAGAAAGTTATTAATCGACAAATAAACTGCTTCAAAATAATGCATGAATGAGTGTAAAAAACCTAAGGACCCAGCTAAGAAGTCTATCAATTACAGAAGCTTATATTGAAATGACTTACTATTCATCACTAGGCTTATTCACAATCCCAGCGATTCACTGAGATGAGCTTTTAATTATGATATGAGATGGAGCAATTTACCAGGAGGGTCAAGGTAATCAACTAAGAGATCTCCATGGTTTATCGATGACTTGATCCTAATGAAATGATTTATGGACAATTATGACGACAAAACCAGGCATTAAAATTCAAAATGTCACCACCTACCATTTGTGACAGATGCCGAATGCCAACAAACAAATGCAGAACACCATCCACAAAAAGGTTGGAGACTATAACAATATCTCACAACTTCTTGTGGCGACATAAAGAAACTGAAACAACATAGCCAACAATCAGTTACTTGATTGTGTTGGCTGTATCTGGCATGTCACTTCAATATTGCACAATAAAAGGATGAATGTTATTTTAACAATACATAAATAAGTAATGAGGGTCGTCCAAAAAGAATTGACATTTTTTCTAATAAAATTTTACTTTTTATGTATTTTGCTTAAATGGAACATTAATTAAGTCAATTTCCCTAATTAGCTCCATTAAAAATAGGGAATTTTCAAAAATTTTAGGTTCATGCAGTGAAAGAGTAGTTACTAGTTATACTGCATATTGAGTAGTTATTATATACTATTTTAGTGTTTCTTGATTGACAGTCTTTCATATGGGGCAAAACTGGATAATAGAATTTGCACAACCTGACAGTGACAACACAACACCCAACCTACAAGCAACAAGAGTTACTATAACTAGAAAAACAGCCCCAGAGTAGTAGATCCTAACAAAACATATTTTATCAAACCACTCATCATTTTGAACAGTTCATGATAGATATAACAAGACATGCATTATCTTATATCCTATTAGCAAAATCTAATACCATGACATGACCCATAATAGATGTTCCTTCTCGAATAGGAGCTCATATCCCAAAATGCATCGGCCTATTAGATTTTAACCAAATCAATTAACTGGTATTTGAGTTATCCCAATCTGGACATGCATATGGACTGACGAATGGACCAACAGTGTCTCAGTCTATATCCCTACTTGAAATCTTTGGGTGGGATAGTCATCACCATGCAAGACTTATATTAAGTTAGAGGCTTCAGTAGTAACAATATATATATCAATCAAAATAATGCCTTCATCCTGATACTAGGGTATCACAGTACAGATTTATCATTGAAACTTAACATAAGATGTGAAATTACATGTTGTTACATAATTATCAGGACTCAGCTCGGAGTTGTATTAAGATCATCCCATTATAGTACATTTCCCATCCTTTTAACTGACAGCTTTTTGAGTATTAACGACAAACACCTAATATAAATGTGTATACTATTAAAGCACAGTGGAACCATTGCTTTATAATTCAATGCCTTGGATATGTTGCCATAATGCTTACATAATCCTTTAGTTACTTTAAATATACAAAAAGCCAGAACCTGTTTAGTAGTCCATATAATACACTATCATTAAAAATATTCATTATAACAAAATGCAAGGGTATCTTATGTTATTGTGTTTTCTGAGGTGGGGGTTCTCTTTCGGATCTTTTACTGTTATCTAGAGTTTTCACCATATTACGCCTTCTACCACTAGGTGGCATCACTCTCTGTGTTGATGACGACGTCGTCGTTGACGTAGGTGTTGCTGAATTAGTACTGCTAGTTGACCTACTCACTTTGGGCCGAGTGGATGTGGAAACTTTGGTGGTTTTAGGCGGTTCCGATCCTGAAACGCTCTTTTGCCTAACACTACTGGCGCCCTCTTTATGTAGACCACCACTAGCAGTGGCTCCATCTGTTGGCAAATTATGGAGGCTACTATCTGGGGTTAACCAGGCTGAGTCTGTATCTGAAGCATTGAATGATGTAGCACTGGAGCTACTGCTAACACTGTTTCTAGACTGGGTCTCATTTAACTGCAAGTGTTCTGTCATTGATGACAAGAGTAATTCTTGTATAAACAAACTGCGATCTGCCCGGTCAGTTTCTGTCGCTAGGCGCTCATTCTCTGTTAACTCTGGCTCTGTCACCCTGTAATGACTAGACACATCAGAACTTAGCGATAGGAAAGCATTCATAGTTCAATTTTAAATGGTCTCTTAGTACCTTACCAATGCATTGCTTTATGCTATCATGCAATCAAGATGTTAAGTATTTAGCAACATGGATACCTTTATATTATATATTTTTTTATTTAGAATTGCATAACATGTACATATTTTAGCAAAAACAATCAAAAATTAACTCTTAGCAGTCAAAACTAAATCCCAGTATTTGCTGCCCTGGTCTGGGCAAAATGGACAATTTGACCATAGTAATCATTAAATTTTTAATTTTAGGCTATAGTCAAATCACTAATGGGTTTCTAACATGGTGATAGTTCGCGATCATATATATTCTTAGATTTTCGGCACACAGACTAATATGGACATTCTAAAAATTTTGATCCGCATTGCCAAGCGCGAATCGCACTCCTTCATGGTGAAAATTCAAGATGGCCGCCAAAATTATCGTCAAATATGTATATTTTTTTGATAATTATTTTTACTGCCTTTATTTCAATAAAATGTGATAAATTAATGTCTTCAGGTATTATCTAATAATATTCCTACCAAATGAATTTTTTATTAAGTATAAACATAAGAAATAATATATAAATAATTTACTAGCGCCATCTTTTGATAAAATTATACCAAAATTGACGTCAAAATAACAAACATTTCCCTTATTCACTGCTTCTTTTCAATAAAATTTGACAAGTTTATATTTTATCAAGGCTTACTGATAATATTCAACATATATCCGTCAAAATATTTCATTATAATCAATAAAGAAGAGTGTTGGGCAGCCCTACCTATAGGTATATATGCATTGAACTGCTCTGAAACATAAATTAATGATTATTATTTTATTCATGCTGACCCAATTTACTTATTCTTAAATAACTGTTATCTGTAATGAAAATGTTAGATTTTCGGCACACAGACTAATATGGATATTTTAAAGATCTCAATCCGCATTGCCAAGCATGATTCTCACTCCTTAAAATTCTAGATGGCCGCCAAAATAATCGTCAAATAAGAATATTTTTTTGATAATTTTTTTTCTGCTTTTATTTCAATAAAATGTGATAAATTAGTGTCTTCAGTTATTATTTAATAATATTCCCACCAAACAGTTTTTTATTAAGTATAAATATAAGAAATTGCTCTTACAGCACCACCTTTTGGTAAAATTATACCAAAATTAACGTCAAAATAATAAACAATTTCCTTATTAACTTCTTCTTTTCAATAAAATTTGACAAGTTTATATTTTATCAATGCTTAGTGATAACATTCAACATATATCTGTTAAAATATTGCATTATAACCAATAAAGAAGAGTGTTGTGCAGCCCCACCTATAGGTATATGCATTAAACTGAAACATAAATTAATAATTATTATTATTTTATTCATGCTGACCCAATTTGTTTATTCTTAAGTAACTGTTATCTGGAATAAAAATGTTAGCGTTTCTCTTTCTAGATTCAACAACATGTAAGTTGTAGAAAGTAGAAATGAGAGTTATATGAAGGGGGAGGGGGTATGTAAGTGGGGATAAGGTTTGTGGGTATATATTGAGGCATGTCACCCATCTTGATTTTCTGTGTGTTTCTGCACTCTGAAGTATAACAGAACTGTATTACAATTTTCTTCATTTTAGTTATATTGAAGTCAGTTTAAAGTCTAATATTCATTGTCTCTCATGTTGACGTGTATAAAGTCAACAAATTATATCAACCCAGACCAAACACCTGTACTTGCTGCCGAACAGCCCCTCTTTGCACTGTTCAAGCAGTTATAGTGGACAATGGCAAGAGATGGGAGAAAAAACGAAGCTGATAAGGATACTTGGTGGAATACACACTGAGATGGGAGCATTTCACATCTTTGGCAATCTATGAGAGAACCCTGGATGGATAATCTCCCTCTCTCAAGCTGGCATAGCCACATCTGGTACAGCTGATTCCTTTATCAAAGTTAACCAACTCGCACTAACTTGCAGAGCACATCTTATTTCTGCCTGTAGTTTTTATATTCTTGACAAAAAAGCCTGTGAGACACATTGTTTGTGCTGTGATATCGATGAATAACCTCAGTTTGAGTTGGATGACTGGGTGAAAAAACAGTCCCAGCTGAATGGCTCTTCCCAATTTAAGTTCTGGTCGATGGTAATGGATCTTAAACTTTTGAGAGGGCAACTTCAGCCTATACAAAGATACCCTTTCTGAGTTGTTGCCATGCCTTTTTATACTCAATCACACAAACTAGTCAAGGTGGCTACCAGTTCATATCCGTGACATGAACCAATTTAATGCAACACACCAATCAGTGCTTGGTGAATTCATTAAGGGAAACTAAACTGACTAAAACAACAAGGCACATGACATGAACGAAATCATACCATCTAGATATTGTTTTGGACAGTTATGAAACTACATGTAACAGTTTAGAGTCTGGTATAAGAAATAAGAGAGGAAACAGTAAAAGGAGGCATATTTATCCTGAAAATTCCCTACCTAGAAACTGGCAAGATTGTTTGTGCTTGGAGTAAAACAAGAGAGAACTGTTTCAAATCCTTACTGCAAATGTGAGCAATATAATTATTCATGAACGAAAAAGACTTCTCGCAACCTTTGATCAGGATGTCATGTGTCAATCCACAAAAACAATCCACCAAAGACAAATAACCTTGCACACAATCGACAAGGGGAGACAGTTCAGGTACTTGGCAGCACATGAAATGGCGAATTCCATTGGGCCTCAAAAAGTCTATGTCTGCCATTATTCCACTCATTGACAAGTTACACCTGGATTTCATGGAAGCAGGGGCAGAATTATAGCATGGGACAGGTGAAGCTCATTTTCACAACTGATGAATGCATTCCTCAGTCTAATAGATGATCCTTTATTAATGTTATGTTGCTGTATGATAAATTCAGCAATGACACCTCAATCAACACTGCAAGAAAGAATACATTTTTACAGAAGACTACTTCATTATTGACCACATTCCTCCAACAGCTGACGCCTTAATGCAACACTGCAAGGGAGCATTGTACCAAGGTGTGCATATCTGGGGTCAGTTTAACAAACCAAGTCCTATCATTCCCCGGGTATCATTCCATCTCCAAAGAACTGGGGCTGGAGAACAGAGCCAAGAGACAACACTCAGAAGCCACACAGGACTACCTTAACCCTTTCCCGACGTGAATATAAGAGGAAAATGTTGGCCCTGGTGACCGATAAGTAAGAGCAGTTTTAAGGGGAAAACTGCAAAATACCTACGCCCCGGGACCTATACCCTGAATTTTATCACTGAAATACAATTTTTAGTAAGGATTATCACATTAGAACAACTTGTCAAAATTTGGTGTAAAAATACTGAATAGAACTGGATATATTGTCATTTCATTGATGTATATAGATAAAAATAATGGTGCCAAAAGGAGCCTATCGTCCTGAAAGGTATTACATAATAGGGCTCCATATGGAGCCTATCGTCGTGAAAGGGTTAAAGCAGATGGCTGATGCTAGTCAACCATTGGTAAAGTGTGGTTGTCAGAAGCAGTGTTTCCCATGAAGATGTACCATGTACAAGCTTGAAGGCTACTCTAGTAAGCACATCATTGTGTGCCTGCAATGGAGAGTATTCATTAGAATGACTAAAGTAAGGGTTTAAATATGGTAATACTAGGCCTATATAAGATGATACCCCCTATTTCCCCCCAAAAAAAAATTTATATGGTTGACATCTTAGAGTTGGCATTCTACTGTAAAATAATACTATAGAATATTTTTTTATTATGCATGGTACATGATACAGATCAAATCTTGGCTCTCCAAACTATTACATGCTTCCTTCAACAGTTCAATATATTATAAAACACAGTTTTGATTTTGGACAATTTCACCAATAGGTGGCGCTATGGGAGACATTCTTCATTATGTATTTGTCTAAATATTGTTTGGAAAGGAATCAGTTTCTACTAAAACATACAAACCTAATATATTCTGATGAAAAAAGGATGGAGATATGATAGGTACAGTACTACAGTATATATGAAATATACATATTTTAATGATTTATCGAAAATTTGGACGAAATCTTAAAAATGGGGGGAATGAACAACCAAAATCTTCTTTTTTGATAATCTAACTATTTTTCAGGGTAGAATTATTATAAATTGATGTTGAAATATACTAATTAACCACATTTTATTGAAAAAAAGGAATGAAAAAAATTATCAAATGAATATTATATAATTGTCGGCAATTTTGGCGGCCATCTTGGATTTTCACCAAGAAGGAGTGCGAACCGCGCTTGGCAATGCGGATCAAAATTTTTAGAATGTCCATATTAGTCTATGTGCCAAAAATCTAAGAATATATATGATCGCGAACTATCGAGCCATTATTGACTGGGCTACTACAAAACAATATATTTTTGATCTGGTCATCAAGTGTTGGGTATGTTTTATCAACACAACGCATATTTTTTGTTTCTAAATCAACTTTAGCATAACCCCAAGTACCTAAAGTGCGAGTTATCTCGTCGGCAGACCTCAGGGAATGTCTGATTTTGCGAGATAAATTGTCGGCAGACTGCTAAGAGTTAACATGTGATTTCAGCTCATGATGTTCAAGTCAACAGTTGGGTAATAAATTAATGATGAGGTAAAAATGAATTTTTAGTTGGTTAACTGACAATGATGTGTCAATATACGTGATACAAGAATACAGTTATGAAGAGTTATGAAGAATGGTAGATAAGAATTCATACCAATGAAATTGACAGATTTTTTTACACAAAAACATGAAGTTGAGATACTATGATTTTCAGAACATGTGTGAAAATTGAATTGTTGAATCTTTGATTAACCAAAGATGACTTAATTATTAACTTATTATAAATTACCATGCATAAGAGCATCAGAATACAAACCTGGCCAAGAGATATTGTGAACTAGAGTTACTACTACTGTTGCTTGTGTTGTTTATAATGTTACTAGGGGCTACCCCAGGCAGTTCTATTTGTGTGTGGCCACTTGTTGCCAAGCGGTTCAATTCCCCCTGTCTCCGTGGCAACCGTTCCAACTGTTGTCTGCAACATAAAGACCTTAACATTAAAACAATGCAAACCAAGCTACAATTTAAAATACTTTGTACATAGTCTTGGAAATTATGTCTTTCAAATAAAAAGGCTCTTTATAAGCTTATAGAAAATTCTACCTAACAAAGCCATGTCTTATCTATGGTCCAGAAATACTACTGATCAAAGATATTATTGTCTTGAACCACTTGCCATACAAGATATGGTTCTTTGGCATTTTGGAAATTGAAGAAAATCTTATGAGTGGTTTTCCTTGAATGGGAATGACAAACTTAAACAGTTTGGTCACCCAAATGTTAATTAGCTGTAGAAATCAGTAATCTGTAGTATAACAGATTAACATATGTATGAATTAGTCAGGAATGACAAAAATACTCATCGCCTCACCTAGAAATGAAATTGGTTCCATAAACATTTTCAAAAAAGTAACAACGAAGTTTTCCAATTATTTTTCGCATTTTACAATGTTCAAATGGAGATTTGATATTTAAGGCATTTCAATTTTTCTGTTTATAGAGGCAAATTAGTGGTGTATAGAAGGTGCAACCAATTCCCTTGATGACCATAAAATATAGAACTCCATTCCATACATAGCAGAGCATTTGTATGGAAGTCAATAGGAAAGTAAGCGGGCTATATCCACCAGTATGACATACCCAGCAAAGCATTTGTATTGAAGTCAATGGAGCTGAAGGTCGGCTATATATTCCTGTATAGCCGCCAAACCTTTTACCATGACAATCTTATGACGTCATCGGGACGTCATGTTTCATTTCTTCTTAATTTCACTCGCACACAGACACGTGGCGTCATTGATATAACGTAGCCATGATATAAAAAGTATGTAATACAACAGTTATGTCCGTATCATTGAATATATGCCTTCGGTCTGGCGTAATATAACTTACTGTGAAACAAAATCTCCATTTCTACATGATAAGGTCATTTTCAAGTAAATGCTCTATATTTTAGTAAACATGGTATTGTTATCATTATCAGGTGGATCAGTATCTTATTCATGCCTTCACAACAGAGATGCAGTGTGTGCTTTGGGCCACCTAGGAACATGATATAGTATGTAGGTATGACAAAAAGGAGGGAAAACCCCAGAGACGACCATCTCTCACCACCTTAATTTGCCCCAATTTCAACAATATTAGTACCATGCATCGATATAATGTTTAAATTGATGTTAACATGTTCCTTACATCTTATTCGAAGTGTTTTTACAAAATTTTGAATCCACCATTTTTTTGTTATCTCCTACGTCATTTGATCAATCAGCGATAAGGGTCACCTCTATATAAATCTCCATTAAAGTTGAGGTCATCTTTGAACTCTGGGATTTTCCCTCCTCTTAGTATGACATAAAATAATGTCAGAATTACTCTTGGGGCTGGATCAAAATATCATTTTTGTTTTAACCTAGCAGACAAAAAACACAAAATTTTTAATTAAAAAACTCCCTCCCCCTTCCCATTCATGTAATCAGTTTTGAAATGGAGAATTCATATTTGACCCAGCCCTTTATCGCATGTGTGAGAGATAGATATGGGTTTACCTACCTCTGTACAAAGGCAATGTGTGCTAGGTCAGTAGTGTACAATCCACCCTCTGAGTTACCATTACTACAATCAGAGACAGTGTGTAAGCCACAGTAGAAAACTACAGGATATGGTGACCAGTGCAATATACAACAGTTGATCCCTTTCTACCATCTACAGCTTCCATACTTCATGCTATTTAATTGCCTTATATTAAAAATTTCTATTGTTTGCTAAAATTCTAATGTTTAATTCCAGATACATTATAATTTTCAGTAATCTGATCATCTGGCCCTAGGATTGAAACTTGAGATGGAGTTAAAAACAACATATCCCATGTTTTTTTCCCTAAGGGAAAACTCATGCTATACATGTTTTTAGCATTATTTTGGTTACCAAAATTTGATATCCATTAAATGAGACTTTCAAGGTTTCAACTATTTCTGCAATAAAAATGAGAAAAACTTTTCAGATAGTAAGACCAATATTTTGAAAAATAGGACCCACGGTCCTGTGCTCACACAGTTTTGAACCTTCAGAGAAATGTATATCCTGACTTTCAAACCAAAATATTGATTTGGATTTGTAGTCTCAAACTTTGAGAAACTTAGATAGCACAGTTGTGTGACCTAGTTTGATGACCTTTGACCTTGAAAATTTTACTTATTCAGAGCTCAGTAAGGTCTGTTGTGATTTAGCTGACCAAAATTTACATCCAAAATCAATTTGAAAAGTCAACTTTTTTTACCTTTCGAAGGTCACTGAAGGTCAAGTAAATGTCAAATCCTAAATGGCAACTTGTAGATGATTTTCAAAAAAAATTGGTCAAATTGAAGCAAGTTGAAAAATAACTTATTTTTACTGTTTTTTGACGTCAAATATCCCAAAAACGGTAAAAATTTGATGCTGACATATGTTGAGCAATATGTAGGGAATGCTTAAATCTAGTAATGATGTAATTCATTGCAAGAAATGATCAAATATAAGGCAAACCTTGAGAAACTTGTCAATCACAAAACCTGCCATTGACTTAATACATGAAAAAGTTTCCTGAAAATGACATTTTGTCAAATTTTATAGAGTAAACATCAAAAACTGTAATTCCAAGAGCTTTGAAATCTTCAGAGGACATAAGTTGCATATACAGCAACTACTAAAAGTTATTTGAAAGTTCTACTTCAACAAAGTGTCTAGTATTTACAGAAAATTTGACTTTTTGACGTCAAAATCTGCAATTTCTCGGAAACCGGGCGAACTTGGGAAATGGCGATGATAGGTCAAATAGGCATTATGGATATGCATAAAATGAATGTGGATATGACGCAATCCGAATAGCAGTTTTAATTTGTGCGGCCAATGTTGACGGACAGACGGACAGACCAACGGACGGACGGACGCCTGGTCGATCCCATAGGCTCACAAAAAATGAGGTAAGTAGGGTCCTAATCCATGGTTTACAGAGTCATACTGATAATTTCATTATTCAGGGGACATACTTGGATACTCTTGATGAAAAATGTTTTTATGGTAAGAAGATATTTATGGTCAAAAAGATAACTATTTTCCATACCATACCTGGACTTTAACACAGAAGCACCTATTACTTTGGTTTGAAACGAAAAACTATGTTCAGTAAATAGATTCATGTATTACAGATCATAGTTTCTACAATTGAAATGACAACTGAAAGATCAACCATTGAATGATGAGGAAAGAAAAAAACTTTCACAAATAATAGGACGTGGGCAATTGCTGGAACCTGTGGCATGAAGTATGTAAACTATGAGAATATGTAATCTTATTCTGATCACCATGCCGCTTCCTCATTTTGCATGAGAATTAACAATTTCATGAAATTAAGCATAAAATAATGTTTATGTTAGTCCTGGTATAATAATGACTTACACAGAGAGTGGAACATACAATATACAATAAAATACTAATGTTAATGGTTATATTTAAGATTATCATGGGATTAAGCTGGCTCCCCGAGGTGGGACAACGAGGACATATAAACTTTGTTTGATGGGAAGAAGAATTATAACCTACCTCAGTAGAATTTTAATGTTGTATAGGACATTAACATTTGGCATCAAAAAAATATTTTTCATTTCTTATAAAAATGCTGACAGTTATGATTTACAGACAGCGTATTACCATCATCTAATTCCAATACACAAATACATCTCTTCAATACGACACAATCATGCATTAATTTAAGATCTGTATCCATTAATGAGATCGTTACCAAGGTTACACTAACCAATTAACAAAATGATTGCAATGTCACCAACAAAAACAAGATAGGTGCCATGACAACAGCAGCAATTACCATGGTTAACTGTTAAACAACAGGGTTAAGTTGTTTCGATATGAAAACTTTTGACAAAAAGCTTCGTAAAAGAAGGATTTTTGATATGTTACAAAGGCACAGAATCTTTCATTTTGAAGCCTTTTATCTAAACAAAAGCACAAACAAAGCAATTTAACCCTACTGTGTAACAGGTACCATGGTTGACATTTTCATAATGAATGGGGATGAGGCAGCATGATTGATACAGCAAATGACTGACTTAGGTGTCCTTGTTTTTGTAGTTAATGGTGACAAGAAAGACTGTGTGTACCATACCTTGTTGTCTGTAGCTGTGCCTCTAGCTGCTGCAGCTGACTAGACACACTTTGAGCCGCTGCTGCCCTGTTCCGCACACTGGATAACTGGGACAACAGCTCTGTAATACATAATAAACAGATGCACGTTAGATCACAGTTCACTTAGCTGAGAACATGCTTCTCTACTGATAGCTATGACCTCAGGGACTTAGAGAGAAAGATGTGAATTTCTACAATTACTGACAAATGTAGACTCACACTTCATAGATTTACAAAAGGGACTTGAAAATTTTTTTGAAAGGAGATTAAATGCATCATTGAGAAGAAATAAAATAATGAAAAGAAAAAGCTAGTTATTGAAAGTACAATAACAAATGAATGGAATTTTGATATTTAACCTGCATTAGTCTTAATAAATTACTGTAATTTGTGACAGAGAAAGCATGTTCACTAGAAAAGACTTTTATCATACTCTAGATCGCTTAAATATTCATGTGGCCAAACATTAGTTTTCAAATTCCTTACCTGAATAGACTGCTCCGACATCATTCAATAATATTATGTGCCAATAAAATTGATTTGGCAACACAATATAAAGAAGGCAAACAAATACTGTCTAATAACTCTACCCACCAGAATGTTAGATGAAGCAACTAGAAGATTTACCACACAAAAGGCTTGTAATACAACACAACCTTTAGACCATTTAGACATACTACATATGTCCATTATTCAAATAAACGGGGTTCACAATAAGGTTGAAAACATGACTGCCATAATTTAATAATAACAATATGCTATTTTTTGCCACATAGGAAACTTGTTTTTCTTAATTCATTGCCATGAGCCAAAAGTGATTGCCAGGCAGCTAAAGTTTCGAACCTTGCAAATATGTCTCATAATATAGGACATATCAATTTTTGTAACATGATTTTTCTTGAACATGTACATTTGTAACTTTTTGTCAATACTGTATATCAACAAACCAAATGTGTGGTATTTTACAACAGAATACACGGAAGTGGTTAGTTAAAAACAGCCCACTTTGCTCAGATTGACCCCGTTACTTATCCATAAATAATTATATTTGATGATTAGGTTTATAATATCAAATTTTCTTTGTTTTTTTATAATTGTCCAATGCCAAACTTGGGGACAATTTAATCTTAACTTCAATATGAGCAGGCGTGCACAGTGCTGCTTTAAATTTATCTGCACATAGTCAAAAGACACCTGATATGATCAGATGAATCTATTGTACAATTTAATCAATTATCGAATGACAATATGTGAGGATAAATAAAGGCGGTGTGCTGTGCTGTTTTACTACCTCTGAAAACCCCTACTTAGGAACACAGATATATTGCTTGACATCTCATATTAATTTCATTTGGCTCATACTGCTTTTATATAGATATATATTGATAGTGATGCAAATGCTCAATTTTTTGATTTGTGTTTGTGGGGTCCTCAGTGGTGCCTAACTACCTGCTATGGGGTCCATCTGTTCTCTACCTCCTGAAGGTGACAGTGCTGACAAGGCGGAGCTGGCCGAGCTAAAATGCATGTGTTGCCTACGTGCACGCGTACCTCCTAATCCTCGTCCTGGGTGTGGGATTCTGCGAACATGACGTACACCGGGTAGTTGTTGTTCATCGTAAGTCAGTTAAGAAAGTATAAATTTAACATAAACATAAATTTTACATACTTTGGCTATAACATGGGAATAGCCGGGCATGAGGAAGAAGTACTTGTACATTTTTTTCAATTAGAGACTGAAAAAGAAGTCTAATTGATAATATCATTTTGCCTCAACCATATGTGCATTTTTGTCTCGCTTATTCAAATTTGCCGAACCTAATTTCGGACGCTAGTTTTACCCCCGTAAACCAGCTTATATTTTGATTGAATTTATTATATGGTACCTATGGCACACGCTGGTTATATTTTGCTCAGTTGTAATAATTCACAGGTGAGGTCTTATACAAGACATTTCATCTTTTATTCTATATGTAAAGGATATGAAATCTCTAGGGGCTCTGTGTTCTAGTGTAAGATGAGCTGTGAAGTCATCTGTCACATGATTAGGATCTCCTCCAGGTAGGGCTGCACATATGGGACATACCTGGAACATATAAACATTCAATTTCAATTCAATTCAATTTTATTTATTTCATAATTCTTACATAATATACACTATAAAAACAAGCCGCTAGACACCTAGTGGGTATATGTTTCGGTTTAACAGAAATTCTTAAAATGACATCTAAACAATTAGAAAAGCTAGACAATCACTATTATAGTACATAGTTAACCTTGTAAACATCTGCCATTTGAAGAATATGTAACTTGAAACATTACTTTTCAAATGCAATGTGTACACCCTGTGCAGTAGAGAATAAAATGTACTTAACCAACCATAATTTTTAAATTTAAACCAGATATCAATTACAAATGTATTTTTGAAAAGTATATTTTTGATGTACAACTACTAACCATTATGCTAATCATTCTAAAAAGGAGAGTAAATTTAAAATTGCATTGGCTTGAATTAGTTCTACTGACCACTTCTAATGATGATTCTGCATGCTCTGCTGTGACATGTTCTTGTAGTGACGTCTCTGTGAGGCCCATCTTGCTGCAGTAGGGACAGGTGAATGCCTGCGGCTGCTCAGCAGTCAAACCTTCACCGCCATAGAATAAATCTGGAATACAATTCTCCATCACATCAAGGGGCGTCATAATACAGTGATATTATGTTCAGTCAAGACCAGTTGTACCTGGTCGTTTAATAAGTTCAAGCAAAAGTCGTCTAATTTTCTCAGCTACATTATGTTCAGTCTAGACCAGTTGTACCTGATTGTTCAATAAGTCCATGCGAAAATGGTCTAATTTTCTCAGCTACATTATATTCAGTCTGACCAGTTGTATTCCATAAGTTCTGAATGCAAAAATGGTCTAACTTTCTTTTCTTATTTTTCAATGTCTCGCATTGAGACCATAACAAAATATGGACAAAATGAGTTTGATGGTCAGAAGGTGTGATTGCTATGCTTTGGTCATCTGGGGCAATACATGACATGAAAAAACATTCCATTTTCATTGACTTGTCAATTTATAATTGTATACAACCACCACTATAAAACAGGGATTTGCTACGCTTATGCATCTCAGTTTTTCCTAGAGAATATGAGGTATAGAAGGGTTGTAAGTTTAAAACGCCTAAGCTGAATCTTTTCTCTCTACTTTCAGTACAAAGATTCAGTTCTAATATGTTCTTGTTCTATTCTCGTCTATGTAGTTCTTGTCTGATATCTCATTTATAAAGTATGGGTCAAAAAAGTAACCAGATCAAAGGGATGGATGATTAACTTACCAAAATCAGTCCTAGTAAGGATACACTGCATGGCATGGTCAGCAGTGTGACGAGTGGTTGTTGCTCCTGCTTCATAACAAGTGGCACAAAGATCATAATCATAGCAGATTAAGCACTTGTAACGACGTCCCCGGAAATTCCCTTTCAGACATGAATCGCAGCTTACCCCTGGAAAAAATGTAGAACTGATTATATATTATCACAATATACTACTAGTATACCTTTCATTGTGCTCCACAGAATTTTTTCTCAAGTGGGTGCAAAATCCTAATTTTCAAATGGATTTTGAGATGAGTGCAAGTCTGTTTTCAAGATCTCAGATTGGTGCAGTGCCCACTTGCTTCAATGATTGGGAAATGATCACCTTAACCTTAATTTCAAGAATAGAGGTTGTCCTCCTTGCTAAAAAACTAATCTTTTGTCAGGATTGTGTTGAATATACTACTGTACATTGATCATAATTTTTTAAACTTGATGACAGCTGCCAATTGTCCATTGAAATCATGTTCCACTCTTGCCAAGATGGCAATGATCTTAAAAGATAAATAAATAAAAAATGAGTGGCCTAGTAGGCAACAAATTGAATGCTAATAACCAGTGTCATGGTCCAAAAATTTTTGGAACGGGTTGGAATAGTAAAACTGGTGTCGAGACACGCCAGCAATTTCTGAGTGGGATGCCATACTGATAATGCACTCGATTTAGTAAGTGAATTATGTACATTTTGTTGATAGTTTACACTAAAACTAATAGATAAATGATTATAGCATACGTACATGTATACATCTATTATTAACAGTGAAATGTATCCAGTATCATGAAATAACTGAATCTGAATTTTTAAGAAAAAAGTGCCCAATAAATTGCCCTACATGATACAATATTTGAAATTTTAGAAAATTGTCTGAAACAAAAATGGCGGTCATAAAAGGAAAATAAATCGCTTTTCAATAGTCCTATTCGCGTTAGGAAATTACTGGTCATTAACATAAATATTTCCCGCAATGCAACACGATAAAATGGACAATTTTCTATTGGTCCGCAAAACACAACGTCATAGACATTATCCCGATCCAACATTAGTACATATATATAATAATATTCTTTAATCCATACAATAATTAAAAAAGAAGATGGAAATTCAATTTGCTTCGATTATTTTTTCTATGGCGTTTGAGCAAGTTCCGGGAACTGAGCAACTTCCGGGAATCTGTGACGTCACTTGAATTTTAAACTTATGATTTTGACGATTCTGGTGAATTTATTTTTTAAAAACTTGTCAAATGTCTTTATAATGATCATATCTATCGTATGTGCAAATATAATTCATGATAAACCTCTAATAAAGTCACAATGCGACATTGAAAAACACAGCCAATGTTATTCCAATGGGAAAGTGCCCGGATGTTGAGAAAGTTGTACCACGAAACTAAACTCTCCAACGCGGAGATAAGAATATTTCGCACGTTAAAAGTTAGCGCGTATAGGTATATTAAGTTTTTTTCATTTTTTTCTTTTTCTATGGATGACATCAAATTTTCAAAATTGTATCATTTAGAGCAGTATATTGGGCACATTTTCTGAAAAATTCGAAAGATTCTGTTCAGTGACCTTTCCTAAGCGCCTACTTTTAGCTATTTTACAGTCACATTTTCAGAGGGCTGAAAAAGTTATTTCATCATGTTTAGGGTCATTTTGACCATGAACATTGTGTTCCTGATCATGTAAATGACATATGGAACTAATTAAACTGACTGGAGGTCAAAACAGAACTCTGTTATCTTGGTTCAATTTTTTTCAAAATCCAGGATGATTTTGTCACTTTTTGTTTTGTCACTTCTTGTTAACTACCACCGCACAATAAGCCAATCAAAATTCTTGTAGCAAACGTATATGGCTAAACAGGGTTGCTGCAGCATGTTTTCCATAGGACCATTTGTGCGAAATTATTATAATAAGTGAGCGTGCGATTAACCTCTTGCTCTGCACTGTACAGCATTGAGAAATCAACTTGTTCATGTTTTCTGCATGAAAAAAATTAAAATTCTGCAAAAAATTCTGCAAGAAAAAAAGCAAATTCTGCAAGGAGAAAATCGAAATTCTGCACAAATTTTCAAAAAAATTCCAAATTCTGCAATCTTTTAAAACGGAAACGGAAGTCAGCTACTTTCTAGGTAAGAACTGCGCGTCATTAGCGAACTCTCCTCGGTGCAAGCATCATACCCGGATGATAAGATGAATAAGATTCAAGTAGACTAGTCAGAATATTTTGTATTTTGACTGTAGAATATATTACAGTAAGCAGCACCGCTCCAACGACCAGTGCTTGTGACAACATTTCATGACAATAACATTTCAAACCTAACACACAAACCTTTTCTCAACAAATCAGTGAGCTGGATGAAACACATAACTATCCAATGACATCAGAGGAAATGACAATGGAAATTGTCCATAATTTGACGACTATCTTTGATTGCATTGGCGAGACAGAAGATTTATTAGCAACCGAGTCACGCAGGGCTCTCACCAGGAACTATTTAGGGTGTGGTGCTAATATCTTCAGAATAACCATTCAATCATGATAAATCACATTTATGTTATTGTTATCCTTTTTACATGCTATTATTGTATATTCAGTCAAGTTTAGACTGTGGAAACAGTCATGGTTTGCCAATAGTGTGTGGAAAGAGCTAAATAGAGTGTGGTGCTGCGCCACAGTCATAAATCCTGGCGAGAGCCCTTAGAGTGCAAAGGGTAGCTCAGGCTAGGTGGTAGGCCTAGAACCGAAAATTCCCCACATCTGTGCATCAGGAATAACAGGGCAGTTGTAATGCTTTCTTGATTGTTTATCATCAGATTTACAAGCAAGATCTCTACTAGGTTGATTGGTAGTGATTTTAGGAAATAATCTTGAACAACAATTAACAGATTTCTCAATTACCAAATGTGACAATGTGATAGATAATGTTTGAGGAAGCCAAATTTTATAAAATTAGCCGCCATTTTGGTAAAAATAAAATGCTTACCTTCATGTCGGGACATTATACAAGGTTATGTTTACTTCTATAGCAGAGTTCGTTTTTTAGTTATGTTCTTGGATATCTTTTCCAAATAAAGAACGAAAGTACTAGGGGATTTTGACTGTAAATATTGCGTAAATAGAGTAATATTTCTGTTCAAAATTCTTTAAAAAATTCTTTCTGCACGAAGTCCATGACGTCACTCGACTAATCTCGCTGATATGAGATCCTACGAGAAGGGATACTTATTCTTATATTATTCAAGAAGAACTTCAAAAATAAATCATTTTTATTTCGTTTCAACTATTAATTATCTAAATCTGAGATGTAGGCTTGTACTGCACGATTTGGTAAGAGATTGCAAATGTATTGGTATTACTCCGCCAAAAACTATGGTGTGAATACCCTGCACATATGGCATTCGTGATCAACTATAAAACGCTTACCCCCATAGTTATATAGTGTTATATATCAAAATGTACCTGTTCATATAGGGGTTTGATTGATCTACATCAAATTATAGCGAGTCGGGTTTCTTTTTGTAAGTTATAACCTTATCGAACATTATCTCTGTAATTCTATATTTAACGAGGCATAAACATGACAAAATGTCACCACCTAGTTGCTTAAATCTGGAAATTCTGAATTTTAACTACTGAAAACTTGTAAATGATTTTGAAAAAAGATTAAGTCAATATGAACCAAGTTGAAAAAACGGGAAAAACCTTTTAAACCCTTTTTGACCTCGAGAAGGTCATTGCAGGTCAAATCTCTAAAGTCTAAAGTGTGATTTGAGCTTCTGAGAACTTGCAGGACAATTTGTTGAAAAAACTTGAAATTTTTTGACCTTGAGAATGTCACTGAAGGCCAAATCTCAAATCTAAGGTCAGATTTGAACTACCGAGACCTTGTAGATTTGAAGCAAGTTGAAAAAAGACCTTTTTACCTTTTTTACCATGTAGGTCAAATCTAAGACGATTGTAGATGATTTAGAAAAAATCGAAGTCAATCTAAACAGTATTTGTTAAGTTATTGGAAGATATAAGAATTTGTTACAGACGCCAGCCACCAGCCACCAAACACCAACTGCCATCACAAAAAACAGAGACCATAACTATATGTCACCACTTTTTGGTGGTGACATAAAAATGATCTTGACACATTTAAAGCAGAACGTAATTAGAATGACCTTACGCAAACATGTGTTCATGATTGTTCCTGTTATCATATCCTGCAAATTGGTTGGATAGCAGATCAACTATTGATTATTCATGATTGGCACAAAATGGCAAGTAATTATGGGATCAGGCGTTACTCACTTTTTCTTGTTGTTGGTGCGAAACGGACATGGGTCTCAATGGCTGAGCATGTAAAATACATGTAAAATAATAAGTTTTCAGAGAAATCCAAAAATTATTACTAAGTTAAACACTGTCTTGTAGTCTAGGATCATAAGTTCCATGTTTATGGTGTAGGTTAATTGGCATTGTTACAGCTCAACCTGCGCTCTAATTGGCTGGTGGATTATAATTTTCTAATCACAAGTGCCAAAGGGAAAGGTACAAAAAGTTATAATGGAAGCTAACAATAAAAAGCAGACTCTTATGTACATAAGTGTATTCCAATAATAAGAACAAACTACATGATCTTAGGCGAAAAGAAATCCCTAATACTCCCTTTCTCCCGAATGTTCTAGACCCAATATCACAATCCAAGACCGGAACACCAAGAAACATTTCAATCATCCTTAAATCAATGAAGAAAAATTAGAATGATACAACAACAACAACAAGAATGGCTAGACCAACACTGGTCGCCCAATGCTCACTGTGCAGCTACTCTTCAAAATTTTATTCAGACCAAACTATACTTAGACTAAAGCTGCATGCTATTTTCCCAGTTACTTAGTTATTTTTCGGACACAAATTACAGAAGCGAAAATATAATCTGTAAGAATAGCCACATTTTACTTTTATTAACATAAAATGTGACGTGGAATATTATTGCCAAGTATCTTTTGCACATAATCGAGGAAATTGCATGAATGCAAATCAAGGCAGGTAAAGCCAATGATTTTTTAATGTATACCTAATGAATCCCAAGAAAATGCAGAAAAATGAGCTAATGAAAGCTGTATTGGGTTTTACTTGTTGAACTACTGCTATTCTTGAAGCGATTTATTGGTAAACTCATGAAAATTTATTTATTTGCAGAAATCTAACTACCCTCCCCTTATCCCGTTCCCGGACTATGGTCCTGTGAACATCTCAATCTTTTGCCTGTGCGATTACAACATGGGAGAATTTTTTACTCATCTTACACTTCAGATACCTACTTCAATAGATTCCTTGGTAATTTAGCATTCTTTTCGTGTAGTTGAATCCACAATTGTCTGGGTTTATCGGCAGAACGAAGACATTTTCGTTTTTGATCGCAATATTTGCGTGTAACATTTAACTTATTTCAACCGTCAAATTCCTCCATATTGGTACTTCCGGGCTACATCCGGGACAGCCAAACGGGGGATTCCCCTTTTAAATCCAACCGCCATTTTGAAAAGTGATGGAATCTCACTCGATGAAAAAGAGAAAATGTTCCCGTTTTGCCGATATACCCAGACAATCGGCGGTTCCAATATATTAGAAGTTACATCTTGAGTTCTATAATGCATTGAGGTAGGTATCTTAAGTGTAAGGGGCGTAGATAATTCTCCCAAGTTGTAATCGTACAGGCAAATGAATGCGCTCAGTGCAGGACTATAGTCCGGGAACGGGATAACCCTCCCCCACTTGAATCATTTTGTTCGATTTACGGCCATTCATGCATGAATGAGGATTGCGGCAAGTAAATGTCGGCAAGTGAAATATTTGCAGATCAGTGGTGGAGCGATACCTGTTGACCTCTTGACCTACACATTGAAACATGGCGGCTTCCGGAAATCGTGTATTGATCTACGGAGGAAAGGGAGCTTTAGGCTCTGTTATCGTGAATTATTTCAAAGGAAAGAACTGGGTACGATGCATGATTACACTATCTACATATTCTGCAAATTTTAAGGAAATCACATTGAATATTTAGCTTTGATTTAAATGTGAAAATGTTTATCATACACTTTTTTTCACAAATGGTTCATGCAACTATTTTCTGAACACTAGGCCTACTAACCATAGGAGACAGGTTACCTGAAAAGGAAGATAGATATCATTATACAAGGACTGAAACTGAGGCAAGTCTACCCTGGCTGAAATCAGCTCTGAAATAACAATTACTGCATGTCAAGCCGTCATTCAATGCTGATTTTGTAGAACTTACAGATCTGTCCATCCTTCTACATGTGAGTTTTTCCCATAAAGATGCTTGATTAGTAGAAATTCATCAAATTATACCCCTAGAATATCAAAGTTCAACTGTACATCAATCGCGTGAGGAAAAAAAACAAATCCATTCTTCACCTTCTGTTCACAAACCCTTCTTCTTCTTCTTGGAAAAGTTGTCCCTCATTTGACTAACAGCAAATGTGTATGTTTATGCAGCAATATATGTTAGTTTAGAAAATGATTAATTACAATCTTACCTGTACTTCACAGAAACATCCTAAGTATGAAAATATTTCACTAAAAATACATGCTTCCATTTTGTCACATGTTCATAATAATTTACATATTGACCATGTGATGTTGACAGGGAGTGTAAACGCACCTAGCGTACAGGAAATATGTTATGATATTTATTAAGAAATTAGCTATGGTAATCATTATTAATTAAGCATTAAGTATTAAGCCCCCAACCCACTTCACAAAGTTCATGAAGTACCAAGGAAAGACCAAATATTAAATAAATTAGAAAAATTTGAATTTCCCAAAAAATCAAGTGGGCGATAATAGAGCCTCTGAAACATGGCAAAAGTGACATATTTTGTAATTTTCAATGCATACTCCCGATAATTATCTATCATTGTGTGCTTTCCACACCATATCAAACTAATATTCTCTAAAAATAATGTATGTAATAAGTTAATGAATGTTTCAGAGACTCTATTATCGCCCACTTGATTTTTTTGGGAAATTCAAATTTTTCTAATTTTGGTCTTTCCTTGGTACTTCATGAACTTTGTGAAGTGGGTTGGGGGCTTAATACTTAATGCTTAATTAATAATGATTACCATAGCTAATTTCTTAATAAATATCATAACATATTTCCTGTACGCTGTGCGTTTACACTCCCTGTCAACATCACATGGTCAATATGTAAATTATTATGAACATGTGACAAAATGGAAGCATGTATTTTTAGTGAAATATTTTCATACTTAGGATGTTTTATGTGAAGTACAGGTAAGATTGTAATTAATCATTTTCTAAACTAACATATATTGCTGCATAAACATACACATTTGCTGTTAGTCAAATGAGGGACAACTTTTCCAAGAAGAAGAAGAAGGGTTTGTGAACAGAAGGTGAAGAATGGATTTGTTTTTTTTCCTCACGCGATTGATGTACAGTTGAACTTTGATAATCTAGGGGTATAATTTGATGAATTTCTACTAATCAAGCATCTTTATGGGAAAAACTCACATGTAGAAGGATGGACAGATCTGTTTTCTACAAAATCAGCATTGAATGACGGCTTGACATGCAGTAATTGTTATTTCAGAGCTGATTTCAGCCAGGGTAGACTTGCCTCAGTTTCAGTCCTTGTATAATTATATCTATCTTCCTTTTCAGGTAACCTGTCTCCTATGCTACTAACAGTGATCTTTTTACATATGATTTGTGTGGTTTCTAGTACTTTTATTCAAAAAGCACGAAAAAATGTAAGTAGTAGTTTACCAAATCAATCTGTTACCACACATCCTCAATGAACAAAATCTAATAGTGCATTCACTGAAGAGGACCCCCCTTAGTATGTATCCAACAGACTGACTAGAAGTCAGTCTGTTATGATGTACTACTTTCCTATGGAAATTGCAGTGAAATTTTTTGCATAAAATTATCAATTGGAGGAAACATTTCTTCAATAAAATAAACATTACAAAATTTCAATTAAATAGTAAGGTACAATTAAATGCAATAAAAAGTAACATAGCATATTGTCTAGTGGAAATAAAGCTAGTTGAAGTAAAAATGTGCAAATTAATTTTACCCAATCGGCCATTTTGAATAGCACTTCCTATGTAAACAAATATTTGGAATTACCAAACTTTAACATAGGTGCCTTATAGTCTGAATATAATTCAGACTAAATAGGATATAGTCTAGGACCCCCCTGGGCCCCAGCCAAATCCCAGATGTGCTAAACATAACAATCAATACCAATCATCATCATCATCATGTTTAGGAGGGTAAGGTTAGTCCTGTGTTGTCCTCCCTTATCCCGTTCCAGGACTATAGTCCTGTACGGAGCCAATACATTTGCCTGTACGATTACAACTTGGGAGAATTATCTACGCCCCTTCCACTTAAGAAACCTACCTCAATGCATTCTAGAACTCAAAATGTAACTTCTAATATATTGGAACCGCCGATTGTCTGGGTTAGTTGGCAGAACGAGGTCTTTTTGTTTCTTATGGCTCTTTTGGTCGAAGTTCGATTAAGATGGCGGTTATAACGGAATTTCCCGAACTCTTCCGTAATAGCACGAACTTGGTTTTTCGTTACGTCACTTCCGTGTAAAATGGATAGTTTTTCAAGTAGTCTGCAGTGCGGTACGCTGTCAAACGCCCGGGAAAAGTCAAAATATATTACGTCTATTGGGTTGCCAGTATCGAGTAGACTTGTCCAATCCTCAAGTACTGTAAGCAACTGGGTGCTACATGAACGCCAGGGTACAAACCCGTGTTGGGCATCTGTTAATAAGCCCAGTGTCACCATGTGGTTTACCATTGGTCCCTAATTATGGATTCCATGGTCTTACACAGGATACAAGTTAGCGATATTGGACGGTAGTTGCTGGGAGCTGTTCTTTTACCCTTTTTGTGGATGGGTGTTATCTCGCCATCTTTCCAGATTGATGGTAATGTTCCTGAATCTAGGGATTTGGTAAAAAGCAGACTGAGAGGGAGGGCTAGTTCATGTGAACATTCCAGTAGAAATCTTGCGGGAATATTGTCGGGGCCGGGGGATTTGCAGGCTTTGAGCTTTTTGAGTTTATGTAGGACTAGTTCCTCTGTAAATTCTATAGTTTCCAAGGTTTGGGTTGATCTGGGAGTTATTCTGGGGATGTTTGTGTCGTCTTCTACAGTAAACATGGTGGCGAAGTATTGACTGAGGATGTTTGCCATTTCCGTATTCTCATCTGTTGTACTACCATCTGGCTTGTCTAGTGAGCTGATCTTGGGGCGCGTCCTGAGTTTAGAGTTGACGTATGCCCAGAAGGCCTTAGGATTAGTCTTTATTTGTTTGGCTATATCTTTCTCAAATTCTTTACATAGCTGTCTGCATAGTCTTCTGGTTTCATTGCTTGTTTTCTTTGCTTTCAGGTAGTCTTGATACGTCTTGGTTTCTCTGTAGTGTTTCCAGGCCTTGGCTTTTCTTCGCAGTTGCCTTAATCCTCTTAGTGTCATCCATTTTTTCCTTTTCTTTCTGTTGGTTTTGAAAGGAATATTTGCTTCAATGTTGTCCATGATGGTTCTATGGAGTATGTTCCAGGCTGTCTCTGTAGTTTTCCCACTGAGTTCTTGTTTCCAGTTTATGTTTTTAAGGTTGTTCCTGATTGTATCATAGTCTCCTTTGTTGAAGTTTCTGGGTGTTGGGGAATCAAGCCGGGGTATGGGCTTCTGGTCTAACATGGTAAGATTGAACTTGAGTGTAAGATGGTCGCTGAGTCCTACTGGTGTGTCGTAGCTTATGTCACTTATGGTATGTTCTTCTTTCGTGATAATCAGGTCAATTAGAGTGTCTCGTTGTCCATGGCGTTTCCGTGTGGGTTCTGTAATGTGCTGGTATAAGAATAAGTTCTGGAGACAGTTTACGTATCTTGTACTAATATGGTCTTCACATGCAGATGATGTCATGTCTTCCCTGTTGATCTCTGGTAGGTTGAAGTCCCCTATAATGCACAGTTGAGTGTGACTGGATGAGGCAAGTTCCTTTGTGAGCTCTATAAATTCTGTTTGCTGGTCTGTTGTGTCTCTAATGCTGGGGCTTCTGTAGATTCCACATAGTAGTAGCCTTGTTTTGTCCTTAAGGGTCACTGTGAGAGCTAAGTGTTCAATGAATCTACTTTCTGTTGATTCGTATGGCTGTACATCTATGGTGTTGTTAACGTATATGACTATTCCCCTCTTCGTTTTTTTGTGATTCTGATGTGTCATCAAAGTTCCTGTAGCAGTCGTATGTATCGTTTGAGATCCGAAGTTCGCTGAGAGTCATTGGGTCCTTTCTGTTTTTACACAGGGCTTCTGTAATAATTATTATGTCTGGGTTTTCAGACTCTGCTGTTAGTTCAAGTTCTTTAATTTTATTTGATAACTGGTCTGCGTTGCTGTACAGAAATTTTATGGGGGGGTGGTTGCCTAGTCACTGGTTGCCTGCAGCCTGGGACAGGCCGTCAAGGTCACATGGGGCTTTTCCACAGTTTTGAGAGAGTGGGGGGCTTGTTGTATTTGGTCTGCATTCTGGGAGTGATGGGGCGTCTGTGGGGGGTGCTTCCTCTGTTTCCACAGGACTTTCATGAAGTGGGTCTATTTCATCTGAGCTGCTGGACTTAACACTGCAGGTGTCGGATCTGGAATTACTACTGACTACTCAAAGGCCTCAACCCCGCGAAGGCCTCAGGACCTGATCTCACACCTACTAGGGTCCTCAAGGAATGCAGTGACACTATTTCACCATACCTGCAAATCATCTTCCAGCAATCCATTGATGTGGGGTCAGTACCCTTAGACTGGAAACATGCCAATGTCTCAGCTATATACAAAAAAGGACGCAGAGACGAGGCAGTAAACTACAGGCCTGTGTCTCTCACATCAGTCCCATGCAAGATAATGGAACATATATTTCACCATGTTATGGACCACTTCGATCTCCACAATATCTTTGCTAACCACCAACATGGATTAAGAGCTAAACACTCTTGTGAAACGCAACTTGTAAATACCATAGAACAGATCGCAAGAGCCCTTGATAACAACAAACAAACAGACCTATTAGCACTGGACTTCTCTAAAGCGTTTGACAGTCTCACATGAGCCCCTGCTCCTAAAGCTTAATCACTATGGAATTCGCGGAAACAACTTGAGCTGGCTCAGATCTTGGCTTGTTGGAAGGTCCCAACAAGTAGTACTGGATGGGGAATCTAGTACAATAACACCAGTGTAATTGGGTGTCCCTCAAGGAACTGTGCTCAGACCGCTCTGCTTCCTTGTCTATATCAATGATATGGGCAGCGACTTATCACCAACAACCAGCCTCAAACTATTTGCAGATTACAGCCTCCTCTTCATGTCTGTCAAGAACCAACAGGATGCACTGACACTCCAGGATGACCTTGAGAAATTGGACTCCTGGGCAAATGCATGGCAAATGAAACTCGATCCCTCAAAATGCTATGTATTGAGTATTCACAGACGTAAATCACCCATCACACAAAAGTACACTATGTTGGGTGAAGAATTAAAATCTGTGACCCACATACCATACCTAGGAATTGAAATCACGAACAACCTAAACTGGACCACACACATACAAACAGAGTATCGAAATCTAACAAAGTGCTAGGCTTCCTCCGGCGCAACCTCCTTGTTGTCCAGACACCCAGGTCCAGACAATGATCGACATCCTCCTTTTATGTCCAATGATGTCCTTGTTTGTTGTATGATGATGTCTGATAATTTACATGCTACTAATGAGTAGAATCTAGTTTTAAGTAAAGTTTATATAATTTTGTTAAACTATTTTCCAGTGGGTAGGTTCTATTGACCTGAACCCAAATGAGGAGGCCCATGCCAACATTGTGGTGAAGCCATGTGAGAGCCTAGTGGCACAAGAGGAAGAGGTCTCTCGGGGAGTCGAGGCAGCATTGGCTGGAGAAAAGGTATGATATGTTATATATCAGGGATCCAATATTTGCTTCTCTGTAGAGTAGAATTATTGTTTTTATTGTTTCTTTTACCAGAAATACATGAACATTGAATAGACTAGATGCAAGTAGAAATAAACTTGATTTATGTCAATATTCAAAATTCAGTCAAAGAGATGTCATATTTGAAATCTACATGTAAAAATACATAGAAAAAATATGGTTTTGACAACTTTTTTTTTTGAAATTGTGGCTTCTAGTTCGGGTTGATTCCCCATAGACCCCATGTTACAAAATCACAAAATGAAAATGAAAATGAAAATGAAATGTCTTTTCTTTTATGGGACAGATTACTTAAGTAGATAACAATTTCTTTCACTGGACATATTTTAATTTGTATAATTATTAGATACATAGTGGTTATATGAATACTGAACCACTAAAACAGATGTAATTTAAGTTAAAGGGAATTTTCTACCAGCCATGCTATCTAACCTGAACTGGCCATCTGGTGGTGAAACTGGTAATTACCTAATCGCATCTGCATTATTGTATTTGATATGTTACTGAGCGATTATTAAAGTGAGTTACATTGCAGGTAGATGCTGTTCTGTGTGTCGCTGGTGGCTGGGCAGGAGGCAATGCAGCAGTGAAAGGTAATGATCTCCAGGGTTCTCACCAGAAAATATTTAGGGTGTGGTGCAAACATCTTCTGCATTACTGTTCAATCGTGATAAATCATATTTATGTTATATTTTATCCTTTTTACATGCTATTATAGTATATTCAGTCAAGTTTAGACTGTGGAAACAATCATGATTTGCCAGTAGGGTGTGGTGGGAGCTAAATAGAGTGTGGTGCTGCACCACAGTCTAAAAGCCTGACGAGAGCCCTGATCTCATTATTCTACAGTATCTTATCCTACAACTTGTCAATAATGAACAAGAGGCTTATAATCCCATTTACAGCAAAGATATAAAATAACAATTAATAAAATTCATAACAGTTAAGAAATCGATTTATAATGACATCTTCCCCAAGATTACACTAGATATGATAATTAACAATAAATTTATTGCTAAAATAAAAATAAGTTACTTGGCAATTGTTTCAAAGCCTTTTGTCAGAATGCCATGTAATTAAGCAAACAAACCTGCTGCGAAACCCTCACCAGTGATCTCCCAATCATTAAAGCAAGTGAGATTTTAAAAACATTTGCACCCACTTCAAAATGAGAAATATCCTGAAAAATGGGCATATTTTGACCAATTTTAGTCTGAATTTTGAAAGTGGAGTTTGCACCCACTTGAGAAAAAATCCTGTGGAGAACACATCGCTAGAAAAGTTGATTTTTTAGTCATTTATTGGTCTCAGAGGAATTAAACATGGAAACTTCAATCTTGAGAGGAAATTGACATGGAAAAAACGCACAAAAAGGGGGTCTTTGGGGCGGCACATAGGTATTAAGAAGTATATTGGATTTAAAAGCTTACCATATTGGAAATGTTTGGCCTTTTTGCAGAGTTTGTCAAGAATACTGATATGATGATGAAGCAGAGTGTGTGGACATCTGTCATAGCTGCACACTTAGCTGCCAAACACCTGAAGGAGGGTGGTGTCCTGCAGCTAACAGGTGCTCAACCAGCTCTCAAAGGAACACCAGGTGAGTCATTTTATACCTGTACTTTGTATACCTGTCATTTGAATACCAATTATATTGGCAGAAGGGAATTCTTATATCATCCAGATCTTGTTTTGTTGTAAAGTCTTATTAATTAATGGATGAGCTATATTATTAAAGTGCTCGCTGGACATAGACATTCTTGTATTTGATAGCGTCTAGCTCTATTATTTTCCCAATGAGCAGAATTTGTACAAGTGTATGGAGAATCTGTATTTCAGTGAGCAGAATTTGTACAAGTGTATGGAGAATCTGTATTTCAGTGAGCAGAATTTGTACAAGTGTATGGAGAATCTGTATTTCAATGAGCAGAATTTGTACAAGTGTATGGAGAATCTGTATTTCAATGAGCAGAATTTGTACAAGTGTACGGAGAATCTGTATTTCAATGAGCAGAATTTGTACAAGTGTACGGAGAATCTGTATTTCAATGAGCAGAATTTGTAAAAGTGTATGGAGAATCTGTATTTCAATGAGCAGAATTTGTAAAAGTGTATGGAGAATCTTTATTTCAATGAGCAGAAATTGAGCAAGTGTATGGAGAATCTGTATTTCAGTGAGCAGAAGTTGTACAAGTGTATGGAGAATCTGTATTTCAATGAGTAGAATTTGTACAAGTGTATGGAGAATCTGTATTTCAATGAGCAGAATTTGTACAAGTGTATGGAGAATCTGTATTTCAATGAGCAAAAGTTGTACAAGTGTGTATGGAGAATCTGTATTTCAACGAGCAGAAGTTGTACAAGTGTATGGTGAATCTGTATTTCAATGGGAAGAATTTGTAAGTGTATGGAGAATCTGTACTTCTTTCATTTGTTTGTCTATTCATTAATAATTTTAGAGAAATACTGGTTGTCAAGTTTTGATCTTATTATGTGGTCTGTGTTCATAAAAAATGATTCAAATAACATCTGTCAGATTTTAGGCTGGTAATTACGATCTTGGACTAGACCTATTGCTTCTGCTAAATGAGTCATTTGAGATGAGACAATGATCTTGTCTTATTTCTTGTTTTTGCAGGAATGATTGGGTATGGCATGGCGAAAGGAGCAGTCCATCAATTAGTACAGAGTTTGGCTGCAGACAACTCAGGTCTTCCTGCTAATTCTATTGTAGCTGCAATACTTCCGTAAGTCTATTTCACTGTAATCAATTAACTAACATCATTATTAAGAAATTTAGATGCTGTTGTGCTATTTTTGAAACTGGTGCAAAATCACTAAATGTCTGACAGATATCATCTTGATTTGAACAGGCAATGCACCTATTTTTGAAGGAAAATGGACAAAATATTATTTGAGATATGTCACTCACACAGTCAATCAAATATGATAAAACTTTAATTTGGGTCAATACTGAAGTGAAAAAAAGATTACTCGCATAGAAAACAGCATTTGAAGTTCAGAGATCAAAAGAAGTGAATTACCCCTTTTCACAAAGTGTATGTTTTAAATAGCCCTTGGATTAAAAGATTGTGTATGGTTGAAAATCCTATCAAAAATGAATGGATTATTAATGCAAACAACAATGGCATTGCTAAAAACTTGACATATATAATTTGTTAGATCAAAAATGTTCCTTCATGATCTAGTGTCAACTCTGATGTGGTCTGTTTGAGCTTTTTTTGGTGTCAAATGAAAGATCAGGTACTTATTTATCCATTGGAAATACTATGAAGATCAAAAGTGAGACTAATTTACGCACTTTGTCCCTTTAAAATGCTGCTCCAACAATATTCAATATTATATTTAGTGCCAAATATTTTCAGGGTGACACTGGACACTCCCATGAATCGTAAGTGGATGCCAGATGCTGACCAGACCACATGGACGCCACTGGAGACTGTTGCAGAGTAAGTCCTCACTATGCCACAATAATCACATACCTGCCAAATCGGAAGAAAAATCAGGGTTTACAAAAAGTTATTTTCACTAATCCACTTTCGAAATATGTTGGGACTAGTAATACATTTGTAGCTTCATTGTTGCTTATGTAACAGAAAAGGGTAACTGAAAGTCCACTAGATCTAGTTTACATCCATTCACAAGTTTATATTGAATAGATTTACAATTTACATGATTTAATTAATCTTAGTCAAAAATTCTCTTTTTTTTTGAGAAATGAAAAAATCAAGTCTATTAATGTCTACATTTTTCCAGACAAATTTTCAATGATATCTCTTGTATGAAAATATTGAACTGTTTGTTGGTGTCTCATATTGAAAAATCTAGATATGATCACCTATCAGTGGGGACATGTGCAATATTTGAGTTATTTTTTGCACTGCGTGCCTAATTTGCTTTCAAGTGGAAATTGTTTTACATTTTTCTTTTTCATTTGATGATGAATTGTACTATCAAAAATTATCAATTCACTATGACTATGAGACTTTGTCTAAATATGTTGCTGTTAAAACTGAAGGCGACTAAATGTTTTGTGACTAAATGTTTTCAATATATGCAGGTTGTTTTACAACTGGAGCACTGGCGTTGACCGTCCATCTTCAGGAGCCTTAATACAACTGATCACAGAGGCAGGCAAAACCAGCTATGTACCAGCATAGTTGCCTCCCCACGTCAGAAATATGCATAACATGACCCATATGTTCCTTCAATCACTGACTTTATAGATCTGTTCCCTTTTGAAGAGTTTGCATACTAGCAACATTAAATAAGCCTTCATTGGCTAAACTGGATTGGACAGTTACTTTGAATCATATAAAGCAATAAAGAATGGAGTGAATCACACCCATCTTATTTAGTACTCAACAATAGGAGAATGGTTTAGTACTATATATGTTAAATTCAATATGTACAAGGTAGATCTGTAAAAAATAAATGTATATTTTGTCTCATCATTGTACACAAAAACACAAAGTGAAAAACCTTGGTAAGCAAACCAAATTTTTCGATCGCAGTTTCAAGTGAACCCATATTACAATTATTACATTCCGGTGTCATTTTCTTTTTCTGACTTCCATTTAATAAATATAATATATAGTTTGTGATGACCAGCTTTACTGCGATAAATTATTGTACACCCAGTATTTACATTTTTGACCTGGGGTATGTTTTACAATGCCTAGTATATGATTGGACAAGATGTTTGTTGTTAACCCATATAAGGACATAGTCATATGTGCATGCCATGATATTTCAAGAGCAGCTATAATATTTAAAGGCCAAAGAAAAGGGGTAAAATATATTACACTGCCAAAATTATGTATACATTATAGTATAAGTACATGTATAGTGTATGGAATCGTGCTTATAAGTTGTTGTTTTAATTGTATAGCTGTGTTATATAATTGAATATCAAAAAGTGTCATTTCATTTACATTCCAGTAAATTATTTATAGTTATTGTTGCACATTTGAAAAAGTGATTCACTAGTTTGCTTCATTCATACTTTGCTTTGCTCTTAAAATGACAGTGCCTTGAATTGAAGGGCAAATCGAACATTCTCCTGCCTTCAATGGAGGGGACCAAAATATATTAGAAAGATAAATATTATAATGGTGTGTATGTTGTGAAAAGATGTTGTAACACAAGACATCAGTTGAAATTGATCATGATGAGTGTAGATGGTTTTCTTAACCAACTCTATCATAAATATTACACTATTTTGTTTCAAAAAAAGGTCACACCAATTTAAAATTATGAAGCTACTATGATTTTGATATTTCGCTATATGCTATAATATTAAATATGTTTTGTTGCCATATGTGTATTGATCTGCTTTACAAGTTCATACAAATATACATTGATGTAGTCTTCCTCTTCCAATAAACATTTTAGTCTTTAATATACACAAAAATTCCATTCAACTGGGGTGAAAACAAGTTCATCACCCCCACATATATTTCCTGTAGCCCAAGGGGCAAAGGATAAGTTTCTATATAATGATTAAAGATGAACATGCATGTATACTCTGAACATAGAATGGAATATTTGTTTTGTTATTCACTGTTATGCTTCATACTTGCATAGACATGAATGGGGATTATACTCTATGGTGTATATACTCTACTTATTACATTTTGATGTGAATCATAACAGTACATGCTATTTTATGAAAACAGGCTCATTATTAGAAGATCAGAGACAAATTTGTCTATACAACATATAAGTCTGAATGAAATCTTTTGAAATGAAATGTTAGCCTATTATATCTACTTATCATGTATAAGTTATGCAGACCATTGCAGACTGCCCATACTCTTCAAAATATTCCATTGCAACATTATAATTTTGCGTATTTTGGTGCTAATTCAGAGATGTTATAGTATTCCTCATTTCATCAAAGGAAATAGCCAATCAGCACTGTTGTTGAACGCATGAAATAATATAGGTCCTGACCTGTAAGATAGAGTATAAGACAGCATTATATAATTTTTTTATTAAGAGGATACCACTTGTAGAATTTTTTGAGATAATATACATTTTACTTCCAATAAAGTGTTCCATAATCAATATCATGTAATAAACAATTAATTTAAGGATTTAAATCCAGAAATTGTGATAACTAGTTTGTAATGATTATTTTATGAAAATAAATACATTATCATCATGAATATGATTTTTACACTTTGTTATTTCAATTCAACATGAGTGTAATGGTAAATCATTTCTCTCATTTACAGATTTAGTAGAAACTTTCATGACTTGTATGGGCACTGGTAAATATTTCCAAGCAGACCTTTCATTTGACCTTGAACTTCAAATATTGTATCAATGGATTGAAGCCCAACAGTAAACATCCAGTGAATTACTGATGGATTTAATGAACAGTTACTAAGAATGAAGACATGAACCAGTGGCATAGCCAGGATTTGACAGGAGGGGGTTCGAATATATTTGGCAATTTTTTTTTAGGAGCCACCTAACGGTGAACTTGGTGAAATTTGCTTAATCTCTGCCTTATTTGCTTAAATTTTGCCAAACTTGCTTAAATTTTGCCAAATTTGCTTAAGTTATGCCTTTGCTTAATTGTGGCCCATTTTATTTAATTTTTGCCAGTTTGCTTGAATTTAAAGTTTTACCTTTGCCAAACAAATGCAAGAGCAAAATCATAAGACAAGTGAAATACATGTATCCCAATTTTGGAACATTTATGAGCAAAAATCTAGAACTTTTTTCAACGAAGGCCTGTTTAAATCCCTTTAAATTTTGTTTATACTTCCTTCTGGATAGGTCAGAAAAATAATCCAAAATAAATAGCTCAAGGACATTATCAATCCTCCCAATTTAATTCAAGCATAGGTTGTGTAATTCAATTGTCTATTTTCCATTACTTGCACAGTGTACTTTTCAAATAAAATGTGAGTTTCAATGAAAGAAAACTATTTTGAAAGTGACTCTTGACCAAAAATAGATTTTCTAGCATTCAGAACTTTGGTGCATATTAATTAATTAATAATAAATTATTAATTTCACTTCAAATTTTAACTCAAAATTTGGGGGTTAGCATAATTGCAGGAAAAGGTGGGTTCGAATTTTTTTTGGAGGGGGGGGCAGTTTGCATAAACCCTCTGAACCCCTTCTCCATATGGCCCTGTGAACAACAGTACTGTAGATTTACTCACTTCGAGAGCCATGTTAGATTTTGAAACTTATGGCTATTATATCAAAATCCAAATAGCTTTCGCAGGAAGTAACTGTAGATGGGTTAATTTGGCGCCCGCTCAAAGGTAAAATAGAAAAAACACCAATTTACATTTCGGCAAAATTTGGATTTTTTTAGGGAAATTGGCTGTATTTGGATCACTTCCAGTTTAGTTTTTGCATGCAAAATCTGAAAATAATGAATTAAACAAACATCAATATCACGGATGTTAAAACACCAATATACCATGAGCACATGCTTTGAGGATCCGCGTTGTTTTAACCTACCGCCGAGCACACTTATACAATAAGACCCGTTAGTACAGTCATGATACCGCCGAGCAAGCTCATTGCATCATCGGGTCTGCTTTACCCCTGTGAATATGATTGAGCGCTCCACAGGGAATTCTGTCAATAATAAATTACGAGTTAGATTAAGTAGTTGAATTGAAGGAGTAGGTATGATAATTTGTATATCATTCCAGTGTATATGGAAGTTATGATGTCAGAACAATGTCCAAGTGTCCGCCAAATTAAATAGCTGCCAATATGAAAAAATAGCTGTTTTACCTCTCAATTTCTATCACTATTTTAAGATAGGGACTCATTTCAAGGCTCAATTACAATTAACTGATAAATAAAGTAGTTCCAGTTTATGTTAGTCTCAGATTCTTGCCATTTTTAATGAATGGTCTTTTTAAAAGTATTTACCCTGAGCCTCACAGATTACATACATGTTTGGCCATTATATTAACATTTGCAGATCTGCTGACCATTGGTATTGATATGGCTTTGTTTAAAAAGTATTAAAACACGGAAGTGCCTAGAGTATTTACCGTAGTTACACCTCAACTGGAGCTCTACATATTTAGTGGTGTTCTACCACACGAGGACTTCCGGCGAGGGCAAAAGTAAAAGATATCTAAAGGTAGGTATGTTCAACTTATACAATTATATATGTATTATACAGTGTATGCATTTAGCATAAGGAATGAGGAAGTGTATCTTCCAGGTCCCGGCAACAGAAAAGGTATCATGGTACTAACAGGAAATGACAAATAAGAAAGGGACAAAAACATGCTGGATTTTCATTACGAAGGGACGTTGTGTTCTAGGGGATGGTGTAATGACCTTCGATAGCAAGTCACTACTACAGTCTTGGCTGTAGTGGCTAGCCTTTATGGCTCAGGGGTAGAGCGTCTGACTCAAGAGGCTCGATTCCCGTACGGGGCATTGAATTTAGCACACTCTCACACTCTCTTTCGAGGCAAGTATCTGGCTCGGTACACTGCAACTCCCTGACAGACGTGCCCAAGGGTCGTTACATAACTTTTCCAGCCCTCTGAAAATGTGACTGAATCAATAATAGATAAAAGTAGCACCTCGGGAAATTCATCCTTCACATATGAGTTTTACCACCTGCTAATTGTAGTATTCTCTTTTAGGAGTTTGCAATGCCAAGGGTAAAAAAATTTAACTTCCATAAACGTCGAAAAGATTTGTTAGATGGAGCACCAGAGCAGCAAAAACAAGAAACAAAGCAATCGGCAAAACAAGTGACACAACATGAGGTAGATTTTTAGAAATACTTTTTTAAGAAAAAAATTTTTGTGGCTCAATTTTTTATACTCTGTGTAGCTTATTAAATAATTCATTTTGCGCTAAATGAAATTGTGACTTCCAGTTCAAATTTGCATATTTTCAAAATCATGTTTTTAGTTCTTTTTGTTCAATCATGGACCCCCATGAATATATTTATTCCCAGGTTCTACCAAATAAAATGCATTTTAATCAAGAATCTAAGATGTGAATCTTTTCCATTTTTAGGCAAAGGTAGTCAAAAATGCTGCTTCTAAGCTATCCACAAATGCTGCTACAAAAAGAGCCACAAATGTAGCTAATAAGGTAGCCAAAAATGCAGCTATGAAGAGAGCCACAAATGCAGCTATTAAGAGAGCCAAAAATGCAGCTACCAAGGTAGCTAAATATGCAGCTACTAAAGTAGCCACAAATGAACAGCATATGAGCTTTGGCATTCAGATAAGTAGCAGTGAGATCCAACAGAGCATCTCCTACATGCAACAGAATGGGGCATATTGTGATATTGTTTTAAAACTGGCTGACAACACTCTCATTAATGCTCATAAAGTCATCGTCTGTGCATTCAGCAAGAACCTTGCCGATGTATGCAGCCAACAGTGGAACGAAGCAATAGTCCAAGCTGACTTGACAACCTTAAACATCATGGCAAACATACCAGAACAAATTGCCAATCCTGCAATGAGTTCTGTAGTGGACTTCATGTATGGTCGACCAGTTGAGGCAGATGTAAGTTACTTGAGGCAAATGTTGTCCATTGCCAAGGTATTGGAGATAACGAAACTGGAAGGTGCCATATCGACACTGTTGGAACATATAGCTGATGGAAGCCTTCAGTTAAAAACACCAATGCAACAATCTCAGTCAGTGAAATCTGAAGTCATAATGGTGAAAAATGAGATGAGTGGGGAACAATATGCAGTTAATATAAAACAGGAATATGATGATAGTTACACAGAATCTAACATGTATGCTGAAGCCAATGACACCTCTACTTTAACACAAGAGAGAGAATCATATATGAATGAGGTGAACTCTGTAAGAAATGATGAAAAATATTTCAACTCTGAGTTTAAATCGATGACATATGCATTAGAACCAAAACCTTCAAAATCAACTTTCTTTACAAAAATCCAAATTGAAAATCTAAATAAAGTTCTCTTGGACACAGAAGAAAAAGGGATAGAAGGGTTTTCAGTTGGACAAATGTCAATCATTATGGAATCTCTACCAAATTATATCCGTGCATCAATTGATGCCAAGTATGACAAATTCACCCAAGAGAAACCTTCACTCAAACGCACAGAAGCGAAGACACGTGAGTAAAACTATTATTATGCCATCACCACGAGTTGTGACATATTCTTATAGTCTCCAACTTTTTGTGGGCGATGTTCAGTGTTTGGCATTCATCCATGTCTGTTACAAATCGCACGTGGTGACATTTTGCATATTATGATTTTAAAAAAAAGATTAGATTGTCATATTAACAAATATAGGGTCATAGAACCAAAATATACAATGCTCTTATTTCAAATAACTCAACTGGGGTATTGAGAGTATCTAGTTATAAAACTTTTGTCCCCAATCTTATATTTCATACATCAATGCAAAGAGTTTCACAAATCTTGTTCCAGTTGCCAAAAAGATGGAAATTGCTAGTGGGCTAGCGCTGGAGTGTGATGGTCTTACACTGCAATCTTGGGTGAGAAAATTACTCGGTATTCCTCGTCCTCAAGTTAATGGCAATAGACGAAGTAGACGAATAGTAAAGATAGCAAAGAAATATATTGTTGATGATGATCAAATTGTTAAGGACGATAATGTCAAAAAACCTCAAGTGTATCAAGTTAAAGTAAAAGATGAAGTGACAGATGACATGGATGAATTGAGTAACTGTGAAGATGAGGAGAACCTGGATGATGATGGGGAGAGCAATGACCCTGCTGAAGTGAATGATGACAATGATGATGATGTGGATAATGAGGTTAATGATATGCAGGATGAAGACAATCCATCAGGTAAGTTTAAAGTTGAAACATCCCTCTATGGAAATATTTCATCACTTTATCTCTAACTGCATACTGTTATAGTCTACTTGATTTGGTGTCAGTTTTATTTGGCAATTTTTTATAGAAATGTTGTCACTGTTGATAATGTATGACTAAGGATTGAGAATGATTTGCTGTCATCTGTTCATGAAAGCTTTATTTACTGTACTTCTACTTAATTTGGCGCTACTTATTTTGGCGGATTTGATGTTTTGAACATTTTGCACCTACTTAATTTGGCGGACTTGAAATATTGAGAAATATGGTATATTATATTTGCAAATGATGCACTTATGCCCAATAGACTTTTTCGGTAAATCCTGCCACCTTTTTGTAGGTGAAAGAAGCTAGGATATATTGGATAGATTGATTGGTTGCTGGTAGCAGTCTGTCCAAACAAAAATAGGATTAACTTTAATTTTGAAAAAGGAATAACCTATGACATCATCAATCTGGCCAATATATCATGTAGGTTCTTTGATCTATCAAAAGGTGGCAGGATTTACTGGAAAGGTCTATTGTATCCTTGTCGCTATCCATTGATTTTCATTTGATTAGTAAATTGTCATTGATTCTTTTAAAGTAGTTGAGAATGGATATGTTATTGTTGTTATTGTACAAAAGTGATTAATTTGAACATATTCAACCGGATAATGAGGTAAACATGCAGTTGGCAGTGACTTTATTTGGCAGGCTTTAAATTTGGTGGAATTAAATTAAAATGGCCAACAAAATTAAGTAGAAGTACAGTAATCAACTTCGTGACTTGCTGACTCCCATATTATTCTATTCTTAATTCTGATATTTTCCCTTTCTAATGGTAATGTTTCATTCTCTAATACCATGCATAACCGAGTCGTGACATTTTGTCATGAAGGTGCCTTGTTTATTGTGCCAGACAAAAAAAGGAAGAAAAAAGAAGTCATAGAGAAGAATTACTGCAAAGTTCCTGGTTGCCTAGCAACATTCACTGTTAAGTCACCCATGGCTAAAACCAATGAAGGAGGTGAGTTTCTGAATATAATGTTTTCCAAAAATAGATTCCCTGTTGTTATCCTACTGAACAAAATTTGATAGATATACAGTAGTATTTCTGTTAAAATTAAATTGTTAACACTGTCATAATATCTATTAAATTATCATAATTTAATTATTAAAATATTATTAATATAAAGTATCATGCTGATACTTTAAATGCATCTTTCCTTATTTCAATGTAACATATAAATTTTATACAAGTTATAGTAGCTATGACCCCCAAAGGGAGTATAACATGTGATGTCACATAATGGTATTACAGTATTAACAAAGATTTATGATGTTTTATTGGAGATGTACATGGAACTGTTAAAAGTATGATATACTACGTGTATTACATAGGCACACTGGAATAGCCTGACAACAGTAAAGTCAGATACTGTAGTCACAAATGGCGGACATAACTGTTGCTTCAATTAAATTTCTATCTTTATGTTTAATACAGCACCTTGACCAAATTCTTTTGGAACAACAATCAATCAAAGTGTCTTTATACTCATTGTACAGTAAATAATGTTCTACCTTCAAAATAAAGTCTTTATTTTAACCATTAACCGATCAAGATGAGATACGGGACAATGGACACTATATTACCATATGCCGTTGTCTTTGTAAATTATTTCAAATTCAGATTCCACTGTCATTGACGATATCGAAGACTGCTATATTGTGGCGATTCACGACCCAATTTGATCGAAATTGGAATTTCATATGATACATCATCATCATAAGAACTTAATACATGCACAGAATTAGCGACGATAAAGTCCCATGAAATGAGGACCAAATGATTTAAGAGTTGAAGCGACAGTTATGTCTGCCATTTGTGACAACGGTATCTGACTTTACCGTTGTCAGGCTATTCCAGTGTGATAGGGTGATATTAAGTGTTTTTATGCTTTTCTATCCTGTTACAGCACTTATTTTTTCAATGTTTTGACTTTTTATCGCACTTTGAAAAAGTGCTATATTGTCGTCGTCTTGTGCTGTTGGGCGGGCGTACGGGCGTGCGGGCGTGCGGGCGGGCGGCACATAAACAATCTTGTCATCAAATTTCCTGGATAACTGCTTGCCTGTTCAACTTGAAATTTTTACAGATGCAAGAGCAGACTAGTACCAAGATCTGATTAGGTTAAGGGCATGCTGGGTAAACTACATGGCAGCCATTTTGAATTTTTCAACAAATCTTGTCATCAAAATTCCAGGAAAACCACTTATCCGTTCAACTTGAAATTTTTACAGATGCAAGAGCAGACTATTGCCAAGATCTGATTAGGTTTTGGGTGTGCTGGCTGAATTACATGGTGGCCATTTTGAATTTTTCAATTTGGCGGCCATTTTGAATTTTTCAACTTGCTCCAAATTGACCAAATTTTTTTTTTAAAAACATCTACAAGTTCTCAGAAGTTCAAATCTGACCTTAGATTTCAGATTTGACCTTTCATTCCCCTTTTAGTGACCTTGAAAAGGTCAGAAAAGTTGATTTTCTAAATTGATATTTTGGATTTAAATTTAGGTCAGCTTAATTACAAAACACCTACTGAGGTCTGAAAAAGTAAAATTTTCAAGGTTGAAGGTCAAGGTCATTAAACTAGGTCACAAATGATGTTATCCAAGTTTCTCAAAGTTTGAGACTACAAATCAATTCTTGTCATCAAAATTCCAAGAAAACCGCTAACCTGTTCAACTTGAAATTTTTACACATGCAATAGCAGACTAGTGCCAAGATCTGATTAGGTTAAGGGCATGCTGGGTAAACTACGTGGTGGCCATTTTGAATTTTTCAACAAATCTTGTCATCAAAATTCCAGGAAAACCACTTATCCGTTCAACTTGAAATTTTTACAGATGCAAGAGCAGACTATTGCCAAGATCTGATTAGGTTTTGGGTATGCTGGCTGAATTAAATGGTGGCCATTTTGAATTTTTTAATTTGGCGGCCATTTTGAATTTTTCAACTTGCTCCAAATTGACCAAATTTTTTTTTTAAAAACATCTACAAGTTCTCAGAAGTTCAAATCTGACCTTAGCTTTCAGATTTGACCTTTCGTTGACCTTCAGTGACCTTGAAAAGGTCAAAAATTTGATTTTCTAAATTGATATTTTGGATTTAAATTTAGGTCAGCTAAATTACAAAAGACCTACCTACTGAGTTCTGAAAAAGTGAAATTTTCAAGGTCGAAGGTCATCAAATTAGGTCAAAAACAATGTTATCTAAATTTTCCCAAAGTTCAAGACTACAAATAAATTCTTGTCATCAAAATTGCAGGAAAACCGCTAACCTTGTCAACTTGAAATGTTTACAGATGCAAGAGCAGACTAGTGCCAAGGTCTGATTAGGTTTTGGCCATGCTGGGTAAATTGCATGGTGGCCAGTTTGCTCTTCAAAGTGCGATATTTATCACTGCGATTCCTTTCAGATGAGCCATGACTTGTATCTTAACAATTTTTCCTTGCAGATATAGACCAAAAAGACGAACTTGAATTTAGCACATTTTCTTGTTAATCTTGGGCACATTTTTGGCTCTGTAGCACAATTTAAATTTTTGTGATAAGACCGGTTTTCCTAAAATGCTCAAATGTTTTGTATATTCCAGGGTTGTGTTGTGTGAATGGTCAATGCAGTCCTCTTCGCAGTCATACAGCAATCTTCCACAAACCACCAAACTCCATCGTCTGCACTAAATGTGTCACAATACTGGAGAATGAAGGAGATTCCCACAAATGTTATCAGATCTCTCACCTCTTTAAGTGCTACGTCTGCAGTAGGAGATATCCAGACTTTGTCACCTTTGAGACTCATCTGAAATCTGTACATCCCAAGCCAGGAGTTCATGTATGTGTTCAATGTGGAATAGAGTTCTGCCGTGTGAGATTATTAAAAAACCATAAAAATGATCTTACAATACATGGTGTACAACAGTGTGATATTGGGGACTGCGGCAATACATTTGACAGCTTAAGAGAATTAGCACGGCATAGGTCTATCATGCATCTTAGGTTGGCACCTAAAAAAATCCAATGTCATATATGTGGGAAGATTTATAATACTCATCATATGTCTGCACATATGGCTACTGCACATTCAGAAAATAATGTGAGAAAAATGATGTGTAATAAATGTCCCCAGAAGTTCCTCACCAGGACTTATCTGAAAAGACATATCACACTAGTACATTGTCCGAGAAGACATAATTGTGAATTTTGTGGAAAAATGTTTAAAACAAAAGCTCATTTGCGCCAACACAGAGCAATTCACACTGGGGAGAAAAACTTTGCATGTAACATTTGTCATGCCAGGTTTGTGCAGAGAGCAAGCTTAAAGTACCACAGGGAACATTATCATATTGATGATTAAATGTCTAAAACTGTAAAAAACATGGTCGAGGGTATTATTTCCTATCATTTGATAAAAGTCATTATTTGACTTTTTGTCTTTGACTATTTGACTTTTGGCAGTTATGTGAAAAAAAACGGTGAAAATTGCCAAGTGATTTTAGATGGTCATATCTTTTACCAAGAGTGCTTTCTCAATTTAGATATGACGTTTCTCATTAACATGTGTTAATATGTTGTCTTTCATGTAAATTCTCAAGGATAATAAAAATATAAATTAAACAATTCGAAAAATTATAAATGAGGACACATTAACAACATTTTTACAATATGATGAACGTATTTACACAAAAGAGGATCTTTTTTGAACATACAAGGGGTCTAAAACTAAAAAATTTAAAAAGCCACAAGGTGGGGTCCTAATCCATAATTTTTCAGAGAGTTGGACTGATTTCTTTTTCATGGGGACTCCACTTGAAAGAAAACATATTGTTTTTACAAAAACCATTGTATTTATGGCCAGAAAGTACTCATGGTGAAAGATATGACTGTCCAAAATCACTTGCCATACTAAACCTGGTCCTTTGCTCCTATTTTATTTTGACAAATTTTCTTTTCGAATTGTCTTGATTATTGTTTTCACTATGTGTATAATACTGTATGGAGTAGATCAATGAATCAATGTCAAAAAATAGTTCTATAGTAAATCCATATGATATAAACATCTTTTACCTCTTTGTATAAAACTTCTAGGCTACTCCAAGCTTGGAGTGACGCAGGATGTTCAGAATAAAATGGTGATATGGAGTGATAATATATAACATTCATGAAAACAAATGCGAAATTGGAGAGGTCACAACCTAAGTCAAAACCGTGACAGAATATAAGATTATTAATGTAACCATACAATATGTCAATAAAATTTATGTGTCACAGAGTGTCAATACCTTTTATATATGAATGTCTGATATCTCTTACGAAACAATTTCATGTACACTAAAACCTGTCTAATCCGAACGCCATTGGGACCGGCTTAAAGTGTTCAGATTAGGAGGTGTTCACATTTCGAGGTTTTTGCAATCGTGAGATTTCGGATTCTGAAGAAATGTGAACACATTCTCGGTACATATTTATAGGTCATTTGACCACATAGCTTTATGGCATTTCAGAAATTTTAAAATTCGATTCAAATGAATCTAGTCATGCTGGAAAGCTTTTTATAATCAAGACCATCCAAATTTTTCCCAAAGTTTTGATATCATAACAATATTTGAGCAATTTTGTATGAAACATGTGAAATTTTATGAAAAGTGTTCAGATTAGAGAGGTTAATTTTTCAAATATGACTGTTCACTGTTCAAATTGAGAGGTGTTCACATTTCAAGTTTATTTCAACATGGGAGTCAATGGGAGGAAAAAATGGGACCGAAAAAAGTGTTTGGATTAGCCAGGTGTTCAGATATACAGGTTCTACTGTATTTCAACCTAACAGTAAAATCTGTTTAAATGGAACATCTTTGGTTGAGTTTCACCTCTAAATAGTGTTCCACAGGAGAGGTTCAATTTTTATACATACTGTAGTTAATAGTCTTGGGACATGGAAAATTGTTCCACCTAAAGAGGTATGTATTCCACATACCAGATATAGTACATGATATTAGGACTTGAAAAAATGTTCCACTTAGAGAGAAGTTCCACATACAGAGGGGTTCCACTTTACAGATTTCATTGTATATGGTATTGTATGTTTAATAGTGGTAAAGATACAGATCCTTTGAACTTTAGATAACAAAGAAATTGAATATATAAATAAATTTGAATATCCATTTGTAATTCCTGATATTATCACTACCTAAAAGGGCAAAGGTTTTTAAAATCGAAGAACAGTACAAAAGAAGACAAGGTATGGTGTGATTGCACCCACCCTCTCCCATCCCAAAAAAGGAAAAATAAATTTGGTAAAGTTTGTTAAAAAAATATTAACAATTTAAAGTTTGAAATGCTTAGAATGCACCTTGTACAATGTAAATTTTTAAAAATGTCCAGGGACCCCCCCCCCCCCTTGCAAACCCCAAAAACCGCACCCCTTGACATTTGCTGATTGCTGATCCAGGCTGATTTTTTAAAAAACCCGGTTTATATAAAAAAAAAGATTTCGGGTTTAATCCGCGCTCAGTTTTTGCATAAAAAACGTTCCTAATGTTTACAGTCCGCAAAATTTATTTTGTCATTTATTACCTAAGTTCAATGCATTATACATTCTAAACTCCTTCAACGTTTGATTCAATTCTGGTGTGAACAAGATTAAAGAGGACGGTGCAGGCTTTCCAATGATGTATTCTGTGGCTAGCTATTTCATACCCTGCGTGCAGAGTCTAGTTAAACTACTGTACAGAAGAAGACGAAGCTCTCTTTTAAGAAGTGAAGTCAAACGAATGCAAAGGGTAGCTATTTCACATCGTAAAAACTGAACGTATTAGTTCTATCCGTTACACTTTCTCAGTTTCTAATGTTTCATTCAACTCTGCTATAAAGGCCCATTGGAGAAGATAAACAGTTCCGTGATGTTTCATTTGTGTTAATGAACATGTTTTACTTTTATCTTAGGAATAACTGTTTTAAGAATGTTTTTTAAATGTGTTTGGAATCATCACAATGCTATTGCCCGTTCCTGCCAAGCCATGCCTTCTATTCATCTCTGTCCGTCTGAATGCGATGCAGTGTGAGAGAACTTTGAACTATGGAATGCGTCCCTGCCATTATTTTTCCCAATATATCTTAAACCCATCCTTGGCCCAAGAGTAATTCATTGCACTACATTATGAGGACCGATCTTGAAGGATGCTTAAACAGAGTGTATAACTGATCATGATGAATATGATTTGAGGGGTTTTCTAAGAATCCCCATCAAGATGCCATTTCCGAATCGCAAGGCGTTCACATGCAATCAGTATGTTGTTGCTTTGGAGTAAGTTTGATAACAATATAAGTAGTTCCAAACAAATTGAAAAACAAGTTAAATATTATTGCTAGATTTGATAGAGCCCATGATTTCACGTTCAAGGATATCTATATTTCAACTTACAAACCGATGATTTAGAAATTGGTAACCTCCACCCTTCCATTCCCACCGCTCATAGAAGGCTTGCATCGTCTGCAATGTGATAACTTTTGTACGATCACGACCGACAGAACAGGAGATACGTTGATTTGATGCTACCATCACCTCTTCAAGTCTCTCGCCTGACTAAAACCGAGAGAAGGATGTCAGAAAACCATCACTGAAAAAAGAGGAAAATAATCGGGTTCATAAAGGAGAGACACTTTTTGCAAAAGCAGCAGAATTCGAACATTGAACATTCACCGTCATTTTTTCCGAGTTTTGACATTTTTTCCGGGCTGCAAGAAAACAAGTTGTGTTTTTTCATCAATTTTTCCGGATTATTTACTTTCATTCCAAGCCATTAAAAATAATTTTCGATGACTTTCTGATGATTTTTTCTGGGTTTACTACTTTTATCCGAGTTGGGGGATAAAATTTGGTCACCTTATCACTGATGGACGATATTGAAGCCCTTAATCATGTTAATTGAGAGCAGAGAGACTACAGAAAAGAGCACAGATAATTCCAGGCTTTAACAAACTAGAGTACCAAAGAGACTTGAAAGACACTGAATATGATAACCCTGGCCTTTAGACGAAAACTAGGGGACATATAGGGGATTGAGATCTATAAACTAACTTATGTTTAACTCAGGCCCGTAGCCATGAAAGGTCAGTAAATGTATCCATTTTGCTACATGTATAACCCCCTCCCCCCAGGCGCTCAGATATGAGTGGTAACAGGCACATATACATAATAGCCTTTCTAAATAAGTCATAAAATCCTAAATGGAAAGGCAGAGGACGACTTGACCACTTCCCACGATCCACATTCGTTTCCCTAGGCCTGGGAATACTAAATGATTTTATTCCAAGCCTAGGCCTATATGTCTAGCAGTTTTTATCTCTGAGCTTTGAGACTCCCATATACACATATTACTTAGTATTAGGTCTTGGTGAACGTTGGTGATGCACCATGTTTCCATGGATTGTCATTGGATTAAGAAACTGGCTGGACATTCTCAAAAATATAGGGAAGTCACATTCCTGAATCAAAACAAAAGCACATGGCTATGTTTATAAATTTGAGGGGCGTGTCAATTATCCACCAATCAGATTGAACTCTTTTTACGTCATCGGGCATAGAAAATAAAAGACGTGGAAAGATGAGCGACAATCTAAATGGGTTTTACTTCGGTGGCATCGAGGGGTGAGTGTAGTAATATATACAATATTGTTCAGTTTTACCACGGGTTTCTTCTGATATCAAATTAGTACTAGGATACCACGTATAGTGCGGGAACGGTCGAATTTCTATTTTATTTATCACTTCCGGTTAAAAATGGCGATACGATTTTGAAATCACTTGACTTTTAAAAACCTTTTCATGATTTATGAGGGCCAAGCCACTCCTTAAAAGGCATTTATGTACATACATAGTTCTACTGAATGTTGATAAGTTTCTTTAAATCTACCATAAGATTTATATCCTCTAGCAGCCACATGTAGAGCTACCCAAGTGGGTGACTTGATGATCTTATGTTGATTAAAAAAAGGTGGGAAATTCAAACATTTGAAAAAATATAAATGTCAATAACATTTTTAAAATATCAACTTTTTCAAACATCAACGATTTTTATTTCATTTTTCGAAGCTAAGTTTGACGGTTACAAAGCACCATACTGTCGTCATTTTGTGCCGATGGGCGTACATGGGTATGTGTTAGACTTAATTCTTCTAAGGCCACTGTATCATGGCCTTCCAGTAAAGATATATTCCTGCATGAACAACTGGTCATGTCGTAATCATAAAATTTGAAATCATATGTCCGCCATTTTTCCACATCACAATTTGAATTGCGAGTTTTGGTCTTATTACCTCACCAAAAATTCCAAAACACACATAAAGTGATCAGTGTATTAATTCACATCTTCTGGATCGCTAACTTAGAATTTACAGCCAGTTACTAATGTCAGACGTTAACGACATTTCGTCTAGTTTTCGAACATCGCCATTTTTCTTGGAGCCATTTTGTTTTAACTTTAGACGAAATCCTGATGAAATCATGTCATATCTCATCAAGGAGCCAAGCGGGGTCCGTTTCGATTAATGATTTTTTTATTTGGCGATTTTTAAAATATTCAATAAACTTATGACACGGCGGCCAGCTTTTTTCAAATGGAGTTCACAGTATTCCAGATGAAATCCCCTCTAGCCAAGTATTGGCTAGAGACTCGAGTAATGTTAGACAAGTAAACATGCCCAATGATGTTATTTCATGTTTCTTTTTGATGATTTGGATATTCTTGTTTTATAAAACAACAAAATTCAAATTATTAGAAACGAATCTTGCGGAATCCAAAACCTTCAAATACAAATGCTATAATTTTTAGCTGGTCATAGCCTTCGTATTAGACAGGTTTTACATTAATAATATGTGGATGATGATAAATATTTTTAAACTTTGCATGGTTTCTCAAATTTAAACATATAGAATCACAAATATTCTTGACCTCTACAGTGGATAATTGATTTAAGTTTCATTTCCTATGAGGTAAAATTTTACATCAGTGATCTCTCCAGGAATTTTTCTCTTGTGGGTGCAAAGTTCTCATTTTCACTATTCAGACCAAAATTGGTCAAAATATGCCAATTTTTTAGGATTTTTCTAATTTTCAAGTGGGTGCAAATAGGTTTTCAGGTGGGTGCAAGCCTATTTTCAAAATCTCAGGTGGGTGCTGTGCCCACTTACTTTAATGCTGGGGAGATCACTGTATGTTATATATTGCTTGAAAGATACTAAAAATTAGAATACCCATTGTAAGTATATTTGCAGTCAAATACAAACAAAATTTGGTCTTCCAAGATAGAAGTTCAAAGAATGTGTATAAATTCTCTCTAATATTTACTATTTTACTGCTAATGACATCTGATATATTTCGAATGTAAGGTTTTCTTATATCTCAATTTATTGGGATCTGACCTGCTAGAACAGACTGTCCATCCCCAAATTTTGTATACTAGTATGACATTGAATTTTTGAGATTTTTTGTGTTTAATTAATTACAGTTAAACCTGTCTTAGTAAACACCTCTCTTTAATGAACACCTGTGTCTAATGAACACCCCTTGGCCCTTCTTAGCACATACTCCACTGACTTGCCACTCTGTAATGAACACTTACTTATAGTGAACACATTTTTGTGGCTTCATGGGTGTTCACTATACACAGGTTTTACTGTATGTATTTTGTATACAGTGTAATTAATTAATATTTATTGCTTATTTAATGCTTCTTTTAACTCTTTTTTGTTGGTTTCAGAGTAAATGATTGTTTATCTCTGTCTTACATTATAGGGGTGGTACCCATTCTACCATGGTGCTCCTTAAGGGAGATGGGACTAAAGTGGCCCAGAGTGAGGGGGACTGCACCAATCATTGGGTAAGTTAACCCTTATGTTTCTGATAATAATTATAAAAATGAAAATATGTCCAGTAAAAGAAAATATTGTCTGTCCAATACAAGAAAAGATATTTCAATCTTTGTGATTTTATAACACTGGTTCTGCAAAAACATGTAATCAAAAATGTAGCACCATACATCCCATATATTACTCTTGCATAGAAAATTGATTTAATTTTTTAGGTTTATAGAGCTACAGTGTATTGATTTATTCATGATCAGGACTCATGTTTGACATGATTTATGAAGAAATTCTTTTCACGACATGTTGTTATCTTTACTTACCTATTATCTTATATGTAGGAGGCAATATTAAGCAAATAAAAAAACTTAACAAAGTTCAGTACAGTTTAAGTGATCTGGCTGCTTAGAGAAAAGCTGTTGCACGAAAGAGTATATTCTTTCAGAGAGTTCACAATAGAAAACCTGATGTATGTCTTTCTTACATATTCTATTGAAAAGATATAGAAGCAAATCCTAAACTATTGACCTTACAAGATTTTTTTTAGTTTTGAAATGTTAGATTTGAAATGCTCACATGTTAAGTATATTTATTTGAGGCCTGTAGCCAACTTTTGGCAAGGGGGATCAGTTTTAACAATTTCAGAGGGGGTTCAGATTTGATCGTCTTGGCCCAAAATTGCTTGAAAAGTGCTCAAAATGGTGAAAAACTGCATGTTTAGAATTTTGGCTACGGGCTTGCATGCATATTTAACAATGATATGATCCCTCATCCAAATTAAAATTATCACTGATATTGTTCATCTTGTTTAATGACATTGAAGTGAGGGTTGAAGTTGTCATGTACAATTGCCCATCACACTTGACATGTGCTTCGGTTTAATCTCTAACATATGAATGCCATTCTACATTTATTTAGAATTTGATGCTGTATATTTTGCCAAAGTATCACTCCCACTTGAAAATGACATTTATATCACTAGAGTAATTTACTACTCAAGATTCATATCATATATACTGATATATGCTAAAGAATTTAAGCTTTTAATGAATTGTAAATGATTTTAGGCATGAATGTCTTGTGTCAAGACCACGGAGGTTGGTAGCCTGAATTCAAAGGCTATAGTAAAAAAACATGATTGCATTAAATCAACTATAATTCAGTGAAACATGTGCTTAAATTCTTTTCACACATTGCTCAAGATTTTTTACAATATCACTAAAATGAATGGATTCAATTTAATAAGAAACCTATTGGCAAGGGTTGTGAGAGGTATTTCATGTTTAACTTGATCCCCATAGTGGCCAAGGATATATATTGATAACAATTTTATAGACTTTATAGTACAGTACAGTGTATTGTATATAAAAGCGAGTAGTAAATAAAATTTTTGGAATGACTTCTTAATGGTGGCAGTTTTATGCTGCAATGTTTTATATGGCCCACTACACGAAGTATTAAGTTAATTCTTCAAAATTAAATAAAAAGTTGTTTGTTCTTCAAGAAGGCATTTAATAAACATTGTTTTCATGTCACCATTGAGAACTGGTAACCTTGCATATTGATATTGCCGCCATCTTTTGTAACATCTTGTTTTTATGTCACCACCACAAGTGCAGCACTCCTATAACAAATGGCAGGTGGTTACATTTTGCATGTTAATACCTTGTCTGCATTTGGAAAAGATCTGTAACAAATTGTTACACTTTTGTAATATTGCAGCTAGGTGATGACATTTTGTCATAATATAGCAAGCTTTGCCATTTAAAGGAATATATTTTTATCTAGGCATGTGCATGTACAGATGTACTCGAGTATAAAAATCATCAAAAACGTGCAAAATGCAATCCTCTGAATTTGGTCATGTGTAAATGTGTCCTGTTATACCAAGGACCTCAGAGGTTGAGACATCATCCCCTTTGTGGTTCTCTAAACAGCAGGGGCGGATCTGGGAACCAACAAGGGGGGGGGGGCCAAATTTCAGGTCAAAGAAAAGTACTTAGGGGCCCAAAAAAAATTTTGGGCCCCTAAAACACAAAAGTGGGCCCAAAATTTGAAATTTTGAGGTCCATTTTCTTCAAAATTTGGCCTGAAATTAAAAAATAAGGCCTTAAAAGGCCCAGTTATGACCAAAAAGGCCCACTTTTTGGGGCCTTAAGGCCTTTTTTGGCCCAAATTTTTTTTAGGGCCCAATTTTTTTTTCTGGGCCCACCCAAGGGGGGGCCCGGGCCCCCAGGCCCTCCCCCCCAATCCGCCAGTGAAACAGAGTGTCTGATGTCTGCCTGCATTCAGGGGAATGGCATGTAAGTCGGATGTTTTGTTATTTAAGCGCAATGTTGATCCAAGTGTGTCTTTTCTTCTTCAGCTGGTAGGCATTGATACTGCCCTTAAGAGGATGAACGAGATGGTAGAGGAAGTGAAAAAAGCAGCAGGACTGCAACCAGAAACGAAACTGAAATCACTAGTTAGTATATACGAGGCTTTCAAAAGACCATGTGCAGTATGGGAAGTGATTTTAGACGGCCATATCTTTCACCATGTGTACTTCCTGGGCATAAATACAGTGATTTTTATTAAAACAGTATATTTTCTTTCAAGTGAAGTACCCATGACAATAAAAATATCAATTGAACAAATCGAAAAATTATGAATAGGGACCCCATGTCAACATTTTTTTCAAAATATTGAACCTATTTACTCAAAAGAGGATCTCCCTTTTCTGATTTTTATTTTATGAAAAGATTATTTAACAAGGGGTCTAAAACATCTTCAAAAATATAATTGTATTGAAAGTCTAGTTTTGAAGATATCAATTTTCGATGACCAAAATGATGCTGAAAACAATGGATAGCACGAGTTTTCCATATGGGACAATAACATGGGATATGTGGTTTTTAACTTTAATGCATTTCAATACGCATCCCTTTTTCAGAAATTGTTCATAAAGTGTAGAAGAAACTTTTGATATGTTTAAATTGAGAAAAGCAAGATCCTCTTTTTAGAAAATAAGCCTAACATTTTTAAAAAAGTGCCAGGGTGGGGCCCTAATCCATAATTTTTCAGAGAGTTGGATTGATATTTTTATCATCATGGGTACTTCATTTGAAAGAAAACATATTGTTTTAATAAAAACCACTGTATTTATGCCCAGAAAGTACACATGGTGAAAGATATGACCGTCTAAAATCACTTGCCATACTGCACGTGGTCTTTTAATATAAGCTGATGCCATTTGGGCAAAGGATTTATTTTGGAGGAATTTCCAATATTTATTTCAATTCAAAATGGCCCTGTTTTTTTAAGAAAAATATAATTTTTGATAACTCAAAAACCAGTTATCTGAATGATTTGATCCAAATATGGGCTTGGGTATATCATGAATAGGACTTCAATTCATGGCTGCTCATTTTAAAATGGCTGCTGCATTTTTAAGACAAATAGAATTTTTGAAAACGCAAATACCAGTTTTCAGATTTGGTTTAGATTTTATGTGGTGGTGCCTTATGGGCATAAGACTATGCTCTTTGTTTTTTCCCAAAGGAGGCAATACTACTGCCATGTTATTTCATATATGTAATGTTCAAAATGATGAGTGATTTGATGAATATATTTTGTGTGATGAGATGTTTAGTTGCTGTTTTTCTAGTTATATATGTTATATAGGGTATGTCTTTGAGTGGTGGAGATACACCTGAGTGCCAAGAGAAAATATCTAATGGTATGGCCAACAAATACCCAGGGACCAGTGAACACTACAAAGTATGCAATGATGCCATAGGTGCCATGGCAACAGCTACTCCTGAAGGTTGGTATACTTGGATCAACTGTTTCAATACTCTAACCCTAAAATGACCCAGAAGGTATCAATTTGTACTGGTTATTTTGTCAACCCCAAATTTTTAATTTACAAACTAAAATGTAGGTACATGGTGAATTGACTTTGCCTATAATGTAGGAATCTTCTTGATTTTAAAATGTTGAGATTTTACCTTCAATGACCTTCTCAAGCTCAAAACAAGCGTCAAAAGGTCTTTTTTCAACTTGCTTCAAATTGACTTCTTTCAACTTCCAATAACTTAACAAATACTGTTTAGACTGACTTCCATTTTTTCAAAATTTCAAAATCTTCTACAAGTTTTCAGAAGTTCAAATCTGACTTTATATTTAAGATTTGACCTTCAGTGGTCTTTCCAAGGTCAAAAAAGGTTAAAAAGGTCTTTTTTCAAGTTGCTTCAAATTGACCAATTTTTTTCAAAATCATCTACAAGTTATCGGAAGTTCAAATCTGACTTAGCTTTTGAGATTTGACCTTCAACGACCTTCTCAAGCTCAAAAAAGGTCAAAAGGTATTTTTTCAACTTGCTTCAAATTGACTAATTTTTTTTCAAAGTCATCTACAAGTTCTCAAAAGTTCACATCTCATAATATTGTGAGCAACTAGGTGGTGACATTCTGTCATGTTAATGCCTTGTTATACCATGTGATGGGCTCCAAGCACAACACCTGTCATATTGCATATTGCATTTTTTCAGGGGGTATAGTGCTAATAGCAGGTACAGGGTCCAACTGTCAACTTGTCAACCCAGACCAATCAACACAAGGGTGTGGGGGTTGGGGTCATCTAGTGGGAGATGAAGGCAGTGGTGAGTAGAACCATAAACTTTTAATTGATGTTAATATTTACTGTTGAGTGATCATTAGAGGTGGATAAGTGTTCATTAATAGTGTTTGTGTTTACAAGAAAGTGATTAGTGTTCACAAGAGGTTGGTAAGTGTTCCCTTGAATTGTTGAGTGTTCTATGAGAACTTCTATGAGAAATTAAGATTTTTAGACATTCAAAGGTGTAACTAACAAAACAGGAAACAGATGAAATCTTCGAAATGAACACATAAAACCAATATAAACAGTACAATGATATTCAATATCTTGAATTTTATTTTAATTTTTTATTGTAGCATATTGGATCACACAAAAAGCTTTAAAAATATTATTCGACCATGAGGACAACCTGAAACTGTGCTCAATGGACCTCAGCTGTGTTAGAAGGGTCATGTGCAAACACTTTCAAGTAAGTGCATTCTTATCTACTTAACACTTTATTATAAGTGTGATTTTGCTTTTTTAAAATAAAACTTTATCTGAATCTAATGTGATAGGGTTTGACACTGGGTATATCCACAGGCTGTACCACTTTACTTTTTTAAAAGAGAACTTCATCCGCATTTAGTGTAATAAGGTCTGACACTCTGGGTATGTCCACCATAACTGCATAAAGGATCTGCATTGTGTTTCAAATACCAGGATACATCTTCCAAAAATACAAGCAAGTCAAGAGACATAAAAGAACACACAAAACAGTACACATTCACAAACAAAACTTCTCTGCGAAAATCAAAATAAAGTAATTTCCTCTCTCAATGGTTACTTTGAGATTATGAAATTACTGAGGGTAATTGATTTCACCGAATCTAAAATAACTGGTCATCTGTTGTATAATATAGAATGCATATTATACTGTGTTTTAAGCTACATGAATATGATATCATGGCTAGCTATCTGTGAATGTATTATAAGTTACTAGTGTTATTTATATGAGACACCCACTTACAAGCTGTACAACTGTCCCTCAAGGCAACATGATTTCAATCATTTCATACAGGCACATAACAATGACTGTATCAGTCTGGACAATTTCTTTCATGAAAAGCAAATGATACAGGGTGTTCAAAAATAATTGCTCCTCTTTACTCATTTACTAATGTGGTGAAAAAATGGGCTATTTAACACATGTCTATTCAATAAAGAAAGTATGTAAGCCATGTTTTAAAAGTGATATTTGATTTTTTTTATGTCACCACCACAAGTGTGGACATATTGTTATAGTCGCCAACTTTTTTTGGGACAGACAGTGTTTGGCATTTGGTGGTTGGTGTGTGGCAGCTGGTGTTTGGTGGTTGGTGTGTGGCAGTTGGTGTTTGGTGGTTGGTGTTTGGCAGTTGGCATTTGTAACAAATGGCAAGTAGTGACATTTTGTATGTTAATGCCTTGTTTCTTACAGCCTTTTAGTCTAAGACAAAAAGTCAATGATGATAGCATGAGATCTCACATATCAAGTACTTTAGTAAATGATACATAGTTATTAAGAGAGATTATTGACATAGATACATGTACCAGCAACTCATTCTGATACTCATAGCATCTTTCTGTTTCACCTGAAACATCTCAGGGCTGAGAAGAAATGAGATGTCATGGTTTATCATGATGCCAGCAACTTGAAATTATAAGAAGTTATTTTACCGAAAATCACTGAACTAAAACAATTAAAAATTGGCAATTTATTCTACAAACATGTAAATAACATTGCACATTGGCAGCACCATGACCCTATATCCTAATTCTAATATCAATTTACTCATCATTTTGGATGCCATAATGGTTAACATGGAACCACCTTACAAATCATTTATAATCCTAATAAATGAATAATTGATTTGGATGATTTTCAATAAGATTGTACTCCACCATAGACTAGTGATAACAGTACAATGAAATATATTAGATAAATGATTTTATTTCATTCGTCAAACACAATAGCCTTATGGTTGATTACTGAAATCTCATGGCTCCGAAGAGCTATTCTCAACCTCTACAACTTTGGTCATCTGATGAGTCAGTGAGTCTCCTTGCGCAGAATGTGTCTACCGCAGTATCTTGTGTGTCACGGCAACATAGATCACGTCTTGAACATGGTGGATGACAATATCCATCTTCACCCCTTTTCACTGCCTCGTATCTTGGCTCACCAGTTCTGGGAAAAAGAAAGTAAACAAAAATAGATATAATAGTGATTATTATTTCACCATCACAAGTATTATTATGGTCTCCAGTGATTGGTGTTTAGCAATTGGTGTTCAGCAATCAGTGTTTGGCATCTGTAATAAATGGCAGGTGGTGAAATTGTGCATGTTAGTGCTTTGTTTTAAATCACTATGACAGTTTAGCTGTAACATCTGAGCAATTAAAAGTGCTTTGATAATGTTGAAAAGATGGCACTAACTTAAAGGTTTCATATTTTGCAACAAAAATAAGAGCACAGTGAAACCTGTAAAGTGGAACACCGACTCTGTTAGTAGAACACCTTTCAGAGTCCAAAGACCAACTGACTTAAAGAGAAATACTATGGTTCCAGTTTAGAACCAAGATGAGGGATTAAGCTTTTGACCTTTTTGATGTGTTCAAGGTCACTAACAGGTCAGATTTCAAAACTGCATATTTGTAATCAAAAGCTTCATATTTCATACTAAAGAAGGATGAAATTTATAGTTAAACCTAATTTACTCCTTCTAAGATAAGAATAATACAATGGTACCAATTTTAGAGACTACCGTTAATAGATGCAATGACAGTATGTTTTGGTCAGATATGATGTTTGCAGATGTTTCTGTCTATAAAAGTGCACATTCTAATATATGAGAAGTGTTTTACATACTCTACACCCATGTCTTCCTGGTTGACCAATGCAATGTTCTCTTGTGGCTCATCTGCAGCACCAGCACCATGACCTAAACCCTTTTTAACAGTGTCTGTGTTCACTCTTGAATCTGAAATGCATGTTTACTTATTGAGCAGGTCTTCTGCAAGAGGTCAAATTAACATAAGTTTAAAAGTTGATTCCAAACTCTTAATATTTTTGTCTTTTTGTTTTATAGATAGGTATCAGTTATCTATTAACTTTTTTTGGCTTGTTATTTTTAGGGAAAAGGTCAATTTTCAATTTATTTCAAAGTGATAAAAATCATGTACAATAACCAGGTTACTTCAGGTTAAACCTGCACATCGCTCCAAAACGCAATATGTTGACATATATTGTTTTTACATTTTCAAGCTCTAATATAAAGTTTATGTAAATAAAAAATAATTTTCTGCGTAATATCAAAGAACAATCATCTAGTTAAAAAAAATAAAAAAGTGGATGCGGGATTCGAACCCGGGCCTCCTGCGTGCTGAGCGAGCATTCTACCACGAGGCCATCGAGATATTACAAATGACAAGATTAATTAAACGCTACTTATGCTAAAGGCTATAATTCGGAAGTGACGTCACGTTCTTAATTTAGAAACCTTTCCAAAATCATATCGTCGTCACCGATCGAAGCAATTCAATGAAAAATCTTTGAAATGACACATTTATCATAAGTATTTATACACAAGATTTTCCCCATTTGTTCATCATTCTATAATCTTTCATTCAGCTCAAAATGATAAAGTTCACCCCCGAAACAACCCAAGATTGCGTTTCGGGGCAAAGAGCAGGTTTAAAGGTCAAGGTCATATCCCATCACGTCACAAAAGCTGTTTCTAATTTTTTCAGCATTTTAGTTTTCCAACACTAAAAAGGTTTTTACCAGATTCTATCTTAGAATAATTAAATCAGTATTAATGAATGATTAGAATGATGATTTTGTATGAAATCAAAATTAAATAATTTAGTTATTGTATTCCTCTTTGTGTAGTTGATTGTCGCAAAATATCATTATAGTGAAGAACTGTCTATAGATATGCGGCTACTCAACCTCGACAACTTTGGTCATCTGATGAGTCAGTGAGTCTCCTTGCACAGAATGTGTCTACCGCAGTATCCTGTGTGTCACGGCAACATAGATCACGTCTTGAACATGGTGGTTTACAATATCCATCTTCACCCCTTCTCACTGCCTCATACCTTGGCTCATCAGTACTTCAAAAAAGATAACCACTTTGGAGACAATCAGATCTAGTAATGTTTCAAAGAAAATTCTTCCTATTTTCGGACTCCTTTTCAAATAAATTCTATAAATTCTATATTGCTGATTTAATTTACTATGTCACACCCATATTTACTCATATGGGGGGAAAGTACTTGGTACTATTGAGGATTGTAGTTTGTTATTAATAGGTACATGTAAATTTAGATGAAAAAACATGTAATACACCAATTCATGTTTTACATGCTGTCTGTATATTAGAGAACACAAATGACTGAGTTTACACACTTCACACCAGTATCTTCCTGATGAACCCCCTGGGCCTTCAACAGACTGACCATCAGTAGTGCTAATATAGAAGCTTCCTTCAACATTGTCTGTGTTAAGCACAACACTAAAAATATATTATTAATATTAGTTATTATCATCTTTAATGTCGTTTTACAAGAATATGAAAGTGGTTGTCTATCAACTGAGAAATAAAACAAACTATAAACAAGGCAATTTTCACAAACCAATGTAATACCCACATTTACTAATCATGATCTAATATGGTATAAGCATACCATTTGAAAGCTGTTATTACCATATTTTTCAATCATTTTATGAGAATTAAATCAGACCTTACAAATGTAGCATGTATACCTTTGAAATATGACAAAGCAATTTTATAGACTGATCTAAAGGTAGTTGATCAGTTTTAGTATGTCAGAAACAATAAAAATAAACTTATGTTTTTAAAAATGCCTCTCTTTTTATCCATATTAACGCTTTTCAAAAAGTATCAATGAAAATATAAACTTTAAAATCTAAAAAGGTCAATAATAGATGTATATTGTATATATTTTAACCCTGACTGAACATTACCACCCTTTTTTGCTGCCCTCTACCCTATACTGATTTTTGGGCTATTTGTATACATGTTTCAGATAGTGTATTTTGTTACAAAATGTTTATATTATATCGCCCAAATCTTGATATGGTCAAGTTACATGCTATACTCTTAACCCGTTAGAACTTTAATATATTCTTTATATTGTTATTTAATTGTTCGTAACTATTAATTTATTTATTAAAGAATATGCTGTTAGACTTAAGTATTCTAGAAACATATAAGAAGAAATGTTATTTTAAAAAATATACCTTATTGTTGTTAGTCCAGTATTCCCTCAAGTAAATTAACTACAGAAAACAATTCTGGCATTTTCACGATGTGACGCAGACCTGGATTGATTAATGGCACTGGGAAGTATGTTGCCAATAGACTTTGTCATGCATCTATGCACACTGGATAAAAACATCTAATACCTGTTCAGTCACAATGTTAAATGTGTCTATTATTGTAAAGAGCAACAATTTGATGGATTATTGCAGAGCTAAGAACTTTCCACTTGAATGAGGAATTCATAAATAAACAGCTCGATGTCGGGAATTATTAGGTTTTCTTTGCCATTCATTTTACCAATAACTTCTGTTAGAAGTACAAACATGAGTTATTGTTTCATGTTATTATTAGGGATACCACAAGCGCTCGATTGCCTGAGCAATTAACGTCCGATACAAGCTTCAAGTTCTTCAAGTTTTCTAAGCAATATTCAGGTCAAAGACCAACAAATGACTGAATGTTTTTATCTGAACTTATAATAACTTACTTGTCACTAGTATGTATCTGAGCACAGTATCAGTTGTATGGGGAAGGGATTAAATCAAATAAATGAGAGAAAAATTCTTAATCTCAGGTATTGTTTGTGTTTTAAACTGCACTTTAAATTTAAAAACCACGGCTCATTTGGCTTTGAAAAATTGTTTTGTGAGGCCGTAAGTAAAATGTTTGAATAATGTTTAGTGTTTTATGATTTATGTTGTATCTTATTGTTCGTATCATATCGTGAGGTCACTATCATAGATAAATAACAATATTCCCTCTCTCGTATCGTGATACCCCTATTGTTATCCCAACTAACTTCATTCTTGAAGCGATGAAGAGAAGTTGTCCATTTGTTTGTCAGTTTTATCATCCATTTTCCATCTGTTAGGAGCTAAATAACTAAAAAAAACTTTAGATGGATTTGGGTAGAATTTATTGGTACCCTCATAATTGTATATAAAGATCCAATGGTACGATAATATCTAATATTAAATTGGTCTTAGGAAAGTTATTGTTATTAAATAGGCTCATATACCTCAATAAATAAAGTAAATCAAAATAGCATTCCTTAAATAAGACAAAAAAACATGGATGACACATCAATCTTGATATTTCATTTTTTGCAAAGTAAATATAATTTATCTTGGTTTGTTTGGTAACTATCAATTCAGTAAGTATATAATATATAAAAGTATAATGTTTCATAACAACATAATCTACCTCAAAATCATCTACAAATTATCAGGAGTTCAGATCTGACCTCTGTTTTGAGATTTGACCTTTCAGTGACCTTAAATGACCTTAAGGGGAGATAATGTATTTTTCAACTGTCTTCAAATTCAATCTCCTTTTCTTAGAACCATTATTTACCAGAAGCCTATAATATTCCAGATTTGACCTCAAATAACCTCTTCAATGGGCCTCTGAAAAATAAGCTACAGCTTTAGTTATTTTATTAATATTAGACAAAAAAATGTAATTTGATTCTATCAACATGATTCCGTTCATAAGCATTAAATGAGCATTTTCTGTGGTTAATACTGCAACTTCTCCATTATATACATAGTACAGGGTGGTAAAAATGGAAATCCTTATGTTAATTTCCTCATATCTTTGTCATTTTAAGAAATAACTCCCTGATATTTTACGCATCTGTACATCATTCAATTTCCTACCAGCCAGCTTTATTTTATGAGCATCAGATTGATAGTCACAATTTTACAGCACTTTAAAGAACGTGCCTCAGTGGCCACTATTGCGCTGTCGGGAAACCTGGACTCTTCGTCCAAAATGTCCCTACCTGTTGGGATATGGCAGAAATAGAGTGTATGAGAATGACCTCATGACAATTGCAAACCTCAAAAGTGAGATCATCCGTGTCATTCAGGCCATACCTGCTGAGGAATGCATTTGGGTCATTCACACCTGTGCAGATTTGCCTTCAGCGCGATGATGGCCAAACCTGAAGCATGTTATTCAAAGTGCAGTAAAATTGTGACTATCAATCTGATAGTCATGAAATATGGTTGGGTTGTAGGAAATTGAATGATGTACAAATGTGTGAAACATCAGGGAATGTTTTAAAATGACAAAGATATAAGGGAAATGCAGGGTTTCCATTTTTACCATCCTGTATTTGTCTCCTAAATCCTCCTATATCAGCAGAATATCAATACTTGGCAATATACTGTACTTGAGCATCTCTTGTGTGGGCATACACAACTTTCCTTTTTTCTTAAGAAAAAATGTGTACACTCCTCCGGGTGAAATATTTGTGACACTGTTGGAAAACATTATTTATAGGCTTTCCCACATTGTCCACTGAGGGAGTCTAACCATAGTGCCAGTTTGTGTCAAATGTAGCAAGATGTTTCTGGTAGAACAACCTCTTCTCGACTCTTTTGAGTTGTTATTTCTGCATTGAATGCTGGGTTAATGTTGCCATGGTAACCAATATTTGTGTCAACTACTGTTAAGCAGTATTCATAAACTTTCCCACATTGTCCACTACAAGTCATGGTAACCAATATTTTTGCCGTCTATTGTTAAGCATTATTTATACGCCTTCCCACATTGTCCACTGAGGGAGTCTAACCATTACTCCCAGTTTGTGTCAAATGTAGCAAGATGTTTCTGGTAGAACAACCTCTTCTCGACTCTTTTGAGTTGTTATTTCCGGATTGAATGCTGGATTAATGTTGCCATGGTAACCAGGAGAGATGTTTTCAAGGGGCTCATCTTCCCGACACACAGTGAGAGTCACTAAGGCTTCAGAGACCTGTGCCAGGGTGTGGGCCTTTGGGGCATCCTCTATGGCAAATGTATGTGAGATGGGTGGTCTCAGCCAACCCTCTTCGATACCAGTCTGAATTGCCCTCTCACTCTCCTTCCAATCTGCCTGGATAAAGTATACAGAAAATAAAAAGTCAAACATGACACCTGAATTTAGATTTATTCATAACCATGGCAACCACATGAAAAACATAAACATTCAGGTATACAACCACAGATTTTCAAAGAGGTCTTTCAAATAATCCAATCTCATGTATTATTGTGACATGATTTCAGAAAATTACTGATAAATAGTCGTAAAACTATTTAAAGCATACAATTTACAGTATATAGAATATTAGAACACATAGATGGGAGATGGTATGGTACAATAGCCTATACTTACTTCTGTTGTATTGGCTCTGTTCACACCAACCAATGAGATTTCTTTTGTAATCAGATCTCTAGGGTCAATATAGATGTCACCCCTGCTCCCAATCAACTGAAATTACAAAATAAGGAAACAAGTTATTATATCACTTCTAAGCTTACTCTTTTATATGGTTGGTCAAACCAGGGCCACTTGATATGAAAGATAAAGAGGTTATCTTCTGGAAGGGATTGAATGAGGGTTTTTTACGGAGGGGCAATTTGACAGTTTGCAATTTATTTTTTATTAAAGTCATTGTAACACATACAAGTTGTAGTGGTTATGACCCCAAGAGGGAGTATTATTTTCCGAGGACTTGAAGAAAACACTGTTGATACCTCAGTCTCAGAACAATTAATGCACAAAAATATTGTGAATTGGCAAAAACATTTACTATGTTTATGATGCAGGATGGGCAGTACACACAAACTTTGCATTAAGGTTATTTCTTTAAAATTGCTCTAGTTAAGAAATACTTTGTATGATCATAACTTGGTAAACTGTAACTTAATGTAAATAACTTTTTGCACAAATTCAAACCTAAAGTCTTATAAACATAATCACCACACATCTTCCATATGTCTTCAGAAGTGGAATGTCATCTTCTATACTACTTTCTGCATGGGACTCCAAGGCGACATCTATCCCTCTATTGTCAGTGATTTCCTATAATTTAAACAGTTATTTGAAAATGCCTCTACATGTACGAAGCTAAGGGCGAGAAACCTGTTGTGATTTAGAAATCACAATGTACATGCATGGTTCTCCAAAATATATTTGTTTGTCGAATATTTGTTATATGTACAAAGACATTTTTTTCTTCTAGAATACACAAAATTTACTGAGCAAATTTCAGTGGATTTTTTATCTCCTGAAAAGTTCACAATGTTATTTACGTATTATACTAGCCTATGTTTGATAGGACTCCATTCTCTTAGATATACAAGTCAAATGCCTCTACAGTTTTTAGAAACTTTATTGCAGAGGTTTTGGGAACAAGTTGATTTCTATTTTCATTTTATTTAATGAAATAACATCCAAATGATTACATAGAAGGAATGTGTCAGAAGTGAGCAGTTGCATCACCTTACAAAGCTATTCGGGCGACAAAATCATCTTTTCTACTTTCTGATCAAGGCAAAGTGACCCAACGGTTATTTACAAACACGAGCAATCCTAAGTACATATATCATTAGTTTACTAGAAAGATACTCTTTCCTTAAGATGTTAAGAGAACAAAAAAGAATTATGATAACTTTGTATTTTAACATGATAGGGGGAGGGGGGGGGGCTTCATTAACCATCAAACTCTCTTTCTGGAGAACATTTCCTCATTTATAATCCAATACAGTGGCCATCAAAATATGTCTGATACCAATGTACTTGGATACAAAATGTCCAACTTAAATTTTTGAGTTCTTGTAAGACCTTTGGTAAAACTAAATATGGATATAATACCATTATTTTTTCAGGATATCTTGGATCGTCATCACTGAGTACCATCTGTGCACCATTCTCTTTCATAAGTGCCCTGCCCTCCGTTGTTTTAGCAATACCATATACATTCATGTAGCGTGCTCTGGCTATCTGACAGCTAGCAATACCAATCTGTGTTGAAAATCAAAGTTTGATTATTGTGATACGCTTTACCCACTATTTGCATATTTTTTTTTTTTTTAATAATCATCTTTATTATATTCCATAAAATACAGATATACAGACTTAAACAATTGCCAAAGTCTAATGACATTAACGGCAATTATATGATATATTTTGCATATTCATTCTCTTTATTCAAGGTCTGTTGACAAACAAAATTGTTGACATACAGTGAAACCTGTCTGGTTGAACACCTTTCTGTAAAGAATACCTGTTCACAAAGAACAGTTTTCAAAAGAACTAAATATTTTTCCATTGGTTTACATGTAAATAGACCCTCTCGAAATGAATGCCTGTTCACAAGGAACAAAGAACAGAGTCTTGTTCACAGGTTTTACTGTGTTAAAAACTGGGTAAACAAAGAAGCTTATAATTAGGAAGTGTATCTATTTTTCAGTGAATTAGGAATTAGTGATTACCCCTCCACTGGTCCCATGCACTAGAACAGCTTCATGTGCCTTGGCTTTACCTCTGCAAAATACATGTATAGTAAAAGTAACATGACACTTAATCTTATCATAAATGGTTTATGTAAAAATATTCAAGCACAGTAATAAATTATATTTCAATTCTTAACTCCTGAAAAACTGACAAAAGTATTTGACTCACAAACTGACAAAGATTTATAGAAATGTTTAGTGACAAAGATATTTGACTTAAAGAAATGTTTAGTGACAAAGATATTTGACAAATATATTTGACTTAAAGAAATGTTTAGTGACAAAGATATTTGACTCATAGAAATGTTTAGCTGACAAAGATATTTGACTTAAAGAAATGTTTAGTGACAAAGATATTTGACTCATAGAAATGTTTAGTGACAAAGATATTTGACTCATAGAAATGTTTAGTGACAAAGATATTTGACTCATAGAATTGTTTAGTGACAAAGGTATTTGACTGATAGAAAAGTTTAGTGACAAAGATATTTGACTGATAGAAAAGTTTAGTGACAAAAGTATTTGACTGATAGAAAAGTTTAGTGACAAAGGTATTTGACATATAGAAATGTTTAGTGACAAATGTATTTGACTTATAGAATTTGACTTATAGAAAGGTTAAGTTACAAATGCATTTGACTTATACAAATGTTTAGTTACAAATGCATTTGACTTACTTTAAAATTAGGGCCCTGTATGCCGTAAAGTAGGTTGATGCAAGACAGGCCCCTTGACTGTAGCTGAGCTTCACGCTGAGGGGAAACACATACTTTATGTTGACCAGAGCATACTGTGCATAACATCCAGTAATACTGCGTGTGAAATATACTCTGTCACCCCTCTGAGTAAAAATAACAAATGATTATACTGTATTCGCTAGTTGTGTAAATAGAAGATAAATTGACAATATATATTTCCTAAGAGCATTTCATTGTCTGACAAGTATCAAGAATATGGTATGGTTTCATAAATGTGTCATCTGTCATCTGTGGTTTTAGTGAAATGAGATTCATACCTTAATTCTAGAAGTACTGTCACCCACTTGAGCTACAATACCCGCGCCATCCCTCCCTGGAGTGAATGGTAGAGTGGGAGTAACACAGTGGGTCCCCTTGCACAGGTAGATATCTATAGGTGTTATGCAGACACTGTGTATCTTAACTAGTACCTGTAATACATAAAGAAATTTCTATAATGTTACATGTAGCTCTATAGGTGTTATGCAGACACTGTGTATCTTAACTAGAACCTGTAATACATAAAGAAATTTCTATAATGTTACATGTAGCTCTATAGGTGTTATGCAGACACTGTGTATCTTAACTAGAACCTGTAATACATAAAGAAATTTCTATAATGTTACATGTAGCTCTATAGGTGTTATGCAGACACTGTGTATCTTAACTAGAACCTGTAATACATAAAGAAATTTCTATAATGTTACATGTACATGTAGCTCTATAGGTGTTATGCAGACACTGTGTATCTTAACTAGAACCTGTAATACATAAAGAAATTTCTATAATGTTACATGTAGCTTATCCCATATTGGAGCCGCTGTCTCCATTTATTTCATCCATCTATCAGTTTATTTCAGTAAGGCAAATACCAATTAGCATTATATTATGTTTAAAAGCCATATATAAAATATATGTCTTCAATAATTTTATAAATCATGACAAATTATATTTAGATTTAAATATTTTGAAACTGCAATGGCCTTTAATGTGGATGTATACATATAAACTATTATAAGTTCACAATAAATAAACAATGAGGCACAATAATCAGCCTTATTGGAGGGTTAAACTGTTCAAATGTTAGTGACACAAAATAAGTCTTAGGTGAGTAGGTCACATCATAAATTCATGTCATGTCACAAAAATACAAAAATCTACATGTAAATGAAACAAATCGTCATGTGAATGACCTATGGCTCTACTAAGAATTGTTAATTGTAAATGTAAATACCATCATGTACATTTGTGTATTGTTTGTCACCATTAGATGATTGAATTCATGACAGTTTTATTGAGTCGTAAATAAAACATTTATGAAAAAATCATTGGTGTTATAGGGTTACAAGTGTCCTTTATGAATATCTTTTACTTGAGTAAATTAATATTTTATTGCCAATAAAGTACAAGCGCTACTAAACATACTTGCATTTTCTGTTTTTGCTTCTACAAAAGTTTTTCCTAGGTTTTTGGAACTTATATCTCTTGCTTTGATATTTACCTGTTTTTCACCTAGCTTTGGTACCTCTGTTCTTTCCAATTTAAGTGCCTCTGGCTTTCCAAGTTCTCTTACTATAATAGCTTTCATATTACATTCTTGCATCTCCTGTGACTGTGTACTCATCGTGATTTTAGTTTTTAAAATATTCTGGGCGTAAATTATCCAATGTGTTTATTTTAAATCTAAAACTTCTAAATCTGATGTATGTTTTAAGTCGATTTGTTCAAGTTTGTTTATTTCTTGTTTTTCGTCGTCATATGTACCTTGATATGTATCATTTTCACTAAAAAGTACATTTATCTCCGCATTATATTTAAAAATCTTGCATTTCCTTTTTTCTATTTATGAGTATTCATTATCCTTTTTGTAGTATGATGGTTCCAAGTGAGTTCTTCTTTTAACGGTGTCCTTATTTATCTGTTCAAAATACTCTGTAAATGTTGTATCAGTAAATGCGTAAACAGAATGAATAAATATAATCAAAACTTAAAGTTTTGTGTGTCTTATACTTTAATGGTTAATTTATGCTTCAACAACTCTCAATATGATTCTACAAACATGCCAATGATATATTTTTGGTATATTTTGACTATGCAAACACTGTTCTCTTTGCTCACTTATATGATACAAATAGAAGTTGCCATATCCTTGTATAAATGTCATTACATTTCTCAGGTTTCTCTGACAGAAAACTAATGTGATATCATAGAAAGTTAATGATGAACAGTCATCTTTACTATAACTCCATTCACCAATCAGTACATTATTCCAAAATGACCTGCCTTGTTTTAACCACAATTGTTACCTTTCATGAGTCTCCTCTTCAACAGTAAGTGTACTCTTTAGTTTCTACTTTACTTTCTAAAAACCTAGATACCACTTCTAACTAATAGTAAGCAAACAAAGTCTGGAGAATATGTCATTTGAAAGGGGAAGGTGTCTGGAATAAGGATCCCATAACTTTATACAGTGTTGTTGGACATAAAGTTGATAAGATAGTTCTGTCATTGATAGGGTGCACTTTTGATCAAGTCTAATGGGGAAAATATTTTCCATAGAAATTTGAAGAGGTAAATTCTTGTGAATGACCTTTGACATCAGATCACTCGTTATATTAAAACACAATTGCAATATATGTATAGCCACAACAACTGCCTTATTTTTATTATACCACTGGTGGGATACAGTCATCATGATGGTGGTGTTATCATAAACATGATTTTGGCGGTATGCTGCATTTTTTTCATTCTGATACCAGGAAAACCACTTGTCATATTTTCTCCAAGTATACACATGTAAGAGGGTTAAAAGTTCTTCAGCCTTTGGACAGCCATTTTTTCCAGTATTTATTGATTGCATAAATTAGTAAATTACTATTAACAAAAAGTAATTGTTTCAAAAGGAACAGATTCCAACAAAGCTGTCATATGATATATAACATATCCTGTCTAGGATTGATTGTTGAAATCTACTTCATCATATGAACTTTTGTATCTATAAGATATATGAAATAAATTATTATAAACATGGGAGACTGCAATTATTTAACAGCCTGTATATGGCTTATCTTTTTCTGAAATAACATTATTTGATAAAGTGTCATATTTAAAAGAAGATTTATTCGTATACTTAAAGGCCCACTATACTTAATTTAGAAGAAAAAAGAAATAATTAATCATTGAAACATGTTACTCACACACTCGCTCAAATAAGAAACAAAGTTTGATTAGCTTTAATATTGAACCAAGAAAAAAATAATTCACATAGAAAAAAAGCATTTGAAGTTCAGAGATTATTAGTAGTGTACGTACATGCTAAACAAAGTGTTTGTTTTAAATTACTTCTGATTTAAAAGATGGCAACACTTCTATAAAAATGAATTTATCACATAATACAAACTATATCGCCAACTTTCAATGACATTGATAAAAACTTGATATATAAAGCTTGACAGATCGAAAATATTTTTTGATTAATTATGTGGTCTGTTTGAGCTGTTGTTGGTGTCAAATGAAAGATAAGGTTCTTATCAATGCATTGGACATTCTATAAAATTCAAATGTAAATCTTTATTTTACCCCAAAACATTGGAAATATGCAAAGTGGGCCTTTAATATACATTCAATCAATGGGTTGACCCTAATTGAATATCGAAATACTTCCAATTTGGCTGAACTTTTCTCACACTTAAAGGACAACTGAAATAGGTTTTCCTAACTTGCAGCGACAAAAATGCAGTTTTCTTCATTGTAAGCCCAATGTAGAGTTCTTGCGATAGCCATTATAAAATAAATGTTATATAATTATCAATGGTCATAAATAACGTAATAAAAATAACTGATCAATCAGATTGGCCCCCACGTGATTAGTAACGTCATACATCATATATAGTTTTAATTTATTGGTTCCTTGGTAATCACGACGTCACGGCAACCATATGATTGTTGTGTAAACAAATAACAAAACATCTTGGTTTTATGACGTCATGATTTAATGGACCAAAACGGGCCAGTGGGGACCAGTGAGAGATCACGTGGGGGCCAATAAGGTCACAACCTATTTGAATATTGCTTATTAAGCAGCTATAACGATCATTAGAGTAAAATAATTTTCACAATACTGATGAGAAAACATGTCCGAATACATTTATCAAAAAATTATATTGATTCCTTTAGGTCAAAAATACCATTTCATATCTGCTTTAACTTATTTATCATTAATTTCATCTTATCTCATGTTTTCCAGATAAAAGAAAAAGCTGAACTGTTAGACTTCTTATACTCCAAGTTTGAAAAAGCATATTTTGCCAACATGTGTGCACTTTTAGCAAAAGGTATGTGTGTACGTGTGAATGTACATGTCTCTAATTATTGGGTGAAGGCAGAACGAAGCAAAACATGTGTCATATGTATTTCCAGAACCTGTGTTCGCTGTTTCCTTCTATTGCCAACTGTCTGATATTTCTAAATGTAATATAATTGTTGCAATCAGCAGGAGGTAAAAGTCTTGAACACGATGCAGCAATCAATGAATAAAAATAAGTTTTACAAACCATGTTTATTTTATTAATAGGCCCAGTGAAATTTTTATCTAAGGTAGTTGTTTACCTGGAGGCCTAAAAGTATTTTTGATTTAAATTGATTATGATATAAGTGTGCTTAATAAATAGTCAAACAAAAAAAATCTAGAAAAAACTTTGATTCCCCATATCAGGGAATTAAATATTAGGAGACCAAGGGTCTTTTCATTTTAATCTTTTAATTAAAGTTAATTTTAAGAAAATGAAAATCTGTTACCATGGCTACAAATAAGTGGACTCGTTACATTTTGTAACCATTTGCAATAATTCAAGAACTAGTGTTCTCATGGACCTGAAAGTTTTTCAATGTCTGACAATACACTTCAATATTTTTGCACACAGATAGATATTAGTATTCTTTTGGTGAGCCTTTTGACATCTAGACAAATTTTTCCTGGATTTTGAGATATTGAAGGTCAAAAAATTTATTTTTCAACTTGCTTCAAATTGACCACTTTTTTCAAAATCATCTACAAGTTCTCAGAAGTTCAAATCTGACTTTAGCTTTGAGATTTGACCTTTGATTGACAATCAATGACCTTAGAAAGGTACAAAAGTTAATTTTTCAAATTGAGTTTTATTCATATTTAGGTCACCTTAATTAGAAAAAACCTACTGAGGTATAAAAAAGTAACGTTTTCAAGGTCAAGGGTCAACATTTTTCTGTATATGTTAGTACATACATGATGTAAGCAACATTACCTTGAGTAATGACAACTGCAAAATTGGTCTGATGTGTAAGATGATTTGCTATGCCTTGTTGTTGCCTTTTTTTCTAGTTTGATTTGAATTAAACACAGTTACTTAGAAATGAATATTAATTCAAAGGGAGAAATCTAACCATTCAAGTTCAGTTGCATTACAAAATATTGCAATGAACTAAATCAAACTGAAATCAACCCTCCTTCTCTCATTTCTTAATGAAAAAATCTCAAAGGATACCCTGATTTCCTACTTGACTCTTGAAAATTGATTACATTTAAATTAAATTTTTGTGTTCCAGAGGCAGTTGAACACCAAGATCCTTTATGTTTACATATATTTAAGGAGGCTGGCAGAGTATTAGCTCATCATATACTAGCAGTAGCACCAAAGATCGATAAGGTTTGATTTACTGTGCTTCATTTTAATTACGGCATCATTAATAAAAATAATATCGATTGAGTCATAAATCAGGCGAAATATGGTATTTAGCAGTTTCAGCCAAATAAAGATATTGAATATAATGCAACTGTCATATACATGTGCATATACATTATATTGTATCTGTATTATATATAAACATCTTTTTTTTCATATTGCAATGCACAAATCCGATAAACAATATGTTGTGCAACTATTTTACATACAGTATTATACACCTGGCACATTATGTTGTAGAGTCTGCTGGCGATGGAGGGAGGCTTACATGTAGTCAGTGTGGGGTCAGTCTGGAAGAGTTGGGACCTTCTAAAAGAAGGTAAGACTTGCAACACAATAATTAAGTTATTTCGAAAATATATATGTAGGAACAGACACATATAATATACAGTAAAACCAGTTCGATGGGACACTTTTCTTTATGGAACAACTTCTACATTGAACAGTTTGCAAACGAACCAAATATTTTTCGATTTGACTAAGATGTTAATAGACCTTCTATAAGGAATACCTGTCAACTGGGAACAATTGTAAATTCATTTTTTCACTTTGGTTACACTGTACATTCTATTGTTTTACAGAGTGAATGGATTAAGCCAATATCTGATTCTAAATGGCTTGGATTAATATGAATGAGATTAGGATAAGCCAATTGTTAACAGGATGGAACATCCCACACTCTGATAATAACCTTGATATTATAATCTGTTTGTTAATATTAATTGCCATGACACTAATGCTTTCTTCCAACAAAGCTTGACTGCAACCATCATGGCAACTGAAAAGTTGAGATAATTTAGGGATTGATACAATTGTTTTTTGGAGGTAATAGAAATGTATTTGTGTCACGTTTAGCCAAATCTCTAATTTTTTGATGATCCAAACTAGCAGATTATAAATGCTATAAAATGGGGTGTATCAAACTTGAATTTCAGTTCTTACCAACATATTTCTATGTATCACATCAGTATTTCATCATCTAGACATCAACAGAGGCCAATATTTTATATCAACATGTAAATAAACTTAATTCGATCTCATGTCTTTATTGTTTTAGTTATCTCAGGATAAAATGCTCCTAATAATAAATATTTGCTTATTCAGCATTTTGAGTAGGCCCATGGACCCTCTCTATATGGAACACCTGTCGACATGGAACAGTTTTGTCCAGTCCGGAGAGCGTTGCATGTTTTACTGTATATGCTATTTTCCATTTGTATTTTATAGCGGTTTCTTTTTTGTTTCTTTTAGATCAAACTTCAAAGCTGAATGAGAACAGTATACATTTATGTATTAAATCTTACAATTTCAACTGCTAAAGATACAACTGTTTCATTTTCAGGATTTCTTGAAGGATTAAGACCTCAAAGTGACAATGGAGTCCTCGTCCCAGAATTCACTCTGATGAAATTGAATGTGAATGGAGCATTTGGTGCTGCAGCAATTGGTGCAAAGCAGGCGGGTATCAAGCTACCCATGAACTATGCAGCTAATGCTGAAGTATTATTCCATCATAAATTCTGAAGGATGCATAAATGGACTATGTCAAATCTAGGTCATGGACTGTTAAAGCAGATATACATGCATTAATACATACCCGCAATTTATTCAGAATATTTTCCTCTTCATACTGAGTTTGGACACTGATACCTGAAGCTACACTGAATATTCATGTCATTGTTAATAGTAAACTACATATCATGTTTCAGTGTAAAATACACATTCCCAAAGACATGCAGTATTTATTTGATTTATCACCTATATGCATATTACGAACTAAGAGGAATATTTTCATCTAAATAGTGTGTTGTGGAATATAATTCTGAACATCAACAACTGAATATATATTTTAATTTACAAGAATCACATCTTGTGTTTACGTGTTCTTTATTCAAACAGAAACTCTGACCAATGCAAAATCCTTACAACCAATGCTCAAAAAAGTTTTCCTGAATCTTAAAGCACAGTAAATTTTCATTTAACACACATTGCATTGTTCAAAAATTCAGACTATGGACACAGATAACTGAGTATCTCAAAAGCAAACAATTTTGACTGCATCATCCATGGAGTTAGAAACTGGCATCTTGAACAATGCAGTCTCTTCCTGATCAAAATCTTACTTCAAATCGGAATGCTGAAAGCAAATCCATACTGTAGGGAAGGTCTATGTGGACAAGAGGGTACTTTCTCGGATTTGACAAAGGAGCACGTAGGTTATCGCAAACAATTTCAGAAGGTTATATCTTGGATTATGACTATTTTCTGACAATGAAGACAGGTTTATCTTTTAGATCAATTCATTATCTCAGAGAAAATTATATACAGTAATAATAAAGTCAAACAAATTTGGAGATATTTAACTAGTAATCAACCAATCAACACACTTTTTCAAAGATGTTGACCCCATTTTCACCAAAAATGCAATGATTTTTTACAATGTTTAATGCATTACTATACTTTATTTTGATGTATCAAATAGTTCTTGAAATAAAAACTTAATTGCTTTAAGATAAGTGTTCCCCATGTTATTTCCCCATTGAAAAATCTCATGCTATCCATTGGTTTCAGTTCATTTTGGTCATCCTAATTCAGTATCATTAAAGTCCCTGGAGCAATCAACTTTTCCTTTTAGGAAATTGAACATGTCTCAAAGCACATGCTATTTATGCATTCAACAATATAATAATAAAAGGTTGCATTTTTGGTGAAAATTAGGTCAACATTTTTGAAAAAGTATGTTGATTGGTCCATTGCCCCTTCAATATCACTTAGATCTGATTAACTAAATTATCATTATATATACTTTTCTTGAAGATAATGAATGGATCTAAAAGATAAACCCATATTCATGATCAGAAAATATTCACAATTCAAGTTAGAATCGTTTGAAGTTGTTTGCGATAACCTACATGCTCCTTTAGCTACCATTCGTGCCAGCAAATTACAACTCTACCAATCTTTACCAAAAAAGAACTTATGAAGTAGGGGAGTGTGAGAATAGCAACAGATGTGAAGCTAAAGTATAATTCTTACTTTTTTGTGGCTCGTAACACTCCTGTGTTCACTCTTCAGGTACTGAGATCTTACCCAAGCAATATTTCTAAACTTTGCATTCGTAGTCACAATGGTCATCATTTTACTGTGCACTTATGCCTTGGTCACATTTGCTCCGATCCATTGGCCGGCGCCCACCAGATTGGGTGTTCTGTTCAATATTGTATACAATTTTGAACAAAATACTCAATCGGCCGGGCGCCGTAGTGAAAATCGGAGCAAATGTGACCAAGGCATTATCAAGTTACCATTGGTGTGGTCATAGGCTTTCAACTCTAATTAAAAGCCCATGGTGTGGTCGAGCGGCCAGGATTTTACTTCATATTGAAATGAATGTTCTTTAAGAATTTTAAGCTTTCTTAATGCAATATGGATGATTGAAGTTGTGGGTGGCGAATAAAATAAAAAGAATCAAGAAATGATGTTTTAGAAAGATTTAAATACTATAATCTGTTTGTAAATATAAAATATACTGTAACACGTACATGGAACATTCCTCAATGTTCTCAACTGAGCAGTCTGGTACAACCTCAGATACATAATTACAATTACAAAAATGAGTTGAGACCATACACGGATTGATTGATCCATTTGACTGAAAACATGTATATTGGTATAAACTTTAAAGATTAGATTTTAGGACGAGAAAAACCAAAATGGCCACTTAAACATTTACCCCATAATGCACAATAAGTAATCAGTTCTAAAGATATTGTATTAACTGTTTCAGTGGATCCATGGAGAAACAGGTGTAAAGTTTCATACTAAAAATGTCCCTAAAATTCAGATCAATCCATCGTAAGCTGTTTTGCTTAAAACATGTAGATAAGACTTTAAAGACAAGATTTCAGGATGCAATATCCAAAATGGCCTATTCTTATTCTTAAAATGTACATCTGCCCAACAAACTGATCACAATTTAGCGCCAAAGTAATGAATTTGAATCATCCTGCAAGTGTATGGAGTTTATGTGCAAATTTAAGAGAGTCTTGTACACCTTCACAACAATAAGTCAATGTTTGAGGCACTATGTCCATGCCATAATATGCACCAGTAATAGCTGCTGCCATTGTACCTATAGTGTCTACATCTCCACCAATTGCAATGGCAAACATTACTGTTCGTTTAAGTGGGTTACCTTGATCCTGAAATAAGTCAAATATATATACCATTAATAAACAGGTAGTTGTACATAACTGCTACATAGGTTTTATAATTAAAATAGATAGAAAAACTACAGCTAAGATGTTTCTTTCATCAGTTAGGATGTTACAATACTTTCTCGATCTCACTATAGTACGTACACATTAGACTTTTAAGAAAAGTTTTTGATTAATTTATACACCCAACCCCATATGTTTTCTCTGCATACTCTTTAAATTAATTTTCTTGACAAAATATAAAATAGATTACATCGATCATTCCCTGGAGTATTTGAGTAATCACCCAAACAAGCGAATGAACAAATGAACATGTCCTTTCTACAAGTATACATGTATGTAGTATGTATATCCCTCTAAAATGAACTTTATTCAGTGGGATAATGAAACCTACCTCTATTCCAGGAATCGGAGAGAGTCCTCTCAAAAAAGTATATATGGCAGTTGGTACTGATTCTAAAGCAGAAATATTATGTCCTAGTTGTTTCTCTATGTCCTCAATAGATGTCTCTTCTTCCTTCAGCAGCTCCTTAATGATGTTTAGTTTGTCACAGTATGGTGTCTGCTTCCTACATTAAATCAAAAAAGGAATAACTTGAAGAATTACACCAAAATATTAAGAAATTACTATAAATGCATGTCAAATATCACAAGGTTCATATAAATATTTCATCAGGCCATTCAAAATGTGGGAGGTGAAAAAAATATAAACAAAACCTTTATTTATTTTACTTCTACAAGTATAAGGATTTATATTATTCAATAGCAAAAATACTATAACACAGATGAAGAGAGCTAGCTATTGATAAAGTGACACACGCATTTAATTCAAATGAACTTTTTAATTAAGACAATTCTGAAGTTGAAATACATGTAGCTTTCAATCTGGGAACTCCCATCACTAGAATATGCTCTTAGATCACAATTGTAAAGTTTTTGTCATCTTAAAGCATTTACTGGAACATATAAAGGTATTTAAAAATTTGTTTGTTTTTTTCTGAAAATTTGCTTGTATCATGAAAAGGAGGTGACATTAACATCTTTAAACCTTGAATGGCCTAAAGGAGGATAAATGAATGGCCTAAAGGAGGATAAATGAATGGCCTAAAGGAGGATAAATGAATGGCCTAAAGGAGGATAAATGCATACATACAATTCAGAGGGTGTTGCTTCTAGTTCCTTTTCTGGAGCATAGTTGCATTCTAATTTTTTCATTATCTCCAAGAGGATCCCGATGTATTTGTTAACATCTAGAGGCTCATCAGCAGGTTGATGGAGTGCCAGATAGATGGCGCTGCTTTCAAGAATCGCCCCATTGATGCCATTTATGTTTGAATGGGTCAACATTGTGATATTGCGACTGAGAGCCTATAATGAACATTGATATTTTCTAACACAAAAAGGCATGCTTTGACTAGTTCTTTGAAGACAAAAAAGAAGAGGCAAAACCTTTTTTGATTGCTTACTTTGTATGCAAAATCCATCAGTCGAATTATGGCAATGAGATCAAAATCTAATGCCAAATGGTCTCAATTAGTAATTAATGAGCATTATATCACAACAAAATTGCAATTTTTAACAATATTTAAATAAAGGAATTCAGCAAATATTATGCACATATTCTTACATTTAACTCCTCAATATCACTGTTATAGCTGAACAGAGCTGCTGGGGCGATCCGCATTGCTCCTCCGTTTCCATAGGAACCACTGCCCCCAAACTGTTCTTGAGATGGTTTAAATGGATCTTTGTAGTTCAAATCCTTTAGTTGTTGAAAGACATTAATGACATTCCCACCATAACCTCTCCATGGCTCCTCAAAGTATTCTTCAGAAAATCTAAAATATTTTTTGACATATTAATATGAAATAAGTATTGATTGACTTCAATCACCAATGATCAAAACTATTGGACTAACATTTGCACTACTTGCATTAATATGACAATGCAAAGGCCTATATATCTAAGGTGGATCAATCTGAAGAACTTTTGAACGGTATATCCACATGCATGAAGTTATAAAGCTACATTATAATGAAATCATGGTGTGTTAGGATGGGAAGTGTACCTTTTTGCCATTGAGCTTGCATCAAACCCTTGATTCTCTATGAGTGACATTGCTACTTGCCGAGCCATCGCCGTGTCGTCTGTGTATTCTTTTGTAAATTCCAATAATGGTTTTCCTGTTTTATGAAAAAGAGAGAAAATTAAGTGGTTCCATGAATGAGTATCATTTAGGTGTGTAATATCATGGGCATCCAACTAGAACATGAATAGTTGAAAGTCCATGGCATTATCACTTTTATTTTAGCTATAACATTAAGATGATATCAATATAATCACTAATAGCAATAAATTTGATGATATTATTATATCGATACTATTGCTGATAGCAATAAATTTGATAAAATCAATTTATCACTAATCTAAGTCCACTAAGTCCACCCTTGTAGCTCAGCGGTAGCGCAGGTACCTCTTACGCAATAGGTCCGGATTCGATCCCCGGTTCAGGCAAGAATAAATTTGCTTGTTTGCGTGAAGTACTTCAGGGTGTTTGACTGAGTGGTCTGCAACTCGTACAAAAGGCTGTGGTGTGTACTTGTATGTCTATGTATAAGTGCACATAAAAGAACACAGGGCTCCTTCAATGAGGGGTTTCTGGGTCTATCTTCCAGGTTAATTACGGAAATTACGACCGTATATATACGGGATATACCCAAGAGGTACATGTATTGCTCACCATTGGTGGTAAACAAAATACAATACAATACAATACTAATAGCAGCTGCCAATAATAATTTATATTCCAATAAGCTGTGGCCTTTTGTAAATTAGGGAGTTTCAACCATTTTAATTTTTCCGAAAATAACATGGCGGAGAAGCATCAATATAAGAGGCCACAGATATGAGAGCTTAACTACAAAACAAACTAAAATATACAAAAGTTTGGACATGTATAAATGTTTCTATTTTTACATATACTGTTTCAATATGAGCCTTTGATTGCTTATTTTTTAAATTCAAAGTACTTGCTAACATTTAGAATTTTACTGTACAGTTTGGAACAAAATAAATGACAGGTGGATTTTCTATCACAATATCCAAACCATGGTGTTTTGAAAGCCCTATAGTCTCAAATATTGTCAAGATACATATCCCTTAAAATTTGTATATTTTACATTTTGTATACTCTCATCCACTGGTGTATGACCTCTTTAAAATTCTCTTATTTTTAACATGGGAAATCCTCACTTCAGCAATCAATGTATGTGTCATTATTTTTGTTCCAAACTGTAGTGATGCTTTTATAAAATTTTGATAAAACAACCCATAAAATAACAATGCATGCAGCTGGAAATATACATGTAACTTATAGACTATATCCAATAGACTGAATTTCCTGAGAATTCAGTCTATTGATCATTATGTCTCTCCTGTGGGAAAAAACAGGAAATTTCCTGCACACAATTATCAATTTTAGGAAACTTCACTTCCAAAAAATAAGCATTATAACAATTCAATTCAGTAGTAAGGTACAATTAAATGCTATAAAAAGTAACACAGCATATTGTCAAATGGAAATAAAGCTAGGGGAAGTAACAAATATGCAAATTAATTTTCCTAATCGGCCATTTTGAATGGCACTTCCTATGTAAACAAATAAATTTTAAGATATGTGGGCTATAGTCTGAATATTTTCATTCCAAATTTCAAAAAATGTCAGACTAGAATTGTTTTCATGGCCTGAGTTCGTCGCTAACATGCTTAATATAAGAGTTAGCTGACGTTTGGGAGTCTGACTTACCTTCTAAAGGTTAGAACCCTAATCTTAATGAAACCATATCACCTTTGTTCCGTCAACCATGGAGCATTTGCCACAACATCCAAGAAGTAAATCATGGACCGTGAAAATGAATGATTTCCTTGTAAGTTCCGGAAGTTTCAATACGAAAAATTACCGAACATATGTGAAAACCGAATATTTGTTCGTTGTTTTCACGATTTACAGGTTCGTTTGTTCTTCAATGTTTTGGTCTAAATTATAAAGCATCACCAACAGGTCTTACTCTATTAATCGACTAATACAGCAGACGGCTCATATTTCTACGTAGCATTTCGTTCAGACCAATAGTGGGAGTGTAGATCACGCAGTTTCGTTCGTTGTGTACTTCACTTGAAATTGGTAATTTTAAATATTGGCTACTTCACTTAGCTTGGCAGATGTAGAACATTGCTTAATATTCTTTTAATTTTCACACCAGACATGCTTGGTTGACACGTCAACAAAGTAGAGTTCAAGGGTCAATGCGTTATTTCGTGATAACTACAACGTCTTCCCGGAAGTCAACATTGATGAAAAATGAAAAAGTCGGTAAAGCATTTACACTAATTTCTATCAAATGCTGTGTTTATGCATCATCATCGACGCAACAAAGGTGATATGGTTTCATTAAGATTCGGGTTCTAACCTTTAGAAGGTAGAGTCAGTACGTCTATTTCCAAACACCCCCATCAAAAAATGTAGTTAGCTTGGCTGTACTGCACATCTATGCTATGATTCTATATATATTATGTGTATTATCCACTGTAGAATGCATTTGCAGAAAAAATTACGAAAAATTGTAAAAAATATCTGGGTTATTCCATTTTTACTACAAGGTATTTTAGGGGGGTAATTCCGAACAGGAGTTTTTTGGGGGGGTAAATCCGAACACTTGCATGGGGGTAATTCCAAACACTTAACTTAAACTTAATTGTTTTAATTATTAGATTGATGGTATATCATTATATGATACCCTTAACTTATGATACTAGATCCTGTCACCCCTGCATATCAAGAAACCCAAATTTAAATCATTTATTATTGACATCTAGTTATTTAAACGCACAGAGTTTGAGGGGGTAATTCCAAACACTAGCATGGGGGTAATTCCGAACAACTTAATCATCATAATTGATTATTTTATTGTAAGATTGTTGGTATACATCATTATATTGTATCTTTCAGGCTATAAATATTATGTAGAGGTAGTAGAGGTACTATTATTCAATTCAATGATCTGCTTGCCATTATTTGGAACCCGTTCGTGTTTATCCCCCTGTTTGGATTTGGACGTACATGTATTGACTCTAAGTCAGACTCCCAAACGTCAGCTAACTCTTATATTTAGCATGTTAGCGACGAAGTCAGGCCATGAAAACAATTCTAGAGGATATAGTCTAGACTATATCCTCTAGTCTGAAATTTTTTGGAAATTTGGAATGAAAATATTCAGGAATATTTCTCAGGAAATTCAGTCTATTGGATATAGACTAGGATATAGTCTAATGTAACTTATCGCATCCTACGACCCCTTTAGATTGTGGTCCACAATCTAAAGTGGTCGGTAGGATACGATAACATGTAACAACTAAAAGTGATATCCTGACAGATCTCATGAGTATAAAACATGATTACAGATCGAATGTTTATGATTTTTACTTTTTTATTTTTATTTTTTTTAGTGTTGCTCAAACCTGCGTGTTTATTCTCCAAGTCAGACATGTATTTGTTTATTTCTCGCATTTTGATACTACACATTCCTTCCCATGAGGCACCTAAACAGTCTCCAATAACTGCTGACGCCAAACATCCCTGAAACTTTGACAATAGTGGCGGAATTTGTTTGGCACAGGGGGCTGCCATATTGAAATAGTGCTGTAGAAGTATGAACGGCTTGATTTTGTGTCGTTTGGACTTTAGGTATCGAGCATAGTCTAAGGGCGATAGAAATAATTTTTAAGCAAAGATGGCATGATAATCGATCTTAGTTGATTTGGGGATAGAAATATGAGAAAAAAGATAATACTGGATTTTGTTGTTGCTTCCATCTTTTTTGCTATCCATCTTTGATTTATACACTGTTATACGTAGCATGTATATTATATACAAGGGTAACCAAACCGTCGGGAGTAGATAACTGGGCCAGAAGGGTTTGGTTAATACAAGGGACGATCCAGATCTTCTGATAAACATGCTCTCATTTTGTGATTTTTCACACATTCCTCTCTCACGTAGATTATGTAATTACAAAATATGCTAAAATATAATAGCTATCTCTTCAATTAGAATGGCTTTATTCATATGAGATTTACTATAGGCGTTCGCCGATTGAATGTAAAGCTTGAGTCTGCCAACATTCTATCTGGTCCATTCTGTCATACAATTCTACAGTATTGTGAGTTGTTGTGATATTGAGCACAAATAAACATTTTTTAGCAACAATACCAAACGTTTTTAGAAAAGATGTTAACAACAAGTCTGGTATTTTATACGACATACTTCACTTGCCTACCCTCAATACAGGTTACCATGGCAACATTATCTCTTTACTTATTAGATGACGTGAAAAATTCACAAAATGAAAGCATTTTTATCAGAATATATGGATCGCCCCTTGTATAGTACAGCACGATAACGCTAAAGTTCCCTAAAAGACGTGTTCAAACATTATATAATATATTACCATCTTACGGAATTTAAAACCACGGGGTTTCAAGGGGTAAAAGCCCATGTTAAAACAAACAGATATTTTTTATAAATACCTATGTCAATAAAATATGTAAGCTTGCAGGGTGAGTAAAAAACGTCCATATTTTTTATGTTGTCCTTACTTTTTTGGGGATCGATTTAGAATAGCATACGTTATAAGCATGCATGGATAGTCTCATAAGACGGCATTAGATAATGACCCGGATAATGAACATGACACTAAAGCTCCATTAAACTTGAATATTCATCAGTTTTAATTAGTGGTTCATGTCTCATGTTAGCCTGGCGTATCTGAAAGTTATACAAATTAAAATATATCCAATAAAAGAAAATATTATCTTTCCAATACAAAAAAAACTTTCACTCGACCATGAAGTTACATTTTCAAGGAAAAGATTAATTTGATAGAATTCATGGAATTGATAAACACTTTTTAAAACGTCATTTCTAGATATAATTTTACAAGTAGATTTAAAGTATAGTATCGCCTTGACTGAATTTTGAATGGCGTAAATCTAGCTGTCTAAGTAAAATTATGAAACGAAGACCAAAACGTTCAGAAATTCTGCCTTCATAGATCATTTCACTCCAAATTCCAAATCAGGGTACAAATTAATTGAAATGGTGTCACTGATCGAAATTTAAGTTCGATGTCAATTTATCACTGACACCATACTCAAGGTGTACACACATACATGACATATAAAGTAAACATTTTTGTGCCAAATCTTTTGTATTTTAAAAGTCAATATAACTATATTTGATTAGTTATCAAAATTTAGCCCTTCGTTATCTTTGTCTTGAAGTATAACATAACACTTGGTCTTATCTGGACTTTATTGAGTATAACTTCACCTTTGCTTGAGGATATGATATATGTTCTCAGATGTCTCCTAACGATAAGAATTATACTCTCATATTCTAAAAGGCCAACAGTACCTCGTCAATGAGGCCAGTCATCGAGAGGATTCCTTTTAATACGCAGCAATTTTTATTCTACAATTTTGGAACTTAATATGGAGTAATATAGCATCTTAATACCAAATATGGCAAATATGCTTCTGTGCACCACATTAATACTTTTTAGCGGAGTTTGTAGTATCCACAGCCAATCCCTCAGAAACGATGAAGCAGGAGCATGGGAATGGATGACTGAATTCGACAAGAATGCATCTCTGGTGTATTCCAAGGGAGCGTATGCTCGTTGGGATTACCAGACCAACATAACAAATGAAACATCTGCGAAATCGGTAGGTGGTGAAACATGATAATGCCCCTCAAAATAAGTCACTCATCGTTTCCATAACTTAGTCGGCAGTTGAGTGAAAAATAATGTCATAACAATTATAGACCAAGTAAGTGTTTATGTTAGTCAAAATGTTGACCTCACAAATATTTTCTGGTTAAATTTTATTCTTTTTACCCATATTGTGAAAAGTACTGCTGTGTGTGAAAATAAAATTTAATCATAGAAATTGTCGGTGAATTGTACGGCTTTCACTCATTAAAGTCGAATATGTTATCCCCGCGCTATAAATCGTCACAGTTCATTGAACTCTGGCCTAAACCCGTAAAATTCTCGCAAATTGTTTTTAGAAATATTCGTTTTATACAAGGAAAGATTTCCACTTTCTGTAATAGTAATCATGTTTGGCCATTGAGGTTGTATCGTGTATATCTATTGAAGTAGGCAGTGCTTGAACTTGTCAGTGTTTTGAAAAATGCACTGCACGATAAGATTAAAACGTTACCTATAAAATCCATTAATGGTATAAGATCGATCTTGGTATGTTGTACACTGTGTTGTAGCATAGTCAATTCAAGTAGAATTTGAGGTGACATGTATGGTTGAACATTTTCATATGTATTTCCCCATATATAGCTAACGCACAGTGAATACCATCCATTGATCTCTATTGAAAGAAGATGTGAAGTGCGGTTACTTGTCAAAATTTAAAATTTGAAATTTAACTTCCGGTATATTCAATCCAATATTACACTTCAACATCGAATACTTTCCCATAAATATTTGCATGAATATGTGCTCAAAAGATTTAGAAAACTAATAGAGTACCATTAAAACCTGATTGGACTTGATATATGGGTGAAAAATTCAATTCTCAATCAAAAGTTGCCCTCGGTTTTCCAAAACTTTACTGAGATCCACTCAAAACGGAAGTTTGCAGAGATTGAGAGATCGGATTGGTTGTTGGAATGTATTGCATCAATGAAAAGGCGATTGCCCGAAATTTGCTCGAGACTTTACAGTAGAATTTGCGAGATGTCCATCTGTGGAAACATTCAGTCAAAATGAGCATATTTCTAAAGATTTGAACATTATTTTGGACATTTGAGGTAAAAAGTTTACTTTTTATTATGCATTTATGTCTTCTCGTCATCTAGGGCTAAGAATTATGTAGAAACATTGATGTAAAACAGTGGAATTCAATGTTTCAAAACATGGGGATCCTCAAAAATGTTGAGAAGTTACCGCACTTCAGGTTTACTATCAATAGAGATCAATGGATGGTGTTCACTGTGAGCTAACGATACTAGGTTGTTTAATGAGAAGAATATGCAAAAATTTCTATGCATTGGAAAAAAAGAAAAACTGATGATTGAAATGTTCAAACTTGGGCAAAAATCTAAATATAATATAATGCATATTAAAATGAAGCGGCAACCCTTCTGTCTCATGGCGGCCAGAAGAAAAACCTGAACTTTTCAAAACAGTTTTTTCTGAAATTCTTTTGTCATTAAGTCACATAAATGATAGCTGAAACAAAGTTGTGACAAAACCAAACTGATATCGGACATTAATTTGAATGACAAAATATGTTTAAAAACGTTTTTATATCATCTTGAAGTCTACCTTCACTTTAAAAAATATCAAGAATACATGATTATTTGTATAAAGTGGTACTTAATCCGAGTGGTTTCCCGAGTGGTCAAATTTTATCATTTCCTAATTTTAATTTTCCTAATGACAATAAACTTCCCATTGGAATTAAGATGATATCTCCGAAATTAATTTTCCGAACCTGGCCGCAAAAATTGGGCAATAGACAAATTAAATGATAAGACAAAATTATCACTTGTACAGTATCTTGCCCCGTGTGGATATTTTTATCAGTTTGACTCAAGAACATATGTGGCTACTCGATAAGTTTGTCATTTATAAGCAAGAACCCTATGTGACAAGTTTATGAACATGATATGTGATCGATGTAGTATATGCAGGATCAAAAAGGGACAAGGATTGCCCCCCCCCACCTCGATATCCAGCCAATTAATGACACCCGGTGAAGTTTACCCTATTATCATATACAGATACCATACAATGTAGCAGGCTATGGTGAAAGTTTGGCATCATACACCATAAAGGCCTTGCAGGGAACAGGATTTAGATACTGTATAAGTGGTATTTAATCCGAGTGGTTTATTTTCCGAAAGGTCAAATTTCCTAATTTTCCTAATTTTAATTTTCCTAATGACAAGAAACCTTCCATTGGATAACATTATAAAGACAATATTTCCGACATTTAATTTTCCGAACCTGGAAAAAATTGGGAAATAGGCAAATTAAATGATTAGGCAAAATTACCACTTATACAGTAAACCAGAGACATATAAAACGTCTCTGGATAAACACGGTTTCGGCTGGTTCAAGACCAAAGAATAACTTCACACATTGGCACGAAAATGGTGTAAAGGCAATATTAGAAAAAACATACATAACAAATTGTTTGATTAAGTTTTTACTGGTACACCTTCATTGTGGGTTCCACAATCTCTACCATCCCTTGGGATAACGCTTTAGATAAAGTGGTACTGTGATGAATCAGAATGGTACATCTTACTCCCGAGATCTTACTTAAATCATTTCCCTCGTTCTTACTCCAGGCACAAGCAAGTTTAGAATCGTCACAATTTAACCAAGAAGCTTATCTCCAAGCAAGGACGTATAACTGGACGAACTTCAAAAACGAGACACTCCGTCGACTGTTCAGTAAGGTCACCAACATCGGACCAGCAGCCCTCCCTGCCGAAAAGGCAAAAAGAGTGAGTGCTCAATATACATGTGTATTACAATAAAAGTTTTAACAAACCTCTTATAAGTGAACAGTAAATCATCTCCCTGGTAATACATTAAATATGACTCTAGTTCATTTACTTTAGAGAATAACGATCTATTTTCGACGTTTTGCCAGTCATCCAATTCTTGATGAGGCAGGTTGGATGACCGGCGAAACGTCGAAAATAAATCATTATTCTCTAAAGTAAATGAACTAGTCATATTTAACAGTAATATAGTTTTTTTGTCTACTTTTGATCCTGCCTTTCACCCAAATCAATATTCACCACTTACATGTACAAATGTGATTACCGTGTCCTTGTTTTCAGCTATTTCAAGGAAATAATTAATATGTAATTATAAAAGAAGTATAGTTTGATATGTGATTCATTTTCCTAATTTTCATTCATTTTAGTTTGATATGTGATTAATTTGCCTAATTTTCCTTCATTTTGAAGCTTCTTGTGGTATTAAACTTTGAAGTATTTTGTTTAATAAGTGGAGAGAAGAAAAATGTGAATACTTTTTATAATTTGTTATTTAATATTTTTAGTTAGGTGAAGTTTTGAACTCCATGCGAACAACGTACAGTAAGGCAGAGGTTTGTAACGGCACAGAGTGCGAAGAACTTGAACCAGGTATGGGAGACAGCTGAACAGAATTTCACGATTATTTTTAATTCCCTTTCACTAAATCTCAGATCACAAAGATAATGTAATAGCATGGTAACATGAAGCACCAGGATCCACTCTACGTCACCGAAATAGAGACGGTTTTACGTATTATATTAATCTATCACGCGGTCCTAACTTCCGACCGTTAATTTGAATTTTTGACCTACCAGATGCTTGAAAATCAAGGATTGCGAGTCTCATACTGCACCGTTTTTCTTCAAACTTATACCATTAAAAGCAAAACAAAATTGCCTTTCTGTTGGTGCATTACTTTATTGTAAAGAGTCCCTCGTTCTAGCAGCGTTTTGGTCCCCAGTTGTTAGGAGGCCTTCTTACAGCTTGGGACCAAAATGCCGCTGGAAGTTGGGACTCTGTTTAAGAGAATAATGTAACAGCAGAAAGGGATTTTTGTTATCTGCTTTGAATGGAACAAGTAAGAAAAACGGTGCAGTATGAGACTCGTAATCATTGATTTTCAAACATCCGGTAGGTCAAAAATTCAAATTAACGGTCGAAGTTAGTACCGCGTGTCAATAGCTTCAAGCAAATAAGAGCTTCAAAATTCACGAAGGTTCCAATATACCACTAGAAAAGTCAGTTTACCTCAAAATTTGGTCATGTTACATTATGATTTAGTAGAGTAGACGTGTATGCTTTTGTGTTGTAGGATTGACAAAAATCATGGCAGAGTCACGTGATTATAATCGTCTGCTTTGGGCATGGGAAGGCTGGAGGAACGCAAGTGGCAAGAAGATGAGAGACAGCTACATGGAGTTTGTTGAGCTTAGCAATAGTGGATCAAGGTTGAACGGTGAGACATATTGACGTGTTTATCCAGTATACAAAGGCCGATCAAAAAGTTTCTTACCGTTGGCTCTCAATTTTATAATAAGAGGAGTTGGAAGCTCAAACTTTAACACTAGACAGGATAGTTAGTTTGCGTGAAACTGTACGAGTTTCATATAAATTGGTTTATTGGTAGTGACACAGAGTCAATTCATATTTTCAATGACAAAGTTAGGTGGAGCAGCGTTATATATAAAATATTTGCTGAGTTGTGATTCTGGAAATTTACCGAGATCGTTCAAAACCTCTCATACGAAGGCCTTAAACATGTGTTTTTTGGATCGGGTGGACAGATTTAGGAAGTGCATTGCAACTGAGGTTGAATATTTTGAATGAGAATGAATATTAGCAGAAAAACTAATGAAACATGATTAAACTACAGTCTGTTGACAGATGACACTACTTAGTGTGAGAAATTTCCAAAACTGCAGCTTAGCACAATTTTTTATAAAAAACGCTGCTCCACCTAATTCAATCATTGAAAATATGTATTGACTCTGTGTCACAACCAATGAACCAATTTAAATGAAACTCAGACAGTCTCAAACAAACTTACTACCCTGTCTCATGTAAAAGTTTGAGCATCCAACTCCTCTTATTATAAAATCTAGAGCCAACGGTAAGAAACTTTTTGATCGGCCCTTGTACATATACAAAGTGGTGCCGTAACCGGGAAATCAAAGCCCAATCCTATGATGGTTTTGTCATGACATTTACATGTAGGCCTTGGACTATTCACTTACCATTTTACTAACTAGCTGTATAAGTGTTTTGTTTTATTTTGCTAAAAGGTTTTGAAGACAATGGTGCATACTGGAGATCCTGGTATGAGGATGATGCCCTTATCGAAAAGACTGCGAAACTTTGGAACGAACTGAAACCTTTATACCAAGAACTCCATGCATATACTTTGTTTAAACTAAAGCAGACCTACAAAGACCATGCTGATAAATTCACAACCACCGGCCATATACCAGCACATCTGTTAGGTTTGTATATATAGGGTTTCTTTTCATTCTGGTGTTCTACTATAAAGTCACTTAAAAATATTTGCAAGTATTTAGATATTAATGTAAATCAAACCTACTAAAATATATACCATATACCATATGTGCTGAAAGCAATTATATTTATTAATATTGGTGTTGTAATGTCTTATCATGTTTTGTATTATGTCATTCACGTTCACAAAAAATTGTAATTTGCATATTATCAGGAAACATGTGGGGTCAATCATGGGTTAACCTTAATGACATCCTCAAACCTTTTCCTGAAAAACAAGGCGTAGATGTTACGGATGAAATGGTCAGACAGGTAGGTATTTTTAGCTATATAAAACAAAGTAATGGCTGACATTGCTGAAAGACATCTTGATTTCGCAAGGTTTCAGTTTGCTCCAACTTCACGAAGTCGAAAGAACCATACATATCTATGTTGCGATATAATTTTATGTGCAATTCATATATATAGCTATAGCCTTTATTTTAGGGCTACAATGCAACCGCCATATTTAGGCTTTCGGAGGAATTCTTCACTTCTCTTGGGCTGGAAGCTATGGTGCCAACTTTCTGGAATATGTCTATGCTGGAGAAGCCGTCTGATAGGAGTGTTGTTTGTCATGCCTCAGCGTGGGATTTCATGAATGGACGGGATTTTAGGTCAGTAATATTGTATAGCAGATTAGTAATATTTGCTTTAATTATATTTACTAATCACATGATAAAATCATTTTTTATTGAATTTGATGGTCTCATATTAATTCTTTGATACAAATGACAGTAAGCTCAAACCTATACATGTATGATATAACTAAACACTTATTTTACACGTTTGAACGTCATCCTATTTGGAAGGTAAAAACTACACAATTTTAAGATAACGTTTACATGAACGTGTAAAATTATGGTAATCTAGGGATAATATCTCCCTTTTAATTTTATTTGAGGGGGCATAATAATGGCGTCATAATACGACGCGTTCGCGTAAAAGTGTAGCTTACATATATACCTGCCTATTGTTTCACATCATTTTCTATTTCTAGAGTAAAGCAGTGCACTGTGACAACCATGACGAGTATGATAACTGCTCACCACGAAATGGGTCACATACAGTATTTTCAGCAGTATGCCCATCAACCAATTAAGTTCCGAACAGGCGCAAACCCAGGTTTCCATGAAGCTATCGGTGATGTACTTGCCTTGTCAGTGGCGACACCTGGTCATTTGAAGAAAATCAAGCTTCTTCCTGAAGATACGCCCGATGATGACGGTATTGACATTATTATATATTTTGTATTATATTATTATCATAGATATAAAACATTATTCATTGGTTTATTGCACACTCTTAGCTTCAAAATGCAGCACTCAAGACACCATTCACACATTTTCCCTTTTGAGCTTGAAGTTTGTAATCCTACGTTCAAGGGATGATATTACACGTTCATCAAAATATATACCCTAAGTCTTTCTGAATTCATTACGTATACCAGAAATGGACCTGAATTTCCTGATGAGTGAAGCCACCAAGAAGCTAGCGTTCCTACCATTCGGTTACCTTATAGACCAATGGAGGTGGGATGTCTTCAGAGGAAACATCGATGAAACTAATTACAATGAAAAGTGGTGGGATCTAAGGTGAGAATTCAACGAAGGTGTGGGGTTATGTAATTATAAGAAAATGGTAGAGTGTGATCCCAATGTTATATAAAAATTGAGATATCAAATAAATTTATTTATTAATAGTTAAATATGCACACGTAAACAAGATAATTTTTTCAGAATATTGTTATACGTATAAAGTCATTTTAGAACTAAAGAAAATAAGCATGGAAAGAAATGCTACAAGTAAACATTTTGGATCATTGTGACTTCCAAATTATCCTTAATCATACCAATCCCTTTTCCATTGATGGCTCATTTCTCATACATTTAATCTCATCCAGTTTTATGTCTGGACCTCGTATTCTCTCACTTATAAATATAATTGCATTTTAGGTGTAAGATTCAAGGTCTAACTCCACCAGTCAAAAGGACCGAAGATGACTTTGACCCAGGTGCTAAATATCACGTACCTGCCAATACCCCATACATTAGGTTTGTAATAATACTCTTATGATTTCATTCTTGTTAAAATCTCTATGTCCAAGTAAATATAGTTGTTGCGTTATATTCCTCGTGAATTATATTCAATGCTTTTTAGGACAATTGTTAATCATTTCGTTTATGGACTACTATTGCGTCTGCTGTGCAGTTGGTTGTTGACTCTTTGGACTTGAAAATCGGATTTCATCTGTCCCACATCATTTAAAACTGATTGATATTTTATAAGATCCTCTGTTTCCTATTCAGAACCTCCTAGATATTTGTTCGTACCTTTCAGGAAAACTGCGAATGTAATTTCTGCATTTAAGATATCGTCCCATCCTGTATATCCTTTCCGATGTTCTTAAATGAATTGAAGGTAAATTCGCTTGCAAGATATGATAAGATTGAAAATGTTACAGATACTTTGTGAGCCATGTGGTTCAGTTCCAATTCCACAAAGCAATGTGCAAAGCAGCTGGACATACTGGACCACTCTACAAATGCGATATTTACCAATCAAAGAATGCAGGAAATCTCATGAAGTAAATTTTCTTTCTGTTTCTTTTCCTTGTTTTGAAGAACTCATTGTTTTATATTGCGTTGAAATTAAAAAAGATTAAATGCATTTTAAAATTTTAATTTTCATCTAAACCTAATGGTACAGATTGAACTATTAAAAATGGGACAAATACTTATTTTATACTCGATGCAAAGTTTGTCTCTTCTTATTTCAAAAATTTATCACGTCTAAATAAGATTTATATAAGAGAAAATAATAAGTACATTTTGAAAAAGAACTATATGTGCAACTTCAATGAAATTCCAGCGTGCATGATGCTTCAGATTTTATGTATGCATAAAATTTGAATATACTAGTTGTAATGTTCTAAACTTTCTTTGATCTATCCCATTGAGCGAGGAAATTCAAAACTTTCGCAAACATTTATTAAATCATGCAAAATAATATTTTGATGATGATTAAGAAATATAACTGACTTTGCATGGGGCCTTTTACAGACAAATGATGGAACTTGGTGCATCTAAACATTGGGCTGATGCAATGGAACGAATCACAGGTGTGCGTGAAATGACAGCTGCGCCTCTAGTAGAGTACTTCCGCCCATTGCTAGCCTGGCTCAGACGAGAAAACAGAAAGAACAAAGTGAGAATTGGCTGGTTTGAAGGTATGCAAAGCATATACAAGGGCCGCTCAAAAAGTTAAAGTTTGAGTATCCAACTCCTCTTATTATAAAATTTAGAGCCAACGGTAAGAAACTTTTTGATCGGCCCTTGTAGTATTCAAGTAATTTTAACGAATTTTGTTATATAACATACACGTGTTTTAAAATGTTTGTTAGGCTAGGAAATGTAATGGAAGATGCACTTCATTGTTTTCAGGATGTGAGGCTGATCTGTCGCTTGACGAGGCCGCAGGCAATGTGTTTGTTGATGAACATGATCGAAACATATCTGCCGTTCGATTTACATCAATTTCAGCGAGATGGAACTATCAAACGAACATTACCGATGACAACCAGAAAATAGCAGTAAGTTATATGACAATGAATGAACTTATTACGTTCAAATGTGGGAACTATCCCAACTTGATCATGAATCCTGAATTGTTACAATTAACAATATTTACAGAGAAAAATCAAAATATCACTACATAAACCTTATATTATTGTACCTCTTACCAGCGTTGAGTATTTCGCGAAGAAACTGCGAAGTTAACCACTATTACAAACGTATAATGAGTATAAATATTACATTTGTCCCCGGGCATTCATCAAATAGCACATTTCCATTTTTTTGTAGAACGCAGAGAGTCTTAAATCCAGTCAGTTTAGTTTAGAATCCTACAACGGTGCTAGGAGATACGACTGGAAGTCGTTCCAAAATGAAACTCTGAAGAGATTATTTGGAAAGATCACCAGTATAGGACCATCTGCTCTTGAGGACGAAGGTAAAAAGAAAAATGTGAGTATACATTTTAATGTGGTAGTCATTAAACTATCAGGACAAATTTATATGATGAAAGTAAATACAGGTAGTATCGAAAATCGTATTGATAAATCAAAACTGTCATTGTGTTTATGAAGTATTGACTTGTTAAAAAACAATTTTGACGCATTATTTTCAGCTTACATCTATTCAATCAGAAATGGAAACAATATACAGCACAGCTAAAGTTTGTAGGAATGTAACCCAAGTAGATGGCACAATAAATGAAGAGTGTCTAAACCTCAATCCAGGTATGTTCATGTATATGTTGCTACACAACAAAATGATTGACTATTGACTTTAAATTGTATTTTGAATACCACAATGAACCCTAGAGAAATTTCAGTTTTAGCCCAGTTAGTACTGCTTACCTAGGATGTATATGTATGCACATGGACCAAAAATTGTTACAGAACCTAGCAAAGGAAAATGGAAATATGTACACCAGTCATAAGGAAAACAAACCCCAACTATCCTGAACCATATTCTAATATGAAAAGAATCAATATCGAATACCCTCTCCCCACCATTCAAGTACCATTATCATATTCCGAGACCACAACAGCAATGGTCATTTCATCTATACATGTGATAACAACAATACATATGTGGATTGCTAATACTAAATTTCGCTTGTATCTCCTTCCATCGAGCACAACTTTTAGCCTATATACATGGACTAACGTGTTATATTAATCAGGTATTGCTGGGATTATGGCAAATTCCCGGGATTATGACGAGTTGCTATGGGCCTGGAAGGGATGGAGAGACAGTACAGGACCGCATATGAAAGCTAAATACGAAGAGTTTGTTAAACTTAGCAACGAAGGTTCTGCTGCAAATGGTAATTATACTGTTATAATTCTCCATGATTTTTCTAATAACTTTTACTTTTAGACAAGAAACGGGTTCTATCACAATGTTTCATTTTGTATTTGTACAATATGTTTAAAGGGTTTGTGGATACTGGTGATTATTGGCGAAGTAATTACGAAACTGAAAACTTCAAAGAGGTATGTGCTGAACTTTGGGAGAAAGTTAAACCGTTGTACCAACAGTTGCATGCCTATGCACGGAGAAAACTAAGTGACAAATATGGCAGAGACAAATTCCCACCTTCGGGACATATACCTGCACATTTATTGGGTAAGCTCTAAACATGGTGGTCATGATGAATTTTTCAAATATCCTAAGAAAACGTATTAATTATCGAGGGCCACTAACAGAAACTTTGTAAAGTTACGAATCCATAAATCAGTTGTTGTAACCATGGATATAATGATGTCACAGTGAGAGAACAATGAACTTTACGAATTCTTAACTTTATGAAATTTCTGTTAATTGCCCCAAATTAGGTTTTGGACATGCTGGGTCATGGGTGCATGACATTGCATTCTTCAATACAATCTTGTCATCAAAATTCATCACTAAGAGAGGTGACCTTACAAGTCCCGTAGTTGATTAACTTGTACGACGACTTGGAATGTAAATCAACCAAACGATTTGCTCACGTGTGGTATTTATCAATGTGTGTCTAATTTAAGGTCATATTCAGGCCCAAGTATGGACTTCGATCTATCCTGATATTCTCAGACCATATATGGATAAACCAAGTGTGGATGTCACTCCTGAGATAGTTCGACAGGTGAGGTCATACTTAAATGATTCTTCTTTAACTTACTAGGTCATATTCAGGCTCAAAAGTGGACTGCTATATATCCTGATATTCTCAGACCGTACAAAGACAAACCCAGTGTTGATGTCACACCTGAATTGATTAGACAGGTAAAATATGTATTTTATAAGTTATAAATCATACTCGCAGTAGTATCATATGTACTCTAGGCCTATCAAGAGTCATGTTGTATGTTTCATTATGTAATTTATCACTTTATTTAGGGATGGGATGCAAAAAGAATGTTCAAAACATCCGAAGAATTCTTTACTTCACTTGGGATGTTCAAAATGCCAGAAGAATTTTGGAAACACTCAATGATTGAGAGACCAACAGATAGGGAAGTCGTGTGTCATGCTTCTGCTTGGGACTTCTACAACAGAAAAGACTTCAGGTTCGTTATCATCCTTCTAAGCAGGTGTCCAGAATTCGTACATTAAAGAAAGAAGGTATTCTGGATTGATTTTGGAGCCGAAGGATGGTTCGTTATGGAATGACATTTTCCTAATCATAGTAAACATATCAACCTAATTAATGAAATAATGTTAATGGTAAACCCGGTTCATTGCTGCTTCAGTGCGATTTATTTGATTGTTCTAGAATTAAGCAATGTACTAGGATGACGATGGGTGATCTTGTAACGACACATCATGAAATGGGACACGTGCAATATTACTTACAATACAAGCACCAACCAGTTCTTTTCCGCAGAGGTGGTAACCCAGGTAAAGCTGTATATTTCAGGTGTAATGTCCCATATAATAGGGAGTTTAAGCTTGCAATGTTTTACACAACCTAAACGTGAACGGAAATATTTAAGCGATGTATTTGTACAATTGGTCATACATACAGTATACGTATAGGTTGGCGTTTCGATTTTATATGCAAGCTTAAACTCCCTCATATCGTATATATTCGGAATTCTCTCATTTCAAAGTGTAATAGATGAATGCGACAGTATACATTTTAGGGGTCACACGGTTAACCGTGGCTTGCGGTTACCGCGGTTCATACCTCCACGACGGTTAGCTCGCACACAATCTTGAAAACCGCAGTTCTTGAAGAACCGTGACATTTTCAGTTTCACTTCAGAAAAATAAAAATGTAAACTCGGAATTAAACTCCATTTCAAGCTTTCGTGTAATACCAATTAACTAAACATCGTCTGGAATCGTTAATCATCATGCAATAATGCGAACCATACCTGATATTTACGACGATCTTCTGATATAGACGGCAGATAACAAAAACAAAAGGAAAATGTTGATAAATTTCACCGGCATATTGACCCGGAAGTGACCTACGCTAAACATTTCGCGCAATCCTATTGGTTGATAGAACAGTATACTGTAAAAAGCCGAACGCCGAATGCATTGAATTTGCGAACGAGTCACGTTCTGTGTATTACGTTCGCCTTTGATCCATGTTGAGTCCTGACAAAGTGTTGAACTTAAGTTATATTTCTAAAGAAAACATTTATTCAGTTTAGTGAAGTACTGTGCTAATTTTGCCAACAGTTGACAAGTTATTTTATGTGTTGAAAAAACTTGAACATCAAACAAGAAGATCAACACAGTGAACAGACAGATATTTTGGGAGGGAGGGAGGGAAAAAAGACTGAACAAACAAACAAACATTGTGTGAAACTGGATACTTACAATACTGAATACAATACTGTGACACACTGTGACACACTGTGACACACTTAGTATGTTTTATGATTTTCGGATCAATTTCATATATTTTTGCTCATTTCACGAGGCCCGTGAGAACTGCAATCAGAACCGAACCGAACTGTGAAATACAATAACCGAACCGAACCGAGAAATCTCAAACCGTGTGACCCCTAATACATTTATTTCTATTAAGGGTTCCACGAGGCAATTGGAGATGTGATGTCCTTATCAGTGAATACACCAAGCCACTTGCACCAAATAGGATTGCTGGAGTCGTTTGAGACCGACAAAGGTACATAAATACTGTTCAGGCTTGTCATTTGGAACATTTGTTGACCACGTGAAGAAAAAATTCTCGAGTAAAATATAGCTTACACACTATAGAAGTCATTCTCCTGTAAAATAGATGCAATTTGTAATGCTTAGCGTAACATTAGCCAAAAGATCCCCATTTGAGTGACTCAGTGACTCAGTGACTTCACAATATGCAATACTTACGCTTTACAGTACGCTTTTTAAGATGTTCTTACCTAATTTTGGGTTAATGATTTTTCAGAGAGTGATATCAATTTCCTCATGCGACAAGCTGCAAGCAAGCTTGCCTTCTTGCCAACTGGATACTTCTATGATTTGTGGCGTTGGAGTGTGTTTAGCGGGGAGACTAAGCCTGAACAGTACAATAAGAAGTGGTGGGATCTCACGTGAGTGGATTAGATAAAGCACTACTGGGAGTGATGAATCTAAGGAATGGACAATAATAAAGGAATCAAACACGTTTTGATATATGTTCATGATTGTAATAATAAGATATCTTTATTTCAGGTGTAAATATGCAGGTATTTGTTCCCCTGTTGAAAGGACGGAAAATGATTTTGATCCTGGTGCTAAGTACCATATTCCAGCCAATACGCCATACATAAGGTAAAATGGATATGTCTAATATGCTCTTCGGGCACAACATCGAGTGAAAGATGAGCATGTTAACGTTTTTATTCAATTCGATCAACAGAATGGAATAATTGATTCATTGATCGATTTATTTTACTATCACATAAACACGATTGGTCAGTTCTCTGTTAGGGTATTGTCCATTCTGGATTTTCTACCATGTTATGCGGAACACTGATGAGTTCTTCGAAGCAGGCGTAACGTGTAGTAACGAAGTTCATAAGTCTACAGCGCCAATTTTTCATTGAAAATATAGCAATAACACCCAAATTAAATTATGAATATTCAAAAGAGAACAAATTTTTCAAAGCAAGCGTAACGTGCTGTAGACTGATGAACACCCAGAAAACAACATTGGATACAATTAATGTTATGCCATCTGAGGGATTTTGTCTTTGCAGATATTTCATCAGCTATGTTATACAATTCCAATTCCACAAAAGTCTTTGTGATGCAGCTGGACATAAGGGACCTCTACATACTTGTGACATTTATAACTCCACAAATGCTGGCACAAAATTGAGGTTAGCGAAACATCTCACATTCACAGGCTGGTATCGAAAGATTTGTCCGCTGTGACGGAGCATGCTATTTTTCATAAAAACACTAAGAATGCTTCACGATTTGTTTTTTAACTCATTTGTTTCGTTATATCAAAGATAATTACTTACTCCATGCAATGGATATATTATTTGCGTGTAACCTTCACTACTGTTTGAAGTCCAATAACGCTAGGAGTAAAATCTATTGAAAACGGCGCCAGAGTATCAAACTCTAAAATGAACCATTTCTTTTTTAACTTTTTAATGGCATGATATAGTGACACGATAATATTAACATATATTTTCAGCATATCTCTGAATGTATTAATGAGATATTAATGCATTGGGTCTTTTTAATTTTTTTATAAAAAATAATATTAATATTTTTTGTCCGCTGTGACGGAGCATTTTCACAGTTCACATTTGCAACTGCTCCGTCACAGCGGACAAAAAAATTAAACATTATTTTTTGATAAAAGAATTAAAAAGACCAAACACATCAACATCTCATTTATACCTTCATAGTTATGCTGAAACCATGTGTAAATATTATCGTGTCACTATATTGCATCCTCCTAAGCAGGTGTCCAGAATCCGTACCTCCTTCTTTCCCTCTGCTATAAGCAGTTAGCATTTCCCCGATTAAGAACTCGCAATTTGATTGGCTGTCGCAACACTGCGACAGCAATCATGTATACATCATCGGTGCATACTTAGATCACGTGATTCGGTTTAATCGGGCGCGTCCAACTTGGTTATAGCAGGGGGTAAAAAGAAAGAAGATATTCTGGATTTTGAAGCCCTGTGATCGGAGGATGCTATATCGTGCCATTAGAAAGTTAAACAAGAAATGGTACATTTTGAAGTATGATACTCCGGCGCCATTTTCAATAGCTTTTCTTCCCAGCGTAATTGGACTTCAAACAGAAGTGAAAGTTACCCGCAAATAATATATCCATTGCATGGAGTAAGTAATTTTGTATGGTATAACGAAAGATATGAGTTAAAAAATAAATTGTGAAGTATTCTTAGTGTTTTTATGAAAAATAGCATGCTCCGTCACAGCGGACAAATATTTCGATACCAGCCTGTGACATTTGCTCTAGAATAAATCTGAATAAAGTAGCTAAGGTTAGGTAATATGGCCCTTGTAAAATGTCCATCGATAAATGGTTTCGCTAACCATTCATAGTGTTTACCTCAAGACTAGTCCATTTGAAAAGAGATGCAGCAGCGTGTTTCAGAACAAATAAATTTCATCAGTCTTAATATGCTTTAACGCTTTAAATGTTTCTGTCATTTTAACAAAATAATGAAACAATTTCGTTCAGTAACATGATGCAGATGGGGTCTTCAAGGCCATGGCCTGAAGCAATGGAGGCATTGACGGGATCCCCCAATATGTCTGCAAATGCTTTGGTGGAATACTTCCAGCCTCTATTAGACTGGTTGCAAAAGGAAAACAAAGTAAGTCGGTTGACATTATTGACCTTGTTGGATCCATAATACATAACAGCAAAAACGATCAAGCTAGTGCATATATACACATAGAATCTTAAGACATTTTGGTCCCTCTTTCGGGGTACAGGAGAGTACAGGACGTATAGAGGTCATTAATGCCTTATATTGCTCTTCAAAAATGGCCAAATTGGAAATGTAATGTGTAAGCAAATTGCAGCAACTTTCATATCATGAATTTAAATATTTTTTTTGTAAATACCTGCGATTAAACATTTCTTCTTGGAGTTAAACAACAACCTCTGTTTCGTTATGAAAGGGATTCCCAATAGGTTGGGAGGAGGACTGTCCCATGCGAAATGAAGCTGATGCTCAGAGTTGGATGGAGGAGAATAATGCAGCAACTTCTGTAGTGTTCAATGATGCAGCGATAAACAGTTGGAATTATGATTCGAACATGACTGATGAAACCAGACAAAAGTCGGTAAGCAATAAGTTTTTTGCTCAAATACCCCTTTCTTGTGTTGAGGGGCAGTGAACATGTATCAAACCTTAATAGCTCTTAGAAATAAGCATGTAAACATACATTCATATTTTAGATGCAAAACGTTTTGTTCATGTTTAATTGCTTTTAAGCATTGTGATGGGTGGTCTCTGACATGTTATTTTTAGCTATAAGTATGTTGTATATAGTTAGTTTTATTCTGTAAAAGTTTTCCTTATACTGTGATTTATATATTTTTCCAATTCAAGATTGAAGCGAAATTACGTAGGGACAAATTCAAACTGGATTCCTACAACAATATAACCAGTTTATATTGGGGAGGGTTCCAAAATGAAACTCTGAAGAGGTTACTTGGGAAAGTCTCGAGTATTGGACCTGCCGCTCTTCGAAATTCAACTAAATCAAGGAGGGTAAGTGACCCAGCATTTTTTGCTTATTTCATAATCATGTTTTTTTTTGTTTTATTTCAGAAATTATTTCTTTTAATACTGATGCAACTGCCGAGGTCAATGAATAAACATTAGCAGCAATTGTAATCAGGATACAAGGATAGAATATACTTGCATATTGCAATATAGAAATACAATAATGTTCAAAGAAAATATAAATTGAACTTTTGTGTTTGCTTTCTACTATGCGCCTATCCATCTAATTAAACTTTTGGATGAACTGTTATATCTGTGATTTATTTTATGTTGTATTGTTAGTGTTTTCCTATGATGTAACATGTATTACTTTCATTTGGACACAGATGCAGGATGTACAGGCTGAAATGTCTAATATATATGCAGATGGGAAAGTGTGCGACAATCAGGCAGGTGGACAATGTTATGGACTTGAACCAGGTAACAACTGATTAAAGCATGCGTATTGCGTGTGCTCTCCCCTACATGTGTTATTATTAATCATAAACATGTCATGTTTTCAAAATATTAGCATTTACTCGTGAAATACGAGTTTTTATCACACCATCGGTGGGATATAGTCGATATGATTAAAGTATACATTTTGTATTTGTCATCGCAATTCCAGGAAAACCGCTTGTCGGATTTTCTTGAAATTTATATGTTCGGGCAACAAATCCTTCATGGATAAACTTTTGGGCAGCCGTCTTGTTCTCGTGCTTCAAATTCTACTGTTGAATAACTTTTGGTTTTAGTTTTGAGATAAATCTTGTCATTGCCATTCCATGAAAACATTTATCGATTAGTTTTCTTTGTTTCTACTTGGTGGTTTGATTTCGTTCACGTCATGTGCCTTGTTAGTAAGTTTATAGACATTATTAACAAAATATTTATGTTCAAAAGGTCTAACAAACATCATGAGAGACAGTCGTGATTATGATCAACTGAAATGGGCATGGCAAGGTTGGCGAAATGAGACGGGTAGAAAGATGAGGTCTTTATACACGGAGTTTGCACAACTTAGCAACGAAGGGACGAGATCTAATGGTAAGAAATTGATAATAAACGTATTTGTAACTGTACTTTAATATTTTGGACAATAACATAATATGAACTAGCATTCTACTGTTAACTATATCACAACTGTTATGGGAAGTATACATATGATCGATACATGATAGATATATACATTTACAGGGCGTTCAATAAGTATTGCTAATTTTGTTAACTTGCTTTTTTTCTTTTGTATTTATAATTTGTATTTTTAAGCATACAATTAATTGGTTGTACCATTTAAATAGGTTTTATGGATACCGGTGATTACTGGAGGTCATGGTATGAAGACAAGAACTTTCAAACAGTTTGTGAAAACCTTTGGAACCAACTGAAACCATTTTATGAAGAATTACATGCATACACGAGACACAAACTTATGGAACAATATGGAGCCCAACATTTTCCAAAAGAGGGCCATATTCCAGCACATTTATTAGGTGCGTTTACCTGTTTACTATTGTAATCCTCAAGTACGGATTTGTAAAATTGATACTTTTGGGTTGTTTGTTAAAATAATCATCATGTGTATGAGAAAATAATATCTTATATTTTATTAGGTAATATGTGGGCACAGTCTTGGATGGGAATATATAAGGACATTCTTATACCTTATAAGGGTAAAACAAGCGTTGATGTAACAGATGAATTGGTGAAACAGGTAAATTCATTGACATACTACTATAAAATTAAAATTACAACGACTGTGTTTTTACTTACTTTTAGAAGTGACAATGAGGCGAATGACTCCTAAATTCTAACTAGCTAGTCAAATATATTTAACTTACTTCTAGAAATATACAGCTAGACGAATGTTTGATGTATCAGAAGATTTCTTCTCATCTATTGGATTGCTGAATATGACGAAAATGTTTTGGGAAAAAAGTATAATTGTACATCCAAATGATGGTAGAACATTGATATGCCACGCATCTGCATGGGACTTCATGGATGGAAAAGACTTCCGGTAAATAGATTTTGTCTATTATCTAATAATATATATCATCTCTCCTGTCTTAATACAGGCCTTGTCCTTCGATTTATGGGTATCAAGCGGTGGTGCTGCACACACAAAGGATTTTCCATCTTAATGTTTCAGGATAAAACAATGCACAGATATCACAATGACAGACCTGATTACAGTCCACCACGAGATGGGGCACACAGAGTACCAGATGCTTTACAGAGATCAACCCGTGCTGTTCCGTGGAGGAGCTAATCCAGGTCAGACAATGTAGTTAACATATTGCTCGGCATGCACATTGTTCGTCCCGAAATAGGTTAAGATGTACGTCAGTGTTTCTTTTCAGTTAGCTTATGGTTTGGGATAGTTGGGGTTTATTTTCCTTATATCTTATGTACGCTTACATGTTTTCATTTTCTTGTATTGATTTGTAATAATCTTTTTAAGGTTTCCATGAGGCTATTGGTGATGTACTAGAATTGTCTGTATCCACACCCAAACACCTGAACTTAATCGGCCTTCTTCATAATGTCACTGAAGACAGAGGTACGTGTACTGTTCAGAAACGTTTAATATGCATGAATAAGTTATTTTAGATATTATTTGACACGTTGAATCAATGGTTGAGGTCTTTTCAGCTTTTTAGTCAATGTTCTTTATTTTCAGAAAGCGACATCAACTTCCTTATGTCCCAAGCTTTAAAAAAGATTGCGTTCTTGCCATTTGGTTATCTCATAGACCAATGGCGATGGAAGGTGTTCGATGGTACCATTACTCCGGAAGAGTACAACAAACAATGGTGGAAGCTGAGGTACGTTACATGTATGTTGTACTCGTCAGTAGCATTCTTTATATGTTAGAGAAGTGTTTCTCATGTTGCCATTTACATACTGTTTTATCCGTTATATTCGAGTGTATTCCTTCGTTTGATATCAAGATGCCAATTTCTGTTAGTCGTACATACTGTTTTACTGTATTCTGTATGTTTTAATTGTTATGTTTAGATGTAAGTACCAGGGTATATCGCCTCCAGTCTCTCGTTCAGAAGCAGACTTTGACCCTGGGGCAAAGTATCACATTCCAGGCAATACTCCCTATATAAGGTAAGCGATCAAAAGTCTAGTAATGGAACAAGTTTGAGGGGGGGGTAACTTTGTAACCCTTCTTTCGATCAAGAATATCTTAATGGAACACGAAATTTGGGTGTTTGACTTTGTAACCCTTCTTTCGATCAAGAATCTAATGGAACACGGGGGTTCACTTATTAACGCCTCTTTTGATCAAGAATATCGTAAGGGAACAAAAAATGTAAGGGTTTTGAACTTTTCTTTCTGTTTCTGTCACTCAAGGTATATTATTTTCAGATATTTTGTGAGTCACGTACTGCAGTTCCATTTCCACAAGTCATTGTGTAAAGCTGCCGGACATTCTGGGCCTCTGTACAAATGTGATATATATAAGTCTAAAGAAGCTGGGGCAAAACTCAGGTAAATTGGAAATAAACATTACACAAGTAATAGTTCATGATAATCCACTACCTGTTTCATTGTATACCTGTATTGTCTAAAAATTGGCAACATTAAAAAATCTTCTTCCAGTTGAAATGTCATTTTTGATTTTATTTAGGTGATATAACCTTAGATGTAAAATCCCTCCGCACGTTTCTGCCTTTCCGAAAACATTAACATATATAGTTGATTGCTATATTTAAATGTGTATATGATACAGATTTAACAAATAAAAACATGCCCATATCAGGTTATATGTTATTAACGATTTTATTGTCACCGTTTAGACATATGCCTTCGTTCCCTCAATGTCATGATTCCCATGAGCCTAAACTCGACTTTCATCGGACACATTTAATCCAAAGAAATCTTCAAAAACGTACGTTATGGTGAACTTCAATTATACACTATTAAATCCCACTTGGGTAGCAACACAATAGAATTTGCTGTGGTTTATTTTTAAGAATGTATGGTTTTATCAAAAGGAAAGTGCATTATTTTTCTATTGTTTTTAAAGAATGTACACTTGGCAAGCTATCAAAAACAAGTGAGACATAAATGACCATTGACAGTTTTTGATAGTTTTCATTCCCTAAAAACAATATACAAAAATACACGTACCCTTCTCTTGTTACTGTGCATTCTTTAGAATAAAACAATTTATCAAATTTTGTTGCTATCTACATCATTGATCTTATCTTACTTACAAATATTCTGCTGTATTCAAATGCAATGTTCTGGACTGGACAGTCACCTGTAGTGCACTGAAGCTAGACTAATTATAGCCCACTCAGTCACTTACATCAACTCACACTCATGAGGTCAATGCAACCAACTTTTTTTGTTGTTACAATTAATTGGCTATATAACTACATGAACAGTCAACACAAAAGAAATAAAATTTTCCAGATTAGATCATTGACCATTTACCTGCAATATACCATTTACCTGTAATAAGAATGTGTGTGATTTAAGTAAGATAAAGCATTCGAATTCGATTTGATAAGAAATAATAACCTCAGGCCTTCGGCCTTCGGTTTATTATTTCTTATAAAATCTCATTCTTATGCTTTATCCAGTACTGAATGCACAGGAATCTCCAATTTCAGGGCAATGCTGGAATTAGGCGGCTCAAAACCATGGCCAGATGCACTTGAACAGATAACTGGATCAAGAGAAATGACTGTTGAGCCTATTATGGAATACTTCCAACCTTTGATAGATTGGTTGAAACGTGAAAATAAAGACCGGGGTGTTGTATGGCGTGATTCGTGCCCGGATGATATACCCGGTACCGACCCTAGCCCCCCTTCCCCAACAGCTTCGCCCATCAAAGACAAAACAGCAGAAGTGAACCGATTCAGAACATCAACAATTGTGTTGGGAGTATTGTTTGGTGTTCTCGCCGTAGCATTATTAGGTTTAGTGGCGTTTATGTTTATCAAACGGAATAAAAGTGGCGGAGACGACGGATATGTCATGACATAGCGGGGATCTGGAAATAAATTAGGTTATCCATCTATGTGTGATGTCTCAACTAATACTAACATGGAGATTACTGTAGTACGACGCACTTTATAAGGAATTTAGACATATTGGAGAAGAAAGACATAAAAATGCATGTAACATTTACAAATACAAAGAGAAATATATTATGTCTTCCCCTAGCTATCAAAAATCAAAGTAAAGGGTGGCAAATATGTTTATAACAGTTAAAACATTTATTAATAAGTGCATCAAATTACCAAACATGGTAACCTTTTGGTGAATCAAAATTTTCCATTTCGGATTTCCGTCCTAAAAAATTGAGTGTGAAAATGTTTGTAAAGTCCTGGCCTGTCGACGTGTAACTATCAGGAATGCTTCTTGGATATAAAAACCTAGAACTGCTTAATTCTTTGGCATGCTTGCTAAATATCTTAAGGTGACCATTTTGAATTTCCGTCCTATAATCGTGTGTCATTTTGGATTTTTCGTCCTAAAAATTTGTCTGTAAAGTCTTGGATTTTCCAAAATCTTGACAGTAAATTCTTGTCAGCGCATTTCACTTTGTTTGAGAGATTCATTTCATGGATATTTTATTCAAAGGGGCGATAAGGTTCACCCCGTATCTTTTTTATATCAATTTATGTAAGGTTGCTATACTTTTAAAACTGCATGACGTCATTGGCTTGTGAATAAATCGTTAGCCCAATAGCGGGCAATGATCGGTAATGATTTTATAACAATGGCTGAAAATAAAATAACCAAAAGCATATATGAGTTGTTCATTTCGGTATGTGCGGCTACAGAGCTAAAAAACAATTGAGATTTAAACATCTCAGTATACACTTAAATACTGCATATAGGCAACACCTGACAACAAAAAGCTCTCCATCATCGTATGCCGATTGACACCATGCAACATTCATGGAAAATATGAAAGGTATGCCCCCATGCCAGCTTTTGACTTTACCCTACGCCCAGTCCAGGTCGGTACACGGGGCTCTCTATTTTTCATCCAACTCAATGCCAAATACACTGGTTCAAGAACAAAAAGATTTTGGCAAATCTTACCCCTCAGTTGGATGTTTTTGCACTTTACTGATGGAATGAAGAGGAGAAAGTACAGTTAATTGCAGTTGGAAGGTCTTTATCAAGCCTAACATACACCAATGGATTAAAGTCCCACTTGCCCTGTCGAGTCTTTCAGTGCACCATCGAGATCCACGAAGTCCCATGAAATCTAGCTAGATGCCCATCGAGTCCACGATGTCCACACGGAAATGATTTAATTCAGTTTAGAAGTTTTTTGCCGCGACAAAAGTCACCTGACACGTCACATTTTTGAAAGGCCCACAATGTCCCATGGGAAGAATAAACATTCTTCATGGAACAAAGCCTCACGGAGTGTGTACAGGGTGGGCCATTAAAAATTGGAACATTTTTTCTGTTTATTCAGTTGCCTTTATTATTGCAGTTCAATCCACAAAATTTCAAATAATGGTAAAATGATTATTTGTGAGAATGTTAAAGATAAAAATATGTTGTATAATTATTTTTGGCTTGTCATGGTCATGATCTGTATACTGCGTGTGTCATGAAAAATTTACAAATATTCTCTGTTTAGGTCATCACTGCTGAAAATATCTTTCATACCATAATATGTACCTTCAAATGATCTCAACAAAATTTCCATCAATTAAAACATATGTAGTTAACTGACATCAGCTGTTATCCGAATTTTTGTGGATTGACTTGCAATAATAGAGAAAATAGAATATATAAAAAAATGTTCCAATTTTCATTGGCACACCCTGTAGAACTCCCGGTTAGAGCTTCAGTTACACTTTCTTTTGGTCCCAACATACACCAATGGGGCTCGACGGCACGTCCTCAATAGATTTAATATTGCGTGTGGCCTCGTGGGACTTCATAAGATTTTCCCCATAGACTTCCTTTGGACTCGATTGGGCAAGATGGGACTTGGGGCAAGTCTGTGTATATGGGGCTTAAAACCGAAATCCACGATGGCTACTCCTTGGAAACGTCAACGTCAACTTCCGTGAATGCGTAGCGTAGAAGTGACAATTAAACGTTCACATTTGTCCTTATTTATTTTATTGCATGCAAAATTATACGTACTGTACGTGTACGTCATAACATCAGCTTATTATGTATTGAGATATCATTATTTCAATCAAATATAGTCTAATACTTCAACATCCTCACCTTTTAGATTATTCAATGATTTACACATATATACTATTTCCCAGTTATGTTACATTAAAATATACGTTGAATAATATAACCCTTCCAGAAACCATGATCTTGGTATACCATTCATTATTGTGGTAGTCATGATTTTGGCAATAATATGACACGATAGTACCAAAGTATTTCATCCATATGAAATACCATGAAAAGGACACATGGGCCCTGTGTTCACAGTTGAGTTAATAACAGCATACTCTCTGGTATATTTACAAAATGGACAGCAAATTGTACATGTGATGTATTCTAAACTAACAACTATCCTATCAAAGAACAGAATTTTCGTCTCTGTCATTGACTGTACAGTCTATATGTTTCAGTAGTATATCGTGGTCCTGTTGTTGTTGTTGTAAGCGACGCGTGTGAAGCCGTGTCTTACATAGGAAGAATAGAAGAATTACCACAGTCACTGCCATCGCCGCCACCACCGTTACAGTCGCCACTGTCGCTACTCGCATTTGCTTCAACTCGGAACCAAAATCATCATCTAAATTCAAACATGAAACTCGTATTTAAATCTCAAAACTCCAAAATTTATTTCACTTAACATCATACTATATTTAACGTATACATAAAAATATTGGGTGAGACTTGAGATAATGTATGCGGCGCCAGTCAAAATTGAAACTTCTGATTGGGTTCGAAGCCGAGATGCCCGGATATGTCCCAGCAAAAGCCGAAATTCACGTGATTTTTCACGAAGAAGGGGCGGAGTTTAAGCGAGATTCATCGAGACTTCTTCGTTTCAATCGTGTCAATCCCTGCATTGCTTATTGTTAACTCCACCTTTTTGCCCATATATGGAGATGGAGATGCCACTTGCGAGCGTGAACAGTACAGTCTAGAAATAGAAATTTCTTAAGCGATGTCTTTCTTCAATTTTTCTACACGATATCTCGATAAATAGTGGACATATTTGTACCATTCTTTCGTCAAAATGAGGGTATCACTGGAATACATATTTCCAATCTGTTGGTCAATAGATTTATTCATTGATACTGGCAGGAATTAGATCGTAATAAACGTGCTAAAATTGTAAAACTTGGAACGTTTGACAGCTAATCTCCGAGTAATGTATGAATTGCATCGGGAGAAAGCAGGAGAAAAGCTGGGACAGTCTGTTGAGTGGAGTTTGCAAAGCAATCCCGGATATAAATGACGTCATCTTAGCAGTTTACATGGTTTCGAAAGCCTGGGTGTCGTAGTGATGAGTTTGAATTATGTCGATTATTCGATTGTTATATATAAATAAACATCGATCTTCGGCGAAGATAAAGTAAGAACAACATATATATCCGAGAAACATGTTGGTAAGTACAGTATTTGATTTATAATGGCAGAAAATCAAATTGAATCGAAATCGAATTTTCAACTTTTTCAATTTTTTTCAATTTTTTTTCGTTCGATTATTTTGATTTTCAATTTGATTTTTACATTCTATCTTCTTCGTCCTGCGGGACTATACTAGGCATAGGCCCGGAACATGTATAACATTGACTCAATGAGTCAAATTCACTTAAATAGAAGCTTTATTTCTTTACATTTTTACGGGCCTATGCCTGGGCTGGGAATATTCCAAGGCCTAGACTACTAGATCTATAGGACTTAGACTAGCCTAAAGCTAGAGCCTTAGATCTAGCTCTTTCAGAGGCTGTGACTGATATGTTAGAAGCCTTTAGAGCCCCCTATCAACCGCTTCAAAATTGTGTTAGTGTCCTCCTTGCGAAAATCGAAAAAAATTAAAAGGTGCTTCTGTGCCGAACAGCAAATTCTCATTATACATTGAGAAGCTACTCTTTACCAAGAAACCAAAAATGGAAGTTTTGACGGAAAGACATGACGTACAAGTCAAAATCTCTGAATCTTGCTACGTACATGACAGATAAAGAGAATTTAAATCCTGATCGGCAAAAAAGCGGCTAATAACTTACATATTTTCTCAACAAAAAGCACTGATGTAGCTCACATTGGGAGATAGTAGTAAGCACTTGAAGTTGATTTCAGTAGATCAGTTACACCTGTCATGATTTCAAGGAAAGACACAAAGTATCCGTCAAAAGAGAAAAGCTTACATAAATGCGAGCAAAATCTGCAGATTTATTATAGCTATTGACTTCTCGAATATGTTGAACGCACAACTCTAAACAATACTTGAGATTGAATAAAATTGACAAGATATGAGAAGACAGTCTAAAACCTAACTGGGAGAGCTGCCATTGTTTGCCCGGAAATCTTCAGAGATTTTGACTGGTACTTTGTGTCTTTCCATCAAAATTGCCATTTTGGTTTCTCGCTGGGTAATTCACAGATGAAGAGAAATCTTGATTGACAAAAATACAGCTGATAGCTAACAGCTTTTCTTAAACAGACGATAAAGGAAGATATAAAGGAACCTGTTATGATTTTGAAGCGGGTGATAGCTGATAGGGGGCATGTTAAGGCTGTAAGTAGAGGGTGTAGCCGAATAAATCTAACCCAAATAGAGTTTAACACATCTCAGTATAGGCAAAATTAAAATTCATTAAAGTTTCATCACTTTAGCATGTGTACATTTGCTGGCCTTCTAATATTTTGCCAATAGATTTGTTAGGCTTGATTGCAAATTCTTATGAAATATAAGAGTGTATGGTTTCAATGTACTGTACTCCCGATATTTTTCGCGTGCAATTTAGTTTCGTGCTTTTCGCGATTGTGTAAAAATCACGAAAATTAATAGTCGCGAATATCCCCAATTAAAGGCTGAGGTGCAACATGCCATTGACTAAGATCTAGAGATTGTAAATCTTATCCAAAGTATATGATATTGGGTAGGTGTAATTACTGTAGATAAGATAAATTAATTTTGAGGATTCAGAGAATAATGGAAGTTAAACCTTTGATATCCGCAAAATTTAATGGCCGCAAAATTGGTATTTCTCAAAATTCATGAAATTTAAACTCGCAAATTAACCGGTAGTACAGTATTTGTATGTGGAATAATTATGATATTGAGAGCATTGATGAAACAAATGCAATGAACTGATTTGATTGGCCAAGGGAGCATTGGAATTTTGACCTGAAGTTCACATGATTGTTGCTATAGGCCTTATGATTTTTTGGAATTCCAGTAATACTATTAATGTCTATTATACTTATACAGTAAAACCTGTCTTATCCAAATGCCACCGCTACAAATTAAAAATATTCAGATTTAAACGTCTGATTTCGAGGTTTTTGCATCCGAAAGATTCTTGATTTTGAAAAAATATTAATGCATTTTCACTTAATATTACTAGCATTGTAGGCGTTATGATTTTTTGGAATTCCAGTAATACTATTATACTTATACAGTAATATCTGTCTAATACTTATACAGTAATATCTGTCTAATCCAAATGCCACCATGACCAGTTAAAACACCATGACCAGTTAAAAAAAACATTCAGATGCGAAGGTGATCGGATTTCGAGGATTTTGCATTCGCAAGATTCTGCATTTTAAAAATATAAATGCATTTTCACTAAAAAGTATTAAGATTACTTTTGACCGCATAGCTTTATGACATTCCAAAATCCAAATCGAATGCTTGAAAGGTAAAACAGAAGTGTGCAATCAGAGATGATAGATACTATTGCATGAGTATATGAAGGCCATGTGTCAACTCTTCGATTGATAATACGCCTCGAAATAAACACCCACTGGCTTGGGAAAGCTATTTTCCCTCTTAATAAATGCCTGTCCCCTTGGAAAAATGTTTTCAATTTCCCTCTTAGTCTTAATAAAAGCCAATGGCATTTATTTTGAGTTCTTTCTAATAAAAGCCCTGTGCAAAATAAATGCTCAGTGGGCCTATATGTTCGTTGAATTTAAAATTTCCCCTTCTATTCAATTTTTATAAATGTTTTATGCATCAGTATGTTGCATTTGGAGACACAAATAAACTCTTAAAAGGAAAATATTTTCTCTTTAGTATGTTAACTTTGTCTACAAATGCAACATATTAATGTGAAAACATTATAAAAAAAAATGGAAGGAACTGAAAATCAGGAAAACATTTTTGAAAAAAAATGTTGATGGGTCTTTGCACCTTCCCTGTCTCAATCTCCAATTTTTTTTTATCATCTGTATGAGTACTTTTCCTTTAGATAATGCATTGGCCTAACATACACACCTTACATTTTCAGAAAATTTCTGCAATTCAACATATGACCGTCTAAATTCTGTTGTGAAACCTTTAGTATTCTTTCAAGAAATTTCCTGCTTACATGAAAGTCTTTTACATTCTTTTTTTTTTTAATGTAACATAATGGCTGATACCAATATTGTTGTATATGTTTACACTATGGAACTAATCATTCTTTGAATTGAGTTTGATTCCTGAACAACTGGATATTTGACTAAACATTCCTTGGATTTGATTTGGTTTGATGAAGAGAAATCTTGACTGACAAAAATGCAGCTGATAACTAACAGATTTTCCCAAACAGAAAATATAAAAAAAATTTAAAGTGAGCACTTGATTTCAATAGTTTAGTTTCACCTATGCTTTTGAAGCAGGTGATAGCTGATAGGTGTCATGTAAAGGCTTTAAGTACATGGTATAGCAATAATTAAAGGTAAGAAGGTACTGTTTCATTCATATTTCTTGGTTTTAAAAACATTTAATCAAATAAGCTGGAAATTTTTTTGAGAAATGATATGATGGTGAAAGAAATAGATACAAAATTATAAAAAATTTATAATTAGCGAAAATTGATATCCGCAAAATTGCAAAATTGTGAAAGATAACAGCATCAAATATTAGTGGCAGTACAGTATTTGCATGTGAAATAATTATGATATATTAATATAATAATATAATAATTGATGAAACAATTGCAATGAACTGTTTTGATTAGCCAAGGCCAGAGCATTGGAATTTGAACTAAAGTTGAGTATAATGTTATTGTATAAATTAAAAAAATAATTATAGAGACTTCTTACAAAGTTGATCTTCATTTCAAATAGCTGAGAATATTTCCCAAAATAGATTGACTAGGCCTTCAGATTTTTTTGAATTTCAGTATTACTATTACTCATACAGTAAAACCTGTCTAATCCAAATGCCACCGTGCAGTTAAAAACATTCAGATTGGGAGGTGTTCGTTATCACAATAGATTATAATTATATCATTGATAATTTAGGGTTTATTCAAAGATGGCAGCAGCATTCTCAGAACCTAACAATCAGAATCTCATTAATCTTTTGTTCACGTTAGTTATTTAAACTTTATATAGATGGCAGTTCTTAAATATATAATAGACACCAATAATTCAACATCATAATTTAACCTTTTCAATTAAATATACCCTGTATCAAGCACAGAAACGTATTTACACCCTTTACTAAAATGGCAACCCCTGTATCACGCACTTGTAATTAGATTAAATATATCAGTAATATTATATGCATAACATATAAAAATAGTATACATACATATAATATAATCAATTAACAGATGATATACAATCTGAATCTCATACCCATTATTTTACATTATACATATTGCTTACCCTGTGGTTTATTCCCTTTCTGAGGTCTGAACACTCCAAATCCCGGAACATAAAAGCCTGGTGGAGGAGTACGAGGTTGACCAACTGGGGCCCCTGGGTAAATACGCCCTCCTCCTCCTCCTGCTGGGGATGCTGGGGTAATAGTCCTTCTACCTGGTGAACCTTGGATTGCGCTTCCTCCTCTCGCCGGTGATCCTGCTATACCTGGACGCCCAGGTGGTCCTGGTGGACCCGGAAGACCAATAGCCCCACGTGGCGCAGGAGGACCTGGTGGACCCAGAAGACCTGGAGGACCACGACCTCCTAATGGACCCTGTCTACCTAATGTGGCAATAACGACGGCATGTGAATGTTTTGAACATACGACATGAGAAAAATACATACTACATCAAATGGATTCCATAATTGTATCGGGTAAACCTACCTGGTGGACCAGGTTGGCCAGATATCCCATTGGCACCTGGAGGTCCAAACCCTCCTGGTGGGCCGCGAACACCAATGTAGCCAGGAGGACCTCTTCCCCCAAGTAAACCAGCACCTCCGGGGGGACCAATGCCACCAGGCGATCCTATTCTACCCGGAGGGCCCCTAGCTCCAGGGGGCCCTCCTGTTCCTGGTGGGCCCCCAGTTCCCGGTGGGCCACCAGTGCCAGGAGGCCCTCCTGTACCAGGGGGGCCTGAAATATAATTATACAATCAGTCTCGTGATAGACAGCGAACTGTGCTACTTTGTAATAGATATGTACAGCGTTAGTTTCGGGTTTGAGTTTCACATTTTTGGCACTATAAGTAAAGTTTTTTAAACTTATAAATAGCCGAACGCCGAACACCGTCCACAAAAAAGTTGTAGACTATATAACAGTCACCACTTCTGATGGTGACATGATAAATGATTGAGCTTATTTTAGAATATGAGTAACTACATGTATTTAATGCTAAAAGTGCAAAATATTCCATATATACATGTATGAGCAATGTAGTGCAAGCATTTTACCAATAGGAGCACCAGATGCAGGAGGACCAGCAGATGCCGGCGGACCAGCGGACGCTGGAGGACCAGTAGATGAAGGTGGACCAGTTGACGCTGGAGGACCAGTAGATGCAGGAGGACCAGTTGAGGCCGGTGGACCTGTAGACGCAGGAGGACCAGTAGATGCAGGTGGACCAGTTGACGCTGGAGGACCAGTAGATGCAGGTGGACCAGTTGACGCTGGAGGGCCAGTTGATGCAGGTGGACCAGTTGACGCTGGAGGGCCAGTAGATGCAGGCGGACCAGTTGACGCCGGTGGACCTGTAGAAGCAGGAGGACCAGTCGATGCAGGTGGACCAGTTGACGCTGGGGGACCCGTAGATGCAGGTGGACCAGTGGATGCAGGTGGACCGGTTGACGCTGGGGGACCCGTAGATGCAGGTGGACCAGTGGATGCAGGTGGACCAGTTGACGCTGGAGGACCAGTAGATGCAGGTGGACCAGTTGACGCTGGAGGACCGGTAGATGCGGGAGGACCCGTAGACGCGGAAGGACCAGCTGATGCAGGGGGACCACTAGTCCCCGGAGGTCCTGCTGAGGCAGGCGGGCCTGTTGTGGTGATCTCTAAAATGTTTTTTTTATAGATTCGAATTAGAAATTATCAAACACACTGGGTATATGAATTAATGTAAGACCAGAATCTTTAGGCCAATAGGTTTTAGTCACTTACGTGATTGTCCCTTGGGAACCCACGTTAGCACAAAAATCAGCCACACAACTGTAAACCTTTCCATCCTTTTCTAGACTGGAATATAAATTGTAGAATTCAGTGGATATTTAATTTGCCGATCGTGAAGTAGATCGCATGAACGAAATTAAAAAGCGAGATGAGACATTTTCCTTGTCATCGAGACAGGATATTTCTTCTAAGATAGAATATGTCAACGGGTTTAGAAACAATTCAATTTTTTGAATGAATGATAATTATAAATGAACTTTGCTAAAAGTAAAGGATTGTATCGATATGGTGGACACACGTTTCTCTCAAAGCAGTCTTCAAAAAATTCTGAAAATTTTACACATCGTCAATTTAATGATCATCTTTTGAATGAAAAAAATCTCTATATTGTTTTAGAAAACATATCAGACACTTCTTTTGTTCTTGGTATCATATGTTCGGAATGAAATGAAACATCTATCCGAACCTCATTGGAACAAAATGACATAAACACAACGTGTTTAGATCTCTCAATATTGTAATTGTGCAAAGGAAAGTTTTGTTGATTTAAAAAAAGTATCTTGTTAATGAAATAAAATGTTTATCTTAATTTTTATATATATATATTTTTTTTGAATACTTTTTCTTAAATCAAATAAAAAAATTATTTTGTATAACTATAATAATGAGAGGTCAAAGAAAAGGTAACTGGTCAACTCGTACCCAAGACAAGTCGTACCCAAGACAACTCGTACCCAAGACAACTCGTACCCAAGTATATATTTTGGACTGGGCATGTGAATAGATATACATATTATAATTGTAACATACTGTTCAGAATAGTTTAAAGTTTGAAGAAGAATTTTCGGAAGAAATTGATTTAATTTTGTGACATTTTGAGCTGAGTGTCAATTTATATTGACTATTATTTTATATTGGTCACAGATTCAGGATGTTCGAGTGAAGAGACATATGTTTATTCCACATATTCATAATCATTTTTCAAAATATTGTATGTTTATGAGTGTTTGGAACAAGTGTCAGATCAAATGTTGTAATTATATTTATTTGTATATATGTTTGACAAAAAAATGTTGTGAACAAGCGCTTCAAGCACTTCTTTTATTTAATAAAAAAAATGCTTTACTGATCCATTGAGAAAAAATGTCGTCTAAATTCAAAATAATATTGAGGCTTATTTGATTCACATTACAACCTGAAAGCATTACAAACTCAATTTTTCCCCAATGTGCACCCATTATACTGAAAATAATCTTGGGTACGAGTTGTCTTGGGTACGAGTTGTCTTGGGTACGAGTTGTCTTGGGTACGAGTTGACTAGGAAGCAAAGAAAATATTGTATATATATGCTGTTTTGTTCCAACGAGGTTCGGAAAGATATTTTATTTCATTCTCAAGAATTGGTTGAAAGGAATAAAAAACAATTGCAGCAAAAAAACAAAAATTTAGCAAAAACAGTTATATAAAATATATATAAATAATTTTCGCATTAAATTGTTGTCAATCAGTCAACATTACACAAAGGACTGTGTTTTAACAGAATGTTTTCAATAATTGGTTTAAGAGAAAAGCATTGTTGAATTCAATTCACCATATCGATACCAATCCTTCACGTAAGAATTTTTTATGCGACATCTGTTTTTTCAAAATAAAGCCCAGACTACCTACAAAATTAAACTATGTAAGGGTGTCAAATAAAGGTTTTCTTTTTTCTTTCTTTCATTTTTTTCAAATTGATGACTTAATACATACCTTTTCTTTTTTTCATTCAATCCATGCTCACCCTCGGTGCAGCTTAAAGTCACCTGTTCCTACCAAAATCTGAAACAGGTTCAAAAATGTCCTCGGGAATTGATATGACGAACGATTCTACGGTGCTCAATAAAACAACATTATATACATTAACCTGTTCAAGTTCTAATTAGTTTTATATTCAACCTGCAGATTGGCTCCTTTGCTGTTTAATGATTACCTATTTATTTAAGGGTTAACGTGGAACTTAGCCTGGGGAGTGGATTTTTGGCATAACGTTTGGGTGTGAGCGTCGTTATTAATTAATGCAGTTTGTATTATCCTCTCATGTGTGCATCATTAATTGTTGCCTCAAACGCGTCCCTCATCCACTTTTGTTGTGTCCTGTTTGAAGATTATAGGACGTCGACATTCTAAGTGGAACTGTTAATGGTTCATGAACGCACAGTCAAACCTGTTTCGCGAACTCTCTGATTCAAATCAAGGACGTCTATCTAGACCGTCCTTGTTCAAATACCAGGTATATCTCAATTGTGAATACTTTGGTTCCAATCTTTTACTTCTACTCTAAGAAGCGACTTCTTTAACGAAGTTATTTTTCTTGGATAAATGAAACAACAAAGTAGGACGATATTTTGTACTCACGTGTACGTGGGTCGTAACGTAATACAATCTTTGAAGGGTTCAATTTCTAAAGTTCTAAAATATTATTCAACCTTCGTTAATGCTAATAATCAATGAATCCTCAAATACATCTGTTTTGGAGGATACATTAAATATGTATGTAAATATAAATTATGTTGAAAAGCAAACTATTTATTCATTTTCACTCTTTTATATACTTTAAGGCATTTTAATTTAATATATTCCATTCGCCTTGTGTCTATTATATAATTTGTTAAGTCTTTCAATTAGTTTAATTTTGAAGGTGAATGGACCATGTCCTATTATCACAGGGTGTGTACCAAATTAAGCGTGGCAATAAAACATTCAGGGTAGGTACAACAAGAAGGTGGTGACATTTGAGCAAACTGATGTTTTCATCATTTCAGAAAGATATGATCTAGTTTCTAGATATTTTTACAAGTAAATGTCTGTAACAACATCGTAGACAGTGAACTTGACCGTGAATTTTATAGTTCAACCTTCACAAACTTTAAATGTAGTATACGGCATAATGCGCGGTTACGGTTATGTACAACACAAACGACTTGAATTTCCGTTGTTCCGGCCGTATCTCAGGTTAATGTACCCGCGCGTTTTACCATATACTACATTCGGAGCTTGTGAAGGTTTAACTATGAAATTCACCGCACTGCAACGGTTGCTGTCTAGGATGTTGTTACAGACATTATACGCTCGTGCGATGTTGAACGTTTTTCTTTCTTTTTTAGAACTTTTATGGGCATTATTTAAAAAGAATTGTATCGACATTTTTTTCGTCTCCCACCCTCTGAATTTTCAGGGTCGCCCCGGGTGTTTATGCGTGGGCAGGGGGATGGGTTCGACCCCCCCCCCTTTACCATAAGCTTGAGGGGATGTGTTCGACCCCACCCCCTTTATCAAAAGCTGTCTTCGGGCATGTTGCTCATATTGGATGTGAAATATTACAGAATGCAGTAGATGTAATCATTTTCATTGGAATCGATATAAACGTATTCTGGCACTCACCATAGGGAACGACAAACGGCATTCAAAATATAATATCAAGACAACAAGAAAACACACAAGCAATGAGGGAATGAGTAATATCATTCAAAGTAAGTCGAATGGCTACGTGTTGGTCTTGGAAATAAAAAGTAAACATAGCATGTGGAAAAGGAAGTAAAGGTTACATGCATCGCTATTCACACAAAGTTATAACATGATCATAATGTGAAGCTGAAATATATTGTTTCCTGGTTTGGCAATGACTCATACTTTGCTGTAATTTAAATATAAACATAAAAATACGAATACAACTAACTTTTGATTGTACGTTTATATTTCATATCATTTTAGAATCATTTTGTATCCTCCAACACATGCGTGCTTAATAAAGTTTAACAAAAACAATCGAAATAATTCAAAAATTAAATAACGGTGATCTAAACGCTTCTTTTAGTACTCTCATTTCTCGAAATAATAATCTAAAAAATAATTTCCCAAAGATGCTACTTTTAATGTTTGGAGGATACAAAATATTGGACAGCCTAATCTAGACAACTTGAATTTACGAAAGATCTGATTTATTGTAAGATACTAATAAATTGTAGCTAGACTCTCGAAAAGTGTGGCCCTTGAAAAAACTATACTCACAGAAACATTTTCCAATGATTTTTAATGGCATATGCATGATTGAATCGAATTTACGGATAAAAAGGTATCATCCTGTTCATCAGGATTTAATGCCAAGACTGACAAGCAGCTAATAAGGACGAAAAGATCCATCCACCCACTACCCTGCGTGCAGAGTCTAGTTAAACCTGAGACTAACATAATGTTAGTCTCAGACTGTAACTGAGAGTGGACCGGATGGACCTTCAATAATTTCATTGTTTCTAATCTTACCTCAGTGAGTCTGGTTTATGTGAAAATCGATCTAATATATCACCCGTTACCTGACTGCTAGTGGCATCATCGTCGCATTGTGATAGCACCGTGCCGGTGGAACCCCGGGGTGGAACCATGGGCTTTTAGTTGAAAGACCATGGTGGAACCATTGAAGTAACAAGTTTTGATGGGCAAAATATACTAGAAGTGCTTCATGTTTCATGTCCTCTTGATAAAATTTCTACATATAAACGCTTTATTTCATTAATTTTTGATTAGATCTAACGTCAAATGATTTCTCCAATCGTAAAATACGGAGTTTATCCGCAAAATGCACCTAACAGGAACTCTGGATAGGAATGACGTCATTGGGAATGCCCTTTAGTGAACTTTCAACAAGTTGTAAATTCATTGGATTTTTATCTAATAGTTAAATTGCTAAGTGTATCTGCTATCTGAATAACGGATAGGGGTATGAACCATGTGAAGAAGTACAAGCTCAAGAGCTTAGACTGCAGGTAAACTTAGTTAGATTACTTTTAGTGAGGATAATACTGTTTGACCTACTTTTAAAAGTTTGATCGGGATTTATTTTTTCGTGACAAAAGTGACAAATGATTCATCAACCTAACGAAGAGACAGCATGCAGCATAGGGCAAGGAAAAAGTAATAATGTGAAATTGCATAACTTTTATCAATAAATCAATTTGATCAACGGTGCACAATCTCATCACTTACGATTAGAGATCATCAAGTTTTTACAGTATCATCTACATCTAGAGTCCATTTCACTGCTTCATTTCGTCAGTAGAACGGCAAAAATAAGAAATTGGGAGACCATTGTGCAATAATATATGGAAAAGTATATTCATAATGTACATGAATGACATTTGTATATCTTGGATTGCTTCTAGTTTGGCTTATACAGTGTGTGGCCTCTTATATTTGGATGTTTCTCTGCCATGTTATTTTCAATAAGATTAACATGGCTGAAATTCTTCAAATTACAAGACGGCACAGGCTTACTGCACAAAAAACTAAAAAATCTGAAATATATAAATGTCATTCATGTACATTATGAATATACTTTTCCATATATTATTGCACAACGGTCTCTCAATTTCTTATTTTTGCCGTTCTACTGACGAAATGTAGCAGTGAAATGGACTCTAGATGAATAAAGATATGGTATTACCATCATCGAAGTAAGTTCAAATTTTAATGGTGTTTTATAAGTATATATATCTTCGTTCATATTTCTGAGAAATACTTTACATTTGTATTTCTGAGTGAGTTCTATAGGTACATGTAGTTGAATAAAGTAATGGAAATGTTGTTGCGTAACCAGGATGAGGGCTTTTTTCAAAAAAATTCTGGAAATATTCACCTTGTTGATTTTTTCATTTTTTTAAATTTTTTTTTATTCTTTATTCAATTTTAGTACATATAAAATACACATGTAGTGACTGCCAAAGTCATTTTTGAAAAACATTGTTGGCAGCTTTTTTCATCGTGGCTACATGTACATCACTGAGTATACATTTTAATTTATGAATAAGGCATTTCTGTTCATGATCCATAAGCAAAAAAGTGAGAATGTTTTAATTCTTAGACTCTTGTTTTGCTTTTACTTTTGTTACCTACAGGGTCTGGCTCTAGAAATACACAATAGGACCTGAAAACACAATTAGTCTGCATCTAGAAATACACAATAGGACCTAAAATACAATTAGTCTGCATCTAGAAATACACAATAGGACCTAAAATACAATTAGTCTGCATCTAGAAATACATGATAGGACCTATAAAATACAAAAAGTCTGCATGAAGACAAAGTTGGGAAATACAGTACAGCTGTACTTAGAAAATGTCTGACCCAACTTTGTAAAATCTTTAACATTTTGGGGAAAATAGGCCTATCCTCCTTAGTCTTGATAAAGCCCATATTTTCAAAATTTGAATGGTCAATTTATTCTCTCTTGATGCTGAATCATTTTCTTAAAGTTTTGTTATGATGTCAGAGTTAAGAGTCAGAGTTAAGCAGCTGGATTATGATTATGATAATCATCAAGGTGGATGTCTTGTCTTATAAACCACAAAGTCATTTTCTTATAAAAGTGACAAACATTTATTCAGATTAGTTTTAAATTACCCCAACTTCCTAGAATTTAAACATATTTTTCATTACACATATGTCAAATATCAATATTCTGCACTGTTTAAACTTCCGTTTTGTCTAATTCAAAATACTGAGCTGACATTTACATTTTTCAAACCTAATTTTCTTGCTTCTTTATGATAATTTATATATATAACTTTTATTGACATCTTGTATCATAACAAGATTACATTAGTCATAACTATGAAAAAACTAAATATCAATTTAATGATATTATCATTTACCATAATATGACTTGTCTTTAATTTAACCAGTTTAATATTCCATAACTCCTGCACTGATTAAAGCTTTCTTTTGTTTGCATTATGTGCCTAATATAAAGATGCAGGTCTTATGAGTTCTAGGCCTCATTATGCCTTTATATGATTTAAATTGTAAATATCTTATATAATCAAATATTGATTTAAACTGTAAATGTTTTAACAGAACTTTTAAACTTTTAACATCAGTATAAAAAATATATCTTATACCTTTATATAACCATGGGTTTTCAATTATCATTCTAATTGAAAGCCCATTATTTAACAGAATTGTAGGCAATCTGTATAATTTACAAGCAATAGAGTCATTTAACAAAACTAGAGATAATTTGCCATATTAGATTGTAATTTGTTCAAATTTGAGGGTTTATTTGGCAAATAATTTTAAGAGTGGCTTCTAATGGCATTTTCAACTGGAAGTGGGCAATGAGGAAGTTCTAGCTGTGTCTCAAATCTCAATATTCTTTCAGCAGCGAGATAGAAACTTGCCAATGTAGAATTTTGTTGAAAAATCAACTACATACTTTTAAAATTCTCATGAATTTTTAATGCTTTTTTTGCACCTTGAACCTTCTGTTATATCAGTGTTTGTGTATCTGATATATTTTATCAGATATTAAATTGTTAATGGCAAAGGGCACACTGACATGTTTATTTTAAATGTTGCTTCCGTTTTACACTCTACCCATTGGTACCACTTTAACAGACTCTATTTCCCCTTGATTAAGTGTATTATTAGTAATTGTGGTTGTTTTTCTCCTCATGATAAAATTATTACTTTCTGTGACTCATTCTATTCCTCCAGTGAACACTTTGCTCAGCTAGCTGTTCTATTAATTAAAATAAAATTTGTGACAGTTGTATACACAGCCACTATAGATGGTTAGCCCAACATGAACATGATGTCAGTTCATGAAGTGCACAATTTATTCAAAAATGTCACAATCAAAAAAAATACACTACACAGTGATCTCTCCAGGATTTTTTCTCAGGTGGGTGCAAAATTCTCATTTTCACAATTCAAAAATTGGTCAAAATATGCCAATTCTTTATGATTTTTCTCATTTTCAAGTTGGTGCAAATGGATTTCCGGTAGGTGCAAGCCTATATTTTCAAAATCTCAGGTGGGTACTGCGCCCACTTGCTTGGGAGATCACTGCTACATGTACATGGGAAAAATATAGACATTTTGTAGACAAGCATAAAATGCCATGAATGCTTCATTTGAGATCAATATGACCTTATTAGGATTAGAACTGTGGAATCATCTGTGTTATAATCAGTGTGGCAAACCAATGCAGATTTAAGGTATTGAAACATTCAGAGGCCTGAATATTTCATGAATGGATAAAGTGTTTATTATTCTATATTCAAATTTTCTATATATAATTCAGCTTAGTTTTTACTTCCACAGCTGGATGAGTCTAGATGCAGTTAGCGTCATTCAAGATGGTTGCTGAAATTCTTTCGTTTTCGTCAAACCTCGAAATTCAGCTAAACTAAGCTGAATCTTGATTCCAAAAGTTTTGCCATGCAAACTAATAAAACTATAATTGTAAAAAAACACAAATAAAAATAAAGGTTTGTCGAAAACAAAAGAATTTAGGCAACCATCTTGAATGACGCTAACTGCAGTAAGAGTCATCCAGCTTTGGAACAGTGATAAAACAGTACAGTTCTGAATCTACTGTATATTTATTTTCAGTTAACCTTTTAATCCTGCCAAAGATATCAGGAAGAATGGCCTCATAAATTTTGCGCCAACGTGAATTCTGAAGTAGGAGTACCAAGAAGATACAAGATAAGGTTAAAAATCAGCTACTTGTTATATAACATTTCCCTGGAATGATGTCAGTCTTTGAGGAGCTTGTGTTTATGTGGATATGCAGCTGCGCCATCTATCTTTCAAATGGAACACTAACTTTGCCAAACCATAATGTCGGGCTAAATCACGGACCAATTACTCAAGTGCTTATTGATGAGCATAGTGGACGGGTGTTCCTTGGGGGTAGGAATACAATATTTCAGTTGACAGTCGACTTACACCAAGAACGGGCCGTAGTTTTAGGCCCCGTATCTGAAAACAAACAATGCCTTCCATTCCCAGCTCCATGTAATTTTACACGCAGTGAGCAGGACACTCAAGTCAAAATATTAGAACTCCATAAAAAGCTCAGGAAGTTGCTTGTTTGTGGGGATAAGCATCAGGGAATGTGTACAGTCCATGATAAAAATAACATTGAACATATGAACTCAATGAGTAATGAAAATCCAGTCAACTTTTTAGCTAGTCAGAAATCAGTTTTTGGATTTTTCGGAACAGGAACTTCATTAGGCGGGCATGATGATATATTATATTTGGGACAGACTTATGATGGAAGACCAATGGAGTATGCTTCTTTAGCAGTATCAAGTAGGACATTGCGTCAGTTACAAAATGGAACATACATCACCAGGTTTCACATGCATGATAACACATTTGGTTTTAGTGGTCGTGATATCCATCCAACATTAAAACATAACTTTATAGTGGATTATATCTATGGTTTTGAACACCAAGGATTTGTATACTTTTTGACAATCCAGCCTTACAAAGCAGAGGACAGAGACACCGATCTGTTGGGAACCCCTAGTCAAGATGTACAAACACGTCTAGTGAGAATATGTAAAGAAGACCCCTTCTACTGGTCATATGTGGAAGTGCCTCTTGACTGTTCAGTTGATGGTGAAATTTACGACATAGCCCAAGGTGGTTATCTTGGTACTTCAGGAACAAAATTAAAGGAGAGTTTTAGTAATAATTATTCCGGAGACATTTTAACTGTTTCGTTTGGTAAAAAGTTGGATGATTCGAGGAAGACTGATACATCCAAAGGATCAGCAATATGTGTCTTTTCCATGGATATTATTCGGAAAAAGTTTGCCAGTGTACAGAGGACATGTTTTGGAGGAACAGGGGAAACCATTCCATGGATTGTTGGTGGAAACAAACCATGTGAGTATAAGGTAAGTGGAACTGAAAATTATTTTGTTCAGTCATAACAAATTTTAGGTACATGTAGGTCATTGGACATAAATTTATTGTTTCCCATCAAGTAGGTCAAACTTGAAAAGGAAAAAGTAGCATTACAAAACCATTGACTTTAATTTGGAGTTTCTTTAGGGCTGTAAAGAGCCATTGGAAGCATAGGATATAACTGTCCACTTTTCAGAGTTTAGCTTGATGGGGCTTTATACTGGATCAAATAAGACATTAAAAGTTTTTTGGTGCTTTGAAAGGGATTGAGGGAAACTCATCAGATTCTCTCAAAAATCTCAAGGAATTTATTTTTTTGTTTACTAAAGCAATTAACACTTTCTTCTTTTTGGTAAACAAGTAGCCTATAATTTTCTCAATTTATTTGTCTTCATAACCTACTATACCAACAACATGACATGTGCTACTAAGACTGCACAAATTTTCTGCCTATGTTGGAACAACTTGGAATACATGAAGTTTGGGTTTCAGAGCTACATCTTACCAACAATTACTGAGACTTGGTGTGGAGGTATGGACAGAGGAGGATCTGTAAATAGTGGCATACAAGGTGGTAGATTAAGAAAACGAGCGAGACTCACTGTTACCTCTACTGTGACTGGCATTGTGACATCACAGTATAATAGACGCACATTTGCTATGCTGGGGACTCAAGATGGGAAATTGCTCAAGGTAGAGAAACAAGTTTTACGAGGCCATAATAATAATTATAAGCGACTAATTTAAATCAGTCGCTACAGGCCCATAGCCCCTCCACCCTCTGGCCAAAAATTCTTTCAAAATCATGCAGTTTTCAACCATTCTGAGCACTTTTCAAGTGATATTGGACCAAAGTTAGCATTAATGACCCCCCCCCCAGGAATCGAGAACTAATTTTACACATTATTTTTTTGTCATCAAAGTATCACATTTTCACAATATATGTGAGTCTTCGTATAGGCTATTTTCATATAAAATTATAGTATTTCAAAGAAATTATTTGTTAAGAAAACCAACTTTTTATATTATTGAATAAATCATATCTATTTAACAATAATCCTGAGTAGAATCCAATTACAATTACAATGAAGCAAATTAAATTGACAAATTATTCAATTCCATTACATTCTACTCTAGGCTTTCATAGACAAAGATACAGATGGACCAAGCAATGAGGCTTACATGACCTACTCTATTGACCCTGCCTACCCTGTTGAGAGAGACATGGCATTGAGTCCAGGCAATGACAGTTTATATGTGCTCACGGGACCTATGGTATGTAAAAGGTTTTAGTTCTCTACCATTTATCTTAATAAAATAAATATTTGCGTTTTTTATACAGTTACTCCCTTTAATTGATCAAGAATTTACACTGAATAGTGTATGTTTTTGTACTTTTCTGGAATGTACATCTTAAATAATTGTAAATACCATTATGATATATAATAAATAGTAAGTGCTTCTTTAAAATTAGTTTCTGTTACATCCCAATTAATATGCCTCCCAGCATCTAGCGACTTGATATTAAAATTATGAAATAAATTGAATTGAAAATTGGTCATGGCGTGTGTTGACCAACGATTGTAGCTTATATATATACACTGAATTGACTTTTTAGGTCACAAAATTCCCCGTCCATTCATGCAAGGTTTATAATAGTTGTGCCTCATGCGTGACCACCCCAGACCCCCTAAACTGTGGATGGTGTGAAGATATGTGTACAAGGAAGGCAGAATGTGGACATAAAATATGGACACAGGAAAGCTGTAAACCAGTCGTACATGGGGTATGTCAGAATAATTTTTCATGCTGTAACTTGCCTTTCAATCTGGAATCAGATTGCTTATCCGTTATTTTAGTTCGAAAATGGACACCAATTGTGGGATGTTACTTTTTGTGAGTCATAAATCAAAATGTTTACTCACTTTAAGAAAGCCAGCCAGGATTCTAAATCTGTTTGTTCGATCCCCTTATTTGCAATAACCATTTTTAATAGTCACTGTGTGACATTAATTATTTTAGTTTGAACCAAAAAGTGGACCATTATATGGTGGTACCCAAGTGACCATATATGGGGATGGATTCGGTCATAATGCTCAGATTGAGGTCACAGTTGCTACGGTGATATGCAACCTCAATAAAACAGCACATAGAACCACCAATCAGTGAGTACCATTCTTATTTGCTATATATTTGTGCAGGACATCTCAATATATGTAATGGTTTCCTTTGACAAAATACCACATGAAGCCCTTCATCTTTGAACTTTCTCAAAAATACTTTAAAATAGGTTGGATCGTATTTTCTAAAATGAATGGTCATTGTAATTGAGCTGCAACTAATCAAGATTATCATTACTGTATATATTACCAAATTCTGAAATTGATATGGTACAACTAACGTTTAAAGGTACTTGTAGAGGGGAAGTTTAAGCATTGAATCCTTTTAGTCAAATATTATTATATTTTTATCGCACTTTGAAAAAGTGCTATATTGCCGTCGTCTTGTGCTGTTGGGGGGGCGTGCGGGCGGGTGTGCGGGCGTGCGGGCGGGCGGGACATAAACCAAATCTTGTCATCAAATTTCCAGGATAACTGCTTACCGGTTCAACTTGAAATTTTTACAGATGCAAGAGCAGACTAGTACCAAGATCTGATTAGGTTAAGGGCATGCTGGGTAAACTACGTGGCGGCCATTTTGAATTTTTCAACAAATCTTGTCATCAAAATTCCAGGAAAACCACTTATCCGTTCAACTTGAAATTTTTACAGATGCAAGAGCAGACTATTGCCAAGATCTGATTAGGTTTTGGGTATGCTGGCTGAATTACATGGTGGCCATTTTGAATTTTTCAATTTGGCGGCCATTTTGAATTTTTCAACTTGCTCCAAATTGACCAAATTTTTTTTTAAAAAACATCTACAAGTTCTCAGAAGTTCAAATCTGACCTTAGATTTCAGATTTGACCTTTCATTCACCTTCAGTGACCTTGAAAAGGTCAAAAAAGTTGATTTTCTAAATTGATATTTTGGATTTAAATTTAGGTCAGCTTAATTACAAAACACCTACTGAGGTCTGAAAAAGTTAAATTTTCAAGGTCGAAGGTCAAGGTCATTAAACTAGGTCACAAATGATGTTATCCAAGTTTCTCAAAGTTTGAGACTACAAATCAATTCTTGTCATCAAAATTCCAAGAAAACCGCTAACCTGTTCAACTTGAAATTTTTACACATGCAATAGCAGACTAGTGCCAAGATCTGATTAGGTTTAGGGCATGCTGGGTAAACTACGTGGCGGCCATTTTTAATTTTTCAACAAATCTTGTCATCAAAATTCCAGGAAAACCACTTATCCGTTCAACTTGAAATTTTTACAGATGCAAGAACAGACTATTGCCAAGATCTGATTAGGTTTTGGGTATGCTGGCTGAATTACATGGTGGCCATTTTGAATTTTTCAATTTGGCGGCCATTTTGAATTTTTCAACTTGCTCCAAATTGACCAAATTTTTTTTTAAAAACATCTACAAGTTCTCAGAAGTTCAAATCTGACCTTAGATTTCAGATTTGACCTTTCATTCACCTTCAGTAATCTTGAAAAGGTCAAAAAAGTTGATTTTCTAAATTGATATTTTGGATTTAAATTTAGGTCAGCTTAATTACAAAACACCTACTGAGGTCTGAAAAAGTTAAATTTTCAAGGTCGAAGGTCATCAAATTAGGTCACAAACGATGTTATCTAAATTTTCCCAAAGTTCCAGACTACAAATAAATTCTTGTCATCAAAATTGCAGGAAAACCGCTAACCTTGTCAACTTGAAATGTTTACAGATGCAAGAGCAGACTAGTGCCAAGGTCTGATTAGGTTTTGGCCATGCTGGGTAAATTGCATGGTGGCCAGTTTGCTCTTCAAAGTGCGATATTTATCACTGTGTGTCTTGTTGTATTTAGAATTGTGTGTTCTACTGGACCAGCAGATGAAGAAATAGATAGAGAAGTTCGTGTGAAAGTGGTTGACAAAACTAAAACTGACTTTACATACAACATTGAAGGCTTCGGGGACTCTGGGAAAGAAGCATTTGACTACAAGGTATGTGAATACACCCATACAGTTTTTGGTTCAGGTTGAAGCATTTTACTGTTTATCAACTCTTTTTATTATATTTTGGGGATCATTAATAGGAACTCTGTGAAGAATTCCAAAGGAATTATCAACAATGTTTTGAACAAAGGATTTTTCATAAATTTTGAGATTTCACTGAAGTATGACTTTATTATATTCAAATGAAATGCATTTCTATTGCATTTCCATTACTATTATAGTAACCCTCTAATTCGAGGTTTAATTCCCCATATGTATGCCCAAAATCTGTATCGTATTATTGTATTGTTTCAGAGACCAAGTGTTAAAGGGTTTTCACCGACCATGGGCCCAGTGTCTGGGGGAACAAACATCACAGTGACCGGGGAGAATCTAAACATTGGGTCTTCTCAGCAGGTCACTCTGGGACTAGGCGTGGCTGAATGTATCATCTACAAGTAAGTTATCAATGTCCCTTAATGTTATGGTTCTGGTGGTAGTGAGGGAGGGGGTAATAGATATTGTTTCTTTTCACATTGGATTATGGTTTTGGATAGTTATCCCATCGAACGAAGTTCGGAGGGATATAGGGAACGCCTCCGTCCGTCCGTCTGTCCGTCCGTCTGTCCGTCCGTACGTACGTCCGTCCGTCCGTCCGTCCGGGCAATAACTCAAATACCGTTGGCCCGATTTTGTTCATATTTTGTTGATATAAGTACCCTATGGAAGTAGAAGTTCTGCTCGAAAGCCGATTTTCAAAATGGTCGCTCATTTCAAAATGGCGGCCATTTTAGTGCCGAATTTACAGTAATTTAGGTGCAATATGTAAAACTGTAATAGCAATATGTTTTAGATGTAAAAAAATTATATACGACATTAATAAATCTAGAAATGTATATTTTAAAGAAGCACATGGCAGCCATCTTGAAAAATGGCGGTCTTTACTCGTTATTTTACGATTTTTGCTGTAACTCGAAAAGTAGTGGAGTGATTTTGTTCATATTTGGTATGTGAATACTATAAACATTGCACACTGTCTAAAGACACTTTTAGTAGAAGGCGGCCATTTTGAAAAATGGACGCCATTTTTCAAAATGGCCGCCATTTTAACGTATTTTACTATAACTCGAAAAGTAGTGGAGCGATTTTGTTCATATTTGGTATGTGAATACTATAAGCATGACACACTGTCCTATGACACTTTTGGTAGAAGGCGACCATTTTGAAAAAAATTTGAAAAATGGCCGCCATTTTAACAAATTTTACTATAACTTGAAAAGTAGTGAAGCGATTTTGTTCATATTTGGTATGTGAATACTGTAAGCATGGCACACTGTCTGATGACACTTTTGGTAGAAGGCGGTCATTTTTCAAAATGGCCGCCATTTTAACATATTTTACCATTACTCGAAAAGTAGTGGAGCGATTTTGTTTATATTTGGTATGTGAATACTTTAAGCACGACACACTGTCTAATGGCACTTTTGGTATAAGGTGGCCATTTTGAAAAATGGCCGCCTTTTAACATATTTTACTATAACTTGAAATGTAATTGAGCGATTTTGTTTATATTTGGTATGTGAATACCATAAGCATGGCACATGGGCTCATAGCACTTTTGGTAGAAGGTGGCCATTTTGAAAAATGGCTGCCATTTTTGCTATATCCTTTGTTTGCAAAAATGCCCTCCATGGCTGTTCGATGGGATTCGCTACGCTTTGGCGTTGCCGTTGTTCTGGTTGGGGTTTGTTTTCCATATAATAGATAATTTTAAGGAGTCCTGTCATGAATCAATATTTTGGCAGGATATAAATGTACATTAGCCTATTTTAAATGTTCTGCACATATCAGAGATTGACTTGATTCATAAAAATTTTGCGCCAAATTAATATATTTCCAAAAACAGAAAAAATATATCTCGAATGAAAAGTAAAATTAAGAAGATATTTGAAGGTAAGAATTCTGCTTTCTCTGTTTCAGCATATCCTCCAGTTTAATCCAGTGTACCACCCCACTATGGGTAAATGCCTCCTCTGGCAGTGCTGTAACTGAAGGAAAAGTTAGTGTGGTTATAGACAGGACACCTCTCCCCTTCGAAGGAACATTTACAGTCACCCCTGACCCTACCATATCACATGTCAAGCGATTTTCAAGTTTTAGCAGGTGAGTGCCAAAAATAAAATTAAAAGTTTATTCATATTAAGTCGAATTTAACTTAATTTTTCATTTATTGTTTACTGTGTTTCAAGTAAAACCAATTTAATTTATTTCATTGGAATAGAGCAATATTTTAATGTACGTCCAATATATATATTTATTTTGTTTGAGCAATAATATTTAATGCAATATGTAAATTTCATATGAAGAACAATGTACACTGTATTTCAATTTATGTGAGTGCATTTGTTTATATAAATGCAATATCATACTTCAGTGGAGGAATTCCTATTCAAATCCTTGGGAGCAACTTGCATGTGGTACAACACCCTAGAATGGCCATCTTTACTCCCTCAGATCCAGTACATCATGTTTCAGTAAGTACTATTCACCCTGCTATTATATCCGTCATTTGTCAGTGGTTAAAATATTTTGTAATGTCTGAAAAATGCCTGAAAGGAATAGTCATAGAATTTGAATTAGAAATAATGTTTAGGCAAATTGTATATTTGATTTTTTATTTCAGGATTGTCAACCTAACTTCAACGGGACATTTATGATATGTCCTGCTCCAAGCATTAAACCTATGTCACCTAGGCAACCAAGCAGCTCTAGAGCACCATACACAACCAATCCTGTCAGGAGAGACAGATCGATCAATATACCTAGGCAAGACCAAGTGATCAACAATGCAAGGAAAGACCAATCAATCAATAAGACCAATGGACCCATAATGTATCAGATGTACTTCATAATGGATGGTGTAGAAAATTTGAGAAACTTTTCTAGCATTGCTCCAGACATGAGTTTGATCATGTACTACCCTGATCCTGTCTTCTACAAGTTCCCAGAAGAGGGGAATATCAGACGGTTTCATCTTGAGGAAACACACCTTGATATAAAGGTTTGAACAACAACTTGTATAGCTTGGTTAACTGAGGGGATACGGACAGCTCCAAAAGTAATAGATTTATATTTTGATAATACCATGAGCTCACTCTTGGATGCTCATGATAATACAATATGAAAATACTTTGACTGCCTTTGTCATATGCAACATTTTCACATTTTTTACTTCAAAAGTTATTGAGCAATTTTGTCAATGATTTATATGCTAATATGTGCAAGCATGAAACTTAATCTTTAGCCTTATTTTGAGAAATAATGGCTGACAGTCTACTCAAATTCTTACAATGATGTTCTATATTTTCTAAAGGATTTACTTCAAATTGAAATGGAATAAAACAATGTTTTATTTTCAGGGAGCAAACTTGAACAATGCAGCCATAATTAGTGATTTCACAGTGACCTTAGGTAACGATAGATGTATTGTGACATCACTCTCTCCAACAGTCTTGATGTGTCATCCAAGCAGACGTCCAAGTCAAATTTCCCAAAATGAACCAAAGCGAAAAGTTGAGGTAAAAGTCCATTGATGTGAATTTACTGAACATTCGATTATTTATTGATATCTATTGTAATTATAAATTATAAAAAAGAGAGTAAACGATTTGCTTACAATGATCATGAGTGTATATTTAATATATTAAAGGTTGAGCTCAAAGTGTCAAAGCTATTTCTCTATCCCTAGGAGAGATGTACAGATGATTCATTTGGAACAGAGTAATTTAATCCCCTGGCAAATAACCCTTAAATTTAGCCCTTCAAAGACTAGCCCATATAGCCTGATCACTGAAGTATACAAACATCATTATTTGATTGCATTCCCTAATGCCTATGTCACATTTACGGCCAGTTGAGTATTTTGTTCAAAACTACATGCAATTTTGAACAAAACAATCAATCACCAGGTATTAATTAAAGACATTAACCCCCTGTTCCAGGTGATTGTTGGTAACCTTCACTTTAACATTGGCCACTTGGAATACTATTCAGGGGGCAGAGGTGTCCATTTAGCTGCTGTGGTGGTACCTGTCATTGTTTTTCTTATCTTCTTCACCATTTTGATTATCATATGCTGTGTCCTACACAAAAATAGAAAGGTATGTATGTGCATGTAATTGAGATTCACTAAACATGAAGTTGCATATTCCAGTATACAATGCTAGAATATTTAGGCTTGGCAATTTTGTTGGGATTTGAAATTGAATGAAAAAAAAAACACAGATTCAGTATTTGTTCCTTAGTTTAAAACATCTTTTACAGGTCTTTGGACACGGATTGTCATGTTCCAAATAAATGCTTTATATCTTATACATATTCCATTTGAATGTTTTTTATCAGCAAGCATGAATACACTTTTTTCAGTGGCCCTTTAAGCCAACACTTAATGACCTGCAAGTAGTAGAGTTCCATGCCAATATTGAAAATAGTAAGTATTGCACTCCAATAAGTTGTTCTTTAAATCCCATTCTATCATTCTATGGGAAACCAGAAGAATCTAAAAAAATATTTATGAAAATTCACTGTCCGGATCTTGAGAAAAAAAATAATACAACTGAATATTATGAATCAGTGGGATTATATTAGCATGTGTATAATGACTTATATTGCCAAAAAGTTTCCTAATAGATCAACATGAGTGTGTCATATAAAAAGAGATCAGGAAAATGTATTTTGGACTTATAAAAAAATAGATTCATGGGGTTTAAAATTTTTCTACAAACTGACTGTGCCATGTATTTCATAGTTGCTATGTAATTTTTTAAATTCACAAGTATAGATGTTTTATTTAGTTTTAATTTTTGGCATTGTAGATACACAAACTGACTACTCAATAGACATTGAAATACTACCTTGAGTCTCTTGACCACAAAGCTTACGATTAATGCATAATCTATAATCTTTCATACTTTTGAAAATAAGTGGGTGTGACCATGCAATCTGAATCTACTCACTTTATCTGAAGTTCCCCACCCAGTATTTTTCCAAGTACATGTATGATATGCATTAAAGGGATTCATTGTATCACTTATAGTGTATGAGACAACGGTACCTGGACGTAGGGCTAACATTCCTACAGTTGGTGCTCTGAGGTCAGTAGTTGGAGAGGAGGAGCCTCTCCTTGGTGATGATGACATCAGACTGATGATTGACAGGGAGGATTTGATACTGGGGGAGGTTCTAGGAAAAGGTAATTGGGACTTTTGTACATACTGGTGAAATTGAGGATAATTAATACTAGCATTTTTCCATGCCTTTGTCATTATGGTCTCTGTATACATCATGAGTTATACTTGCTTCGGGAATATTTTTATGTGCATACCGGTATATTATGTTCCAAATATTACCACAATTTATCTTCCAGTATAAGCCTTGTGTTTTCGTAAGATCATATTTCAGATAATTTTGAATAGAGCTTAGCTTTGAACATGTATTCTAAAATTAAACAAACTAAGACATATTATTTTTCAAAGAAATATGAGGTACTGTGATGGAAAAATGTTCAGAAATCAATTTAGTTGACATGGTTCCCACTTTACTGTCTGTTTCCCCATACATTTACCTGGTAGCCAGATTTGACTTTTCGATCAAACAATATGCACAGTTTTGGCTATAGAGAAGAACAAGGAGGAAAGATGTGATGATCCCCGGAGATAATTGTCTATTTCTGTATGGCCCATGCTGACCCAGATTGAGTATAATCTAAAAAGGAAGAGTTGTAACGAAGTCACTCAATGGAGAGGGAATCATATTCGAGTGGTACTCAAATAACATCTTGCCCTTGTATGTGTTGAGTTTGCACCTACAGTAGAAGCAATACTATATGCGACAATTGTTTAAATATTTGCATCTTCTTTGTATTATCCTTTGGTAAATGTGGATTAATTGAAATTGAAAGTAAAATTTTCTCTATTTACATAGGTCACTTTGGTTGTGTTTACAAAGGATCACTGAGAGTGCAAGATGAGAAGGCAGACAGAATGGTTGCTGTCAAAACGTTACATGGTGAGTATATGGATGTTCCCTGGAGTCATTTCACGTAATAGATTGAATGGGATATGCCGTATAATAATATGCGGGCATGTTTGACTCCAGTCCGCTTGCCTTTGTGTCCCACTGCATGAAAGCTACTGCTGGTATTATTTAGGAAATGATTTTTAATGGTAGTACAAGATTTAAGACCCATCATCCTGGCACATGTTGCTGAACTAATGTTAGTTAAGAATTCCTAATAGAAAACTGAAACTCACTTGTTTTGCCCTAGCAAACAATTTCCCAACTTGCATTTGAAATTCATTTCTGTTTATGTGTTGACAGTCTTAATACAGTACTAAGCAATGAGAAAAATAAATGATTTTTTCTGCATCAATCATGTGTTTTCCAGAGGATAATAATATCACTGATGAGGCATTGAGGACATTCCTGAAAGAAGCATTGATAATGAAAGACTTCAACCACCCCCATGTTTTAACCCTGCTAGGACTGTGTCTCAACCCTGGGGAAATGCCACTGGTTGTGTTGCCATTCATGTCACATGGTGACGTCTTGAGTTATATCAGAGATGAGAAAAATGTAAGCATTTTTAGTTTGAAGTGTATTTCATAATAGCAGTGAAGTAAAAGCTGTCTAATCTGGAGGTGTGACTATTGACTTGCTAGAAGTGTTCAGATTGGAAGGTTTCACATTTCTAGGTTTTTTAACAAGTAGTACGGCTATAAAGGATTAAAAAATGAGAACGAAAAACTGCTAACAGTGAGAGATTTGTAATTTAGTAAATAGAATATGACATCAAATGAAGTACAACTGGCCAGTATGCTTTTTTGTTACAATCTTTACTGGGGAAAATTGCCTATTGTTTTCTGACCAGTCAATTGACCAATCAGAAAGTGAGGAATATGGCAGGGATCTAATCATGTAAAATACCCCTTGTCTTTGAAATTAATGGTTCAGTTCCCAGTTCACTCTTTTTTGGATACCTGTTCACCTTTCACAAGTGACTTTCCATGAATTATGAAAAAAAGAATGAAATATTGTGTAATAGTAAATAATAACAAGAGTGAATAATAGCACTGTATTGTTATACCTACCTATATGACTGTAATTTATTGCAGAGTCCCACAGTAAAGTCTCTGTTAGAATTTGGTGTTGAGATAGCATCTGGTATGTCATATCTTGCCAAGTTGAAGTTTGTCCATAGAGATCTGGCAGCCAGGAACTGTATGTGAGTACTCTGATTTACTGTTCTTCTCCAGTACATCTCTGTTTGCTGTTCGGTACTGTGTGGTTTTGACTTGTCATTGCCACTAAATTCTTCAATTGCAATGCATTTCATTGAATACTACACTACTTAAATGATGTCCCTGCTCATTATATTGGTTAGATGTTCCTGTTTTTATGTGACCGTCACAATTGGTGACATATTGTTATAGTCTCTAACTATTTTGTGATTGCGTCTGGCAGTTAGCATTTGGTATCTGTAACAAATGGCAGGTGGTGACATTTTGTATGTTAATGCCTTGTTTGTATTGGTAAGATTAGCTCATAAGCTAATATTCCTGTTTTTAGCTGATAGGCTAATGTTTCGCTCTTCATACAAGCTAGATGAGCTGATTGGCTAATGTTCCTGCTCTCATTACAGGCAAGATGAGCTGATTGGCTAATGTTCATGCTGCCTTTTCTTCTAGGTTAGATGAGGATATGAAGGTGAAGGTGGCTGACTTTGGTCTATCTAGAGATGTCTATGAGAGGGACTACTATAGTAGTGATAACAAGAAGACAAAACTCCCGGTGAAATGGCTGGCCCTAGAGAGTATGGAGAAGGGGGTCTACAGTGAAAGATCGGACGTGGTCAGTCTCATATTTTGTATATCATTGAAAATTCATTGGATATTAACATCTTCGAATATGTACCACTTATATATAGTCCTTTGACAATTGAATGTAATTCTTCACTTGGTATGATGACAATTGAATGTAATTCCTCACTTGGTATGATTTTACCATATCCAGTACAGTAACCCACACAAACCACTCCCCTTGATAGTTTACACCAGTGAACCTAATTTTGAATTGTTATGTAGCTACACATGAATTGTTCACATATTGTTATTAAGCCTGAGGTGTTCTCATCAGCCAGGATCTTGTACAAATTATATGGTGGCCATTTTGCTCTTTGAAGTGCAATATTCATAACTGTATAAGTTTTCAGCATTATATGTCCTTTGTTTTATGAAAAAATCTTGTGAAATCTGAGTGACTTTGTGGGGAGAAGTATTCAGAACTATTTACCTTGTTTTATATCATATTGTGTTATATATCACCTATGTTTTTACAGTGGTCATATGGAGTTTGTCTCTGGGAGCTGATGACCAGGGGAGTGTCCCCATATCCCGAAGTAGATGGCTGGGATATGGTCCGCTATCTCAAGTCAGGGAGGAGACTGCCTCAACCGACATACTGTCCAAATGAATTGTAAGTATGAGGATCTTGTTCACCCTTGATATATGCAGCTACTGATAATGGACCTGACATGTGTGATAAGTGTCAGAAGTTGTTTTTTTAATCTAAATTACCCATACCTTGCTTAAGATGGACTTTTCTTCATCAAACTTTAAATCTTTGATATATATTGGAGAGTTCAGAATCTTCCAAATTTTTTATAGATTTTTGGAGGAAGTAAAAGTCTTAACAGTAAATTCGTGTAAAGTATTAACATCACATGGTGGATTTTATGCAAATTAATTCCCTTTTGACTGAAAACTGCATAATTATGATCTGTGTGCAGCCAGTAAAGTAACGTGACTGGGAGAGTTCCTGAAATATCCATGAGCAAGTTCAATTGATTAGATAAATATTAAACTACTGGATACAATCAAACTGGATACATACAAGTAGCTAATTAGCGTTTAGGATATAGGAAAATTGCCAGATATCATACTTGGAACTTATACCTCAGAGATTGTCGCATTCCAAATAATATGTTCCTAATATGCATTTTCAGATACCGTATAATGTATGATTGCTGGAATCCAAAACCGAAAGCCCGTCCAACCTTTGATGAACTTCATGACATGGTAGCTAATTTGATAACAAATCTGCAGAGGGACACTGAACGCTTCAGGGTTAAGACTGATGTGACATACGTTAATATACCATCACTTACATCTGACCATTACAGCATGGCTGGAGCAACACAGTCTGAAGATGAGGCTGACTAAACTTAATGATTCCAACACGAAGTATTGGCATAATTGGCAACCAAGATTCCAGATTTTTATTTGCCTGGAAAGGAACAATTTGGTAATAATATGTATTACGATGATGTTCGTCTCCTGACTCCGGACCCAAAAATTTACTGTAGCTATTTATACAAGCTGACTCATTTGAATCACGTTCCCCCAAAGTCATGATGTCATATAATTGGCAAGGAATACTGTAGGCCAATCACCCTTGCCTTTCACTAAAATAAGAGCTCAACTATGTCAACACAATTTTTATAATAACAGATACTGAGTCAGAAAAATGTGAAGATAAGAGATACATATGTGAAAATAACATTCAGACACCAATAGTGTGAGAATCAAAGTGAAGAGATGTGAAGTTTATCCTTTATTTCACATTATAGTAAACTTAATGTATTGTTATCATGTGTATATGTTCATATGTGTATTTTTTAAACATGGAAAAATCAAGAACCTCTGTATTGACCTTCTACTGTATGTATATTTAAAAGACTGTATTAGCGTGTAATTAATTAAGGGGATAATGGTTTACAGGGTATTTCAACAAATATATCTCACTAATTATCTACATACATGTATATCGCCAACATATAAGTCCCATTAAACTATTACTACTGAGAAGCCAAATTGCAATGCAGTAGAGATAGTAGTCCTAGAGTAGTTGTCCTGGTGACAACTCAAATACCAGTTGTCAGATTTATGACTTTTTTTGCCTTAAGGTCATAAGACCTTTCTTAAAAAGGAATTTTCAATATGGCTGCTCAATTTAAAATGGCCACCATTCTCTGTAAAAATCTGACATTTATACTTTAACTTACTGTGTTTAATCAAAATGGAGTTATATCTCCCTGCATGGTTTTTGCTGAAAGTAAGACTACTATTGCCTGGTTATTTCCATTATGAAATGTTCAAAATTAAAAGTGGGTTGATTTCATAAAATTCTTATTATTTGGTGGGATTAGCGGGTACTCCATGGAGTAGCGAGCTAAGGATTTTTACTGCTGTATTATATATAGTCTTATGAAATATTTTATATCATAATATTATAAATTTAATTGTGAATAACTTTTTTAAATCATGTTTAGAAATGAGCTTTTTGTCTGCTTATTTAATTTTCAGTATTAGTCATTGACAAACCTATTAGCTGTTTCACTTTAATTGAAATAGTGGTGCTTTGTGGTGCTTTTTGATACACACATAATCATTATACTGATAAATGACACATATCAATGATGTTAATGGGAAATGCAGAAATATAATGCACAGATTTAATTTGTTGTATTACATACCTAGCGAAGCATTTGTACGGAAGTCAATGGAGCCAAAGGTCGACTATATATTCCTGTATAGCCGCCAAACTAACAATTTTATGACGTCATAACATGTAAACAAAGTGATTTTGACTGGAATTGTGATATTATCTTCATAAAATGCTATGTACCTGGTAAATGTACCTTAGATATGTAATACAATTATGTCCGTATCATTGAATATATGCCTTGGGTCCGTCGTCAATATAACCCTCGCAAGCTTAGGCTTTATAGACGTCAGACCTCAGGCATATATTCAATGAAAGGGACATAATGGCTAAATATAGTGCATAATCATACCAAGGATGTGATTGTACATACATTATACAGATTGTATATAGTCTTCAATTTAAATTATATTTTTTAATTGAAATATTTTGGATTTACAGTGAATATTGTATAAATAGTTCAGAGCTTTTATAAGTTTTTTAAGTTTTTAATGAATGTAAAATCGGATTATTTGACAATTTTTTAATACTGTCTGTTTGATACTTATAGAGGCAACCAAAATATTCAGAAAGGCTAAAACCTGTACTCAATGAACATGAATGGGGGAAGGGGGTATTAGTAAACATTGTTTCTTTTCACGTTGGATTATGGTTTTGAATAGGGGTTTGTTTTCCTTATGACTGGTATACACTCGTTGTTTTCCTTTTCTTGCTAGGTTCTGTAACAATATTTGGTCCTTTCCTTTTTTGCACTTCTTGGTATATAATATATCCATGGGGATATCATGAAATCCTCATTTTCTCAGAAGAACATTTGTTGATTAAACCTCAATCAGAAGAAATATGTTAAATAGCATATCTAAAGTTAATCCCAAGAATAGAATAGAGGTATTCAAACAGGAGATTTCACTTGACTTTCAAACTTTTTGGTTACCTCTAGTACATGTATTAAAAAGTGTTTGCAATTTTGTATTAAAAAATTCAGGGTTCAGCATTATATTTGTTGTTTTATAATGAGAATTACAGCAGCCCTTCAAGCCACCATTTTCCAGGTGAAAAAAACTGTTACCATTTATGACAGACAGTGATGCTGATCACTGGTTGCATGCTTTTTCTACTTGCACCAGGTGGGGACATTATGTCATGTAATGAGTGTCTTGTTGTATCTTTTTATTTGTCCTTTTTTGTTCCAATAATTGCAGGTCAATTTTCGCTTATTAGGGACCATTTCAAAAGATCAATGTCGGAAAATTAACTGTATTTGCACAGTAAAGGGGAGGGGGTTCATAACCTTAAAAGTTAGGTTACTGACATTGAATAATTATAATTATAGTATGACCAATGAAATCAACATTTCTCAAACTCAGTTATGAGGGGGAGGGCGGGGTCACAGATTAACGGTGCAAATACAGTTAATAATCCAACATTGAACTTTTGAGGTGCTCCCTTAATGGTTTTACAACAGACCAGAGACATATAAAACGTTTTATATGTCTCTGAACAGACTTAGATCAGAGTGGCTAACGGCAATGTGGTCTGTAGCACATAATCTATACACTATCAGATAATCAGTCTGTTTGGTAAAGATGTATTATTTTTGATAATGGGAATGACATTTCTATCTTGTTCATAACATAAGGACAGAGAGTAGAAGGTGTGGCAATGGTCACCCATATATGGGAACTTGCTGAAAACTTGAGATATCTACAATTTGTATGCATCTATAATATAACACACAACTAAAAAAATAATTGAAAATATGTTGCATTGCAAATATTATATTGCGATATATTTCATGAAGCTGATCTATCCGATATATCACACTTGTGAATAATTTAAGGAAAAAAACTCCAAAACCCTAATCACTTATGCAATTGCTCCTAAGAGGAATAAACATATCTTCAGGGGTAATGGAAACAGCCTAGGAGTCAAAATGCAAATATAGACTTTTGAGGATAATTAACTTTAAAGAGATCGAGTCGTCCAGATTTCTATTCTGGACAATCAATAATGTCCCAATATAATTGCTCATAAAACATCATCCAAATCATAAGCACGATATCGACAATATATTGAGGATATCAACAGGACAACCAAAAGAACAACCAACTGTCAGAATTGAACGCAATAAGTCGAAAACAGAATACAATGTTTTTTGGGGATTTATCTATATCGTCATCCCTTAGAAGTAATAAACATGGGTTCCCTAAGCCAAAATAATCTGAAGGAAAAGGCCAATCAGACTGGAACAAATTTGAGCGGGCTTTTTAAATTTGAATTTGAATTTCTATTGATGTAAGTGGAAATTCATGGCTAGGAACAATCATCGAATTGATACTGTTAACGAATTAATTCAAGCCTCAGAATTGATAAGTTGATAAATAAACTTGTTTAACATCAAATAACACGAAAAATCAGGGGGTTACTCTAATTTTTTTTTAGGAGACCCGATCTCTTTAAGTTACAACTTTCAAGTAAAAGTACAAGTTTGTAGCTAGTAAACCATCTGTTGGAGAGACAAAAAAAAGAATGGTGAACATTATATATAACATCTCATAGGATTTATTTGTACTGATACCCCAGGGCGTCAACATTCATTGTACATCCAACAATAAACTATTACCTTTTCACAATTACAATAAGAAACTAAAGAAGATAAAACTACATTCTATGAATTACAGATACATTTATAATATTGCAGTAAAACCTAAGTGAGTGAAAACCTCTCTCTAGTGAACCCCTACCTACAGTAAAAGTTTGTATTCAGCAAAGCACCTTTATCTCATTGACTCTCATGTTAAAGTACACGCTTGTAGTGACCATATATTCTTTAGGATATCTATCACCAATGAATTTTTAAATTGTAAATACAGTAATGTGTAATATGACATTTGAAATGTATACAATTTTCTTATTGGTTTCATTACTAGAAAATTAGCCTGGATTATTTCTATTAACTTTCATAAATAATATTAATGTGTTTGGAAAACGTTCAATGATGATAGGTGTCACTCGAGTCGAGAGAGATTGTAATTTATACAGAAATCATTAGAGTATGCTTGGAGGAAGAGCGTCCACTAGAGACAGGTGTTCACTAGAGAGAGGTGTTCGCTAAGACAGGTTTTACTGTATATAAGATAAACTACTCGACTTGTCAGTAGCCGTAAATTCAATTTTATTAGAATAATTGTTGTTCACTGTTCAACAGCACTAATAATTTGAGTCACCGCCACGTTGTTATACATGTATGTTGTTCTATAATCGGGCCTCCTAGACTTCCACCAACACGAATATCAGTTCTGACCTCGCGAACTACGTTCCTTGCACTCGGACCACGATTCATTAACACATCGCGAACGTGAAATCTTTAGTCGCGCCACACCATTTCCTTTCCTCGCTCCCGAACATATTTCTCCACTCGCGCCCAGAGATCCGTGTTCGCGAACCACTATGTACAAGTGGTTCGCGAGGACGGATCTCTCGGGTGCGAGCACGGATCTCAGTGCGCGGGTATAACAATGTTGTGGCGACTCAAATTGTATGTATAAATTTTCCTCCAATAATAAAATCGCATGTTCACAAATAGATAAGATTACAAAATACATGTATACGGTCCACTATAAACAATATTATGGTAGAATTTTGAAAGTCAGTCCCATTTTCCAGTAGTCTTGCATCAAGACCCTACCCTCTAACAAGCCTAACAACTGTTGTTAGAGTAGAGTAGTTCAGGGTCTTGAAACAAGACTAATTTTCCAGATTTCATAGACAATTTGAAAAGACATGATAATGCATTGAATTATTATGCCCAAGCCTATGTCAACCTTAGTGTTTACATAATATGACTTTAATAATTACCAGGGGCGTAGCCAGCTTTCCGTCAGGGGGAGTGCGAACGCCAAGGAAATTTCGGTTTTCAGTCAGGGAGTGCGATTGTGGCAGAAACAAGCCAAAAAATAAGATTTATTTTGAATTTTACAAATATTGATGAAACTTCCTTCAAAATTGAAATAGAAGTTTCAAATAAAAGCATTGTTAAGCTCTTTTCTTCTTCATTCTCATGGTTTTATTTTTATTGGTTATGGGTTATGCGATCGCACCCATCGTACCACCCCCCCCCCCCCCCTGGCTACGCCTATACCAACAATAATATTTTGATACTCCTCTT